TCCAAAGATCTTGATACCGGCACCCTAAAAGCAACACCCTGCAGTGGCTGCCTGTAGCGGCACCAGTAATTAAATCCCCAGCGGCGCCCTGCTGCAGTGGCACCAGGAGTCAAACTCCAAAGCACACACATCACTCTGATAGCAGCACCCTGCATCAGCAGCACCCTACAGTACCATCACCCAAATTCCAAAGAGCACATAACACCTTGATAGCGGCACCAACAATCAGGCTCCAAAAGGCAAACAACACTCTGACAACAACCAAAGCGGAAACAGCACTCTAACAGCCGCACCTTGCAACGGCACCAGCACCCCTGTAGCGGCACGCATTTAATAAAAACTTAGGAACTAATAGTTCATACGTAATATATTATGATATAACAACAATAATTAAGCAAGATAATTATGATAATTATTTGCTATTTTTTGAGAATATAAAATATGCAATAATTAATAATTATGTGTAATAAGTTTGTTGGCAACATCAATTTCTCAGATGGGAATCATTCCAACTTGATTGTTTGATAACATAGTTCTTTCAATCTCAAAGATATAATGGTTATTTTAATATGAGAACCTTTACACAATAGTGTCTGTATTGATCTCAAGATATTTTTGTTAGGAACAATCGATCATTGTTGTGATTTTAAACTTGTGGACGGCTTTGGACAATGAAAATCCTCTCCGTCACGTCCACACATCCCTCAATGTCCTCAGGTCTCAGCAAATACAAAAAATCTGACCGGCTGGATTTGCTCTTTGGGGTTGGGGCTCCCAAAAAATAAGACCCGTTTCCAACATTTTCCAAACATCCCTATCATCAGATCCTGTAAGACAAACTGTTGCATTCCTGGTGGAGGCTAACTGCCTAACTGCCTCCCCGTCCTATCATCCGGAGATTCCACATTTCCGGAGCAAAACCAGGTGCTTCATGTGCTGAGGGCGGCCGGTTCAACCACTAGTTTTGGGTATACGGTGGTATACAGGGTATACCCAATTTGTGGTTCAAACGAATAGATCAATGAATTCTCAGTAGATGACTTAAGCCCCAAGACTTGTTGCTTCACCTATCCCTATAAATTTGGCATAGTTTTGGCTCATCCCATCCATACCCAACCCCCAGAAACCATGGAGACTTTTTCCCTGGGGGATGGCGGCCATGACAACGGAGGCGCTTGAGGTGCTCCATCAAAAGCCTTTTCGGTGGCCCAGCCGACCTGTGCTGTCCGTCTCAACAAAAACCCGGCGCTTTCCCCAAGAATACCATACCTCCAGATTTCGTGGTCTATCATGGTCTATCATCATTTTCCCACCATGTTTCCTACAACATTGCAAAAATTGATGGGTATCTCTTTCCTATATCGGTTTCCATATTTTTCCATATTTGTTGAATGTATTTTTCCCAGGATTTATGGTGTTCCCCATACAACAGCAGGATTTTTCCATATTTTCCCCAAAATTTCATGGTTTTCTTACCCTTCCCCAGGCTATGGCAACCAGTTACAGGCCTCCGCGATCCTTTTGAGGAGCTGCATTCGATAATCTCGGTCAGTGATGACATTTAATCCTCAGTTTTCCATCAGATTGGTGGGACATGTTGAACCGGAAACCAATTTTATACCAGTTTTTTTAAAAATCTGTTACCAGTGATGAACTATTGTTTGGTTCTTTTTTGCTGCAGTGTATAGAGGGATGGGGCACAACCTTTTTGGATCAGATCTGCATTAGGGCGACCATGTAGATGCATAGATGGTATAAGATAAAAAACTGATGGTTGATGTCATGCTCTCTTAGATTGCTACGGCGTGATGTGAATAGATCAAAAAAAACCCACAGCGTTCACTATCTAACTTCACATCAGGTCTTGCCAGCTGTCAGAAGTTCAAACGAGGAGCGATGCAATCTTTGGAAACCTTCCTTGTCCTGACAGCAGTGTCATTTATCTGAGGCTCAATCAGATTTCTTTCGCCTGTGGAAAGATCTTGTGAGGAACGACCAGAACATAGGGAACCTTAAATTCAATAGGGAACCGTAAATAGGGAACCTGAAATTCAATTCACATGGTCTTTGATTTTCCAATAGCGAAGCTTGTTCATTCCCCTTGTTTATTCCACCCCTCATGTTCATTCGTCATGAAGATTACCAAGGTTCCCAGGGCGCCCATCCCATCCGAACAACGGGAGGACGTTCAACGCTCCTCCTCTGCACAAACTGATTCGAAAAGCCCAGCGCCAGCAAAGCCCTCCAGGTCTTCACCGTTGCCTCAGCGATTTCCGGATGTTCATCCCCTAAAATTGTAGATATTGATCCATACCCTCTGGTAATTTAACATAACTATGGAAAATCACCATTTTTCATGGGAAAATGCACTATAAATGGTCATTTTCAATAGCTATGTTAAATTACCAGAGGGTAGCCATATTGATATATCATGGAATATCACCATTACACTGGTGCACCACTTCACCACTTCTTTCAGCTTCAGTTGGTGAATAGAACACATATTTCACTGTTGGCTTAGTATCGATGCAACGAATTTTCATGGGGTTTATAAACCACAGCTTCAACTGGGCACCACATTGTATGGATGCTCATCTCGCCAATAGAAATCTGATGAACTGGGGTTGAAAGCAATGGGTGCAGTACCCCCCAGAAAATCTAAGGGCTTTCTGGCATAAATTGATGAGGTTGGAGGGGGATTGCATGTGGCCCATGCGCGCTAGCCTTTCCCTTGCCACTTGACACCTAGGTCATCCTAGGTCTGCTTATCCATTCAAATAATTCCCGGCCGACCCTGTGGAAAACACGGCTGAGACAGATTTCTTTTTGCTTTTGAGGCGCTATCGGAGCGGAAGATGAGGCAGTGCTGAGTATGCAGAGCCACCTATCAAGCCATGAAGACTAGCAAGAACCGCCTGCTTCATGGTGCTTCTCAAATAAAAAACCATCGCTTCCCAACGAACAACGGGGCAAAAATGCAAAACAAGTTGGTCAATTCTTCCGGTTGTTGCCACTTTTTGGACCAAACCCTTTCAACTAAGCTCTAGAGGCAATAAGTTTCCTCATGATTTTCCCAGTTCATCTCTCCCTCTAAGATTATGCAAATAATTGCCCCCCAAAATGAATGGATCGAACATTTTCCAGCTTTTTGGTGATACTTAACATTAAGGGCAAAGGTTGAACAACATCATATGGTTGGTTAAATATCCGATATTGTTGGCTATATATTCATGATTCTTCCAGTTATCTGGTGATTAAAAGAGCTATATAATGATAACTTCTAGTTCCTGAGTCCATACTAAATCACCTATGTAATCTTTGTGATATTTTATGTATTCCCAGCTATATATAGTATTTCACAGTATTTCCATGAAAAAAACATACACCTGGTGATATACAGGGTTATACAGGTGATATTCCCCATAGAATCCCGATGACATCTGCCATTTTCATTGCTCAACTTATCATTTCTATTGATCAATCGATCGATCATCCATGTTCAAGGTCAACCCCTGAATTTCAGGCTTAAAGCCATAGATTAACCCCTCATTTTGCTGCTTGATGGTTGGTCAACCCTCCATTTTTCAGGCTTTCCCCAATGGTCAACCCTCCCCAGGGCGTACGCTCTTGCTGGGGAAGGAGATCACCCTTGGTTCGCCACCCTTGCGCATGGCGAAGCTCAAGGCGCGCCCCGGAAAGTTGCCAACCTCCAAGGTCACGGCAGTGCCGGCAGGCAGTGCCGGCTGACAGGTTGGGCTCAGGAGGCTTGAAACGATGGGTTTACCCTCTGGTAAACATACCAAAAACTATGGAAAATCACCATTTTTCATGGGAAAATCAACTATTTCTATGGACCATGTTCAATAGCTATGTTAAATTACCAGAGGGTACTGAGGCTTGGTTCAGATTTTCGAAAAGGTCGGTTTAGGATTTATTCAGGGTTAGGTAGTGTTTGGTGCTATTTAGAGTCGTGTTAGGGTTTATTTAGGGTTATCAGTGGTTCATTTAAGGTTGCTTTAGGGGTTTTTTAGGGTTGGTTCATTTTCTTTTTTTGTAAAGGTTTTACATGTTGTTGAGGTTTTCGTAAATGGCTCGAAACACTGCAAATGATTGAGAATATGTTTAAGGACATATTTCAGAAGGTGATTTTTTGCACCGTCTTAAGCGCAAAAATGCAATGAGACGCGGGTAATATCAATATGTACACTGGAACTTTGAGCAAAACGCCCTGAAACAACACAGAAAATTGCAGTCGCGCATGGAATTCCGTGGATTTCGGGCGGACAGTCACCGCCAGCGATACAGTAAACATCAGTAAACACATGTCAGTATATATCATTCGTCATCCTGAAGTAGATAGAATATGGCATGTTTAAACATATTCCCATAATTAAACCGTGGAGAACCATAGTTCAAATAGTGATAATCTGATACTTAATTCCAGATGTACCCCCCAATAATTCACAGCTGTTTGGGGCTTATGAATCCAGAGTTGACACTGCAACACCCAATCCTAAAACGTGGTAAATTTCATCGTTTCTATCTTTTCAGGGTCACTACATGTATATGTTTGATCAGTTTTGTATATATGTATAAACACCATAATGTACAGACATATGTATATGATTGTATATGCATATTTCATATTCAGGTATATATATCATATTATATATACACATTATATATCATATATACATTATATTATACATATATGTAAATTAGATGTGTCTTTCCGTCTGTTCCTTCCAGTTCCCAGCTGACACATATAAGTCGTCGCTGGACACCCATCTGCACAAAAAAATCGAGCTATGATGAGCTATGGATATCTCATTTGATATCTCCAAGAATCTGCGTAATTTGCGGCTCATGGGGATCATTCATCATTCTCCTTACAGCGATTTTGACCTTTGGTAGTCACATGATGGTCACAGGCTTAGTTTTGACCCAGATGAATGGAGGAACGCCAAAAGCGAAAAATTCTAGGCATCCAAAGCGAAACAAGAAAATCACAGCCTCCTTACATGTGAGTATGGGTCAATATTGGGCAATTATTTCCAAAATGGTTGATACAGTTGATACAATTGATACACATACCAGTTCACGGGTTAACTGTCATTCTTATTGATTATTGGTTGTTCAAATATGAGCAAATATCAATGTGATTATTGGTCATACAACCATCATTATTATAAATTAATATCAATGATTGTGAATAATATTGGGTAACCAATATGGTGGTATACCATGGTATACCTAATGATATTAGTTCATAACTAATGATATTAATATTAGTTCATAACTAATGATATTAGCTCATAACTAATGAGATTAGTTCATAACTAATGATATTAAATTATATATATACACATATATATATATATTGAGTTATTGGTTAACTCACGTTAACTCAAAATACCTCGATTTCTCTTCGCGACATCTCGATTTCTCGTCTCCAAGGAGCCAGAGTCTCTCCTCTTCCGGCCACCAGTTCTCCATAGAGTTCTTCCTTGTCCTGGCCGGTTCGCCCGGTCAAAATCCGGTCAAAGCACTAGCTTATCAAAAACACAACATGGTGAACAATGTCTAGAACAAACAAAATATCAAAATTATGACCAACATCTGGCTTTTGGATCTTTACAAAGTTTATGTGAATTCCATACTTGCTTAGTATAGATTGTAAGTACAACGTAACAATATAAGACGATATATGTTTAGGATCTTTCCAAAGTCTATAAATTTCCATACTTTTTAGTAACATAACACGCAACATCTAGAGCTCCAGCATCATCGTCCTTGGTGAATGGGTTGATGGTGTGGAGAACAAAGGCATACTTCGCCTCAACGAGTTCCTCCAAAGTCCATGGGACATGGGGAATTCCAGTGATTGAGGCCCCATCCGATGGCATCCTTCCAGCCAGCTTGGGAGGAAAAATCAACAAGACTGAAGATATGGCTAAAATATGTCAAAAAAACTCAGGGCGTAATTAACCAAAGTAGAGATATGAATTAATATGTTGACTGCACCTGCAGCTGCCCGGTGGTTGACCCAAGTGGATCCAAGTGGTTGACCCAAAACAGGCCAAACCGTGGCCAAAGCGCCAGGGCCTGAACCAGCACCGCCATGTTCAAATCGTGGAAGCTTCGACCAGCCTGGAATTCATGAAGATTTCCGAGAGATTTGCTCCAATGAGAAACACTCGATTTATGTGAAACGACTCGATTTCTTCGAAAAGATCAGTAGCTATTTAACTTCAACATTTTTTCAAACATGGTAGATTCTGTAGATGTAGTTTCTGTAAGCACCAAACTTCACGGGGTCCCATGCTCCAAGTTTTTCCCTTTGCAGACCAGTGAAGCCTTTGCCAAACTCACCCAGGGCCGTAGGGCAAAAAGGGAGGACCACACGCCCTTCACAGCTGCCCAGGCGTCCCTTTCATGGAACCTAGGCCGAGAAAAGATCATGGTAGGGAGATGACATGAATCAAAGATGTTATTTTTTCGCATATATGCATATATATATAGTGGGTATTATAGGCTTATATAATATATCATATTGGTATGCGTATATATATATATTATATAATTATATATAATCTATAATCTATACATATGTATATGTATATATATATATACACAATTCTATAAATTTTAAGATCACATCTATTGGGAGACAAACAGTGCTGATCTGCATGGGCTTAAACTATGGGTACGGTGCTACCCGCAAACCAGGTAGCATAACCGTATGGCTCCGATGATCATCAACCAACCATTATTTCTCAATTAGATCACTAGTCTTGATGGTCAAAACACACCATGAAATTCGATTCATTGCAATTATGTTTGATGGACATTGATGGTCAAAAATATGCTTAAAACATCCCATTCTTCTCCACAATTAAATAGCCTCATATTCACAACATTTCACAACCGGAAACTCAGTTGTCACATGTTGTCACCACTGCACCGGGTCACAGCTTGGTCAGCCGCTCCTCCCCATCCGTGGCCACTTCAGCCATGGCTTTCCGCATGGCGTCGCGCAGTTGCTGGGGGAAACGCATGGATTCGATGATCTGTTGGGCCTCCTCGAAAATCACCTGCGCCTTAAGGAGCTACGATGCTTGCAGCAAGCCATCTTTAAGGTACAGTAGCCTAGTTTTCATCTGTTTGGGCTCTGAAACTAGGGATTGATGAAAAGAAATTGCTATGAAAATAGGGAAACACAGTATCAACCATGAAATTCTGGGCTACGCTGTACCCTATTTTTCAATATTTTTCATCCATTTTCATACAAAACCTTAGTAGTCAGTTGAGATCAGTTGAGATCAGACATATTGAAGTCAGTTAAACTGAGATCATCATCCCAACGTTGATCCTTTGTTGCTGGCCAAACTTGCCGATCGAGGTGAATCATTCCTCCCAAAGAGAGCAACAAACACTTCATGTTTTGTTGATCCCTTGCCTGAAAGGTTGAAGTTTTAGCATGTTTTAGCGGCTTCTGTGGTAAATCCACCGAAGCCGTAACCACAAAAAACACCAAGAATCTCACTGCCCGGGCTATAATCCATCCATGATAAGCAAAATCTCCGGAGGGTTCACTGAGGGTGTGACATCCTCATTGGAGGTCTGCGGCTGCAATCGATTCAAGACCTTCTGCAGCATGGGTAAGACCTCCTTGTTGGCGTCATCCGTCAAGGACTTCCTTGTGGCGCCAAGGCATGGGGTACCGATTTAGGGACCCACTGAATCGGTCCTGTTTTCAAACAAACCGTACTTGGGGGGGCCAGGGGCTAGTTCTATAGTGGGCATAACCTGTGATAAGCTTCACAAGTCGAAATTTATCACCCCAAAAAAACTAGGATGTAAATGAAATGGCCCACATCATCCCACATCCATTAGTGGAACTGCGCCCCCAAGTACAACCAGCCGTTGCAGGAGGAAGCGTCTGCATGGTGCCGTACGGCAGGGCCACGGCCTGTACCGAAGGTGAACAGGTCAACAGGGATTCAATCAACATGTGGGGATGGGTCAAAACCCTGGTACCTAGTGAACCCCAAAATAGCTGGTAAATGGATGTTCATCCCCCTAAAAATGGTATGTATAGGTATTGATCCATAGCCATGTCAGCCAACCAGATGTTGTGCTTTTCTTTCAGTCCACAAATCTGAACGAAAGTTCCCTGCTCATACTCCCAAAGCAACCCCAAATAGTCTTTGACAAGCCATTGTCGACAAAAAACAGTGTTTTAACATGGTTTCACCATGTTCAACCTATCTTTTTCTGGGATTCTCATGGACTATGACTATATTCTGACCCCATTCAAACATCCGCCTTGCTCACAAGGAGTCACCCATGCGAGCCCACCTGGGGTGTATAGATCTCAGAGGGCAACTTGGGTCGCAGCAGAGCCAGGTTCAAACTTTTGGAGCCCACGGAAGTTCTGCCGAGGCCGCGAGGCCGCGAAGCCGCGAGGCCGAGGCCGGGCTTCAAACGATGCGTTTTTAGGGCTGGGTCGATTTTGCTGCGAGCTTTAGATACACGAACTTGAAGTAGGCACATAGATTTCATAGATATTCATGAGGTTTTTTTCCAGGTAAGTTTGAAATGTGATGAAACCAATGATAACATGGAGGTTTCGTCCAAGTCACTATACCGTTTTTAGTATTGAAACTCAGGGTGACGACTGGGGATCCCCCATTTTACATCACCGTGACGACTCCCCACCTGTTCATCTCATCTGGACGTACACACCTCGGGAAACAGCCGGGTGCAAAATGAGCGAACCAACGACTAGGAAAGAAGAAGGCAATCTGGGGGTGAAACATGGCTTCAATGTGGGTGGGAGATAGTGGTCTTTAGTGGTGTTTGGCGGTGATTAGTAGTGGTTAATATCCATTACAGTAATAGGAATTAATAGTAATTGGTCATGGGATGAATATGGATTAACCATGTAGTAATTATATATATATATATACTAACCATGACTAATTAACCAACTAACAATGTTTATTAGTAATTATCCTCTGGTAATAAAACATGGTTTCTTGGAAAATCTCCCATTTAGTTCGTTGATTTTCTTAGCTATAGGCACCATGGCCTGGGGTGAAACTCTCAATGGGGATTCACGACAGAGAATTTTCCAGTAATTTATAAATTGCCGAAAATCCGGCATTTGTAGATGATTTTCCCACTAAACCCATCTAAAACCTCCATTTATAGAGAAATTTGCACTTTAGCAATCTCAAATTTCCATGTGTGATGTTCCAGTTTTTAATTGAACATTGTGACTTTCTGAACCGCAAATAACCATGCAGTGCTTTATCATGCCACTTTTGTCTCACCTGGCTTCCATGCAAAATCTTTGAATCGTGGCTTTACTGGACCATGTTCCACATATATCAAAAACTATTCCAAATAGACCTCCTATTCTATTCTGGACCAGCCAAAGTGAAAATCAAAAATCAAGACAATCACCCCAATTTAAAAATCAAAAATCAAAAGCTCAATCCACAAAAAACTGCAGCTAACTTTGGATAAGATACCAGGAGCACTTCAGATCATCTGTAAGATTCATCTTCACTTCTGCCTGTGCAGCCTGAGATCAGAATACCCGGTACCAGCCCTTGAAGGTGAACCTAAGTGTGTCACATAGGATCACACATAGCTAAGCATCTACCTATACATTTACAATCTACTGTACACATATATATATAGGTACGGTATGTATGTATATAAATACATTTGTATATATATATAATTATGTATATATATATATATAATTATATGTATATATATATACCAACAAAACGTCCTTCAAGCTCATGATTCTCTTTCGAGATATGTAATTGTTACTGTTGGTTCACCCGCATAGTTGGTTAGTTACAAGTCATTGGAAACCTCATTCGTATCCACTAAAATGCTATATTGCTGATAAGATCGTTCGTTATATTCCATTGGAAAGAAGAAAACACTATATAGTTGATTATATCCCCATCTCCATTATTGTGTGTATACACATATAATTATATATAATTATCAACAATAAATAATTACATATAATATATGTATATGTCGACAATGGGATTCTATATAGCCCATTGATATAGTTGACCATGTCCGCATATCTCACTATTGTGACTATGGGGATGATATACAGACCATTAATATCCACTAATCCCATCCTCCGGGTATAAAACACCCCCATAACTTACGATGGCCTATGGGGGGTGTTCTGGGTGTTTAATATGAAAGGGGGACAATATTGTCCCACTAAACTAAAACAACACCGTAGATTATATATATATATATCTATTAATATTATATCACCCATATCACATATATAACTCTAGTGAGATTAGGTGTTTTTTATCATCACATATCTACACTTGTTTCATTAGGAAAAAACACATGGTTGGAACCATAGTGCCATGGGGGTGTTTTTTTAGGGGGAAAGGGATTCATATCTATTCATCATGAAATATCTAATCCCCCCTATTAGTGGATTATTCATTAATAGCTATATAGATGAATTATTAATGGTGATATATTATTAATATGGGGATATTCGTAGCATATCTATTAATTCAACTATGGTGATATATTCATTAATAGCTATAATGATTTTCATTGTATCCCACTATAGTTGACTTTCTGGGGTTGATTCTATAGTCGCTTACTACTAATATGCCATTCAGATCCCATTCATATCCCATATGAAGTATATCTCATAGATTTTAAATCCATGTGTCCCATATTTAAAGTCATAGAGTAAAACCCACAATTTCCCTTGGATTATATATTAATCCAATCAGATTCCTTATGTTCCAATTAGATTGTCAATGGATTCCCATTATATTTCCGTTATATTCCCATCATTGATGATGGGGATGGGATTATACATACTATATATATATGTATATTCATCATTCATATCCTTAACTTCCATTAGGTAAGCATTATATAGTTGACTCTATAGTTGCTTATTATCAATATCCAATTAAGATACCATTCAGATCCCATCTTAAATATATCTCAATACTTCTAGATCATCATATCATATTATATCCTTATATCCCATGTTGAGACCATAGATCAAAATGATTGAAACAACCATAGGTTTGCCATGGATTACCCTCTGATAATTTAACATGGCTATTGAACATGGCCCATAGAAATAGTTGATTTACCATGATTTACCGAACTTAGAGATGGATAGATGGTGACTTTCCAGAGGGTATAGTTGATTTATACATTCATGGTGATCGGCGATCTTCGGCCTTGGCATGCTCCGCCTCGGCCGCAGCCTGTTCCGCTTCGAGCGAGGCGGGCTTTTCGCAGGCCGTCACCGTTAAGCTGCCGTCGGCCTTACACCTGCAACGTGGAAGCTGCAGTTTAAAGAGATTTCACCCATGATTTCATGAGATTTCATGAGATTTCATGAGATTTCATGAGATATGTGTTCTTTTTTTGATTGAAATTTGATTTCTATACCATGTCCAAAGGATTTCTTTTTTTGTTCTTTCCGACAACCATTCAGGTTTATTTTAGATTTCGGAAGCCCCGAAGAAGATGGCGAAAGTGTCCAGTTTTCCAACCTTTCGCCATCTTTTTGGAGGTTGCTATAGAACCATCTAGGACCGATTTGAAGACTTTTTTGTTGCACAATCATCACCTAAAAAAAAACGGAAGTTTAGACAACAAGAATGCGGACTGGATCAATGAACACAGGGATATGAACGCATCATGGGGAATCAAATGGGGATGAATTTCGGTCAGATTTTACCAATGCGCCGGGATATCTTCACCACAGTCCTCACTGCGTGTGCATGTGGCCAACAATGGCATGTGTTGAACCATAGGTGATGTGAGTCACCTTCCGAACAACCGGCCATCACAAACTCCGAACGGCCAGTGTATCGCTGCAGAACGTCACTTCCTTTTTACCCACAATGATGCCAGTAGTAAAGCCTCGATGGTCACTGTTGGTAGCTTCGTAACATTTTCGTAACTATGGTTCTATCATGTTATATCATGTTATATCATGTTCTATCATGTTATATCATGTTATATCATGTTATATCATGTTATATCGTGTTATATCATGTTATATCATGTTATATCATGTTATATCATGTTATATCATGTTATATCTTCCATAAACCACATACACCATAGAATTCATGAAGTTGCTTTAGCTAGTGAACTTAGCTTAAGTTAACTTAGGCCTCATCTAACCAAACCTCTTACAGCCTCTTCAGGAATGGCACATTCGCAGCCCTTAATCGCCTCACTTCCACCCATTGGTTCGCAAAGTCAGCAGCCAATTTCTCAGAGATCTTGGGGTCGAAACCTTAGGACATTGTTTTGACAAATCAAACATGGCAAGCCGACAAAAACAAAAAAACACATAATTTTAAACGTAATCTGGTTGGTGGTTGAGCCACCAACCCCTCTGAAAAATATGAGTCAGTTGGAATGATGACATTCCCAATATATGGAAAATAAAAAATGTTCCAAACCACCAACCAGGTAATATAAATGTATATCACAGGAAAATGCCGTGTAAATAGCCATCAATGATGTATTGAAAAATGGATGTTCCGTCGCCATCTTTGATCATAAAAGCATATCATCCAATGAACATGCTTGGCAACACCAGCCGACTGAATTAGACTCATTAGACCAAAAAAAGCCAGCATGCAGTCACATATCATGTTGGTTATCCCTATGTTTTTTTCCGACAAGTTCCCAAGATTTAGTCACTTACCCTCTGGTAAACTAACATAGCTATGGAAAATCACCACTTTTAATGGGAAAATCCACTATTTCTATGGTCATTTTCAATAGCTATTTTGACATAACCAGAGGGTAGATCCATCTAAAGCCACATTCTTTCCACGGATTTTCTGGAACGAGGCACATGTACACAGCAAGACGCCAAAGTTTCGAGCGCGCACGGCGCAGTGTGACAGGATATCGGGTGCTTCCTGTCATGGCCGGGCTCAGGGTGTCCAGGAAAATTCAGCATCTGCACCAATGGGGACTGAGGATTAAAACTAAAACCATCTGAAAATTTGGGGACTAAGAGGATTCAAAGCTAAAACCTATGTTTTGTTCATCCTTTTCCATGATTTTGATCATGATTTTCTCGTATTTGGGGGAGATGAAATGGAAGAACATCCCACAGCAGCTACCAGCTGGTGTCCAACTTCTCTCAGCCATGCCCATGTAAATTGGATCAGCCTATATCAGCATAAACAGAATATCAAGCGGGCTAGTGTTTGAACATATGTTGCTGAATAAAGATAAACATTGTATAAATTACCATAAATCATCATAGATCATTTGTAAACAACAACCATAAATCTCGTCATATCTCGTCTAAATGACCAGCAGCACCGTTTCGGTCTGGTTTCGGACATGTTTTCTTGACCGTTTCGGGAAGTCCTTTGCGCTGCGAACCAGAACACCAAGAACGCCATCTGGCACCTGAAAAGTGCCACTGGTGATATGGCTTTACATATTTCCATAATATGGATATATCATGATAAAGCCCATGTTATATATCAATGGTATCAAGATATCATGATATATCATACGGATATCTAATGTACCATATTTCATTATAGAATGGTATCTAAATGGGTAAATCCCCTTAATGGTATGTAAGGTCTTTCTATGGGTTTACAGCATTATATATAACACATTATAACATGTTATTTCAATGGGTGTAGTCTAAATCCCCTTAATTTGTAATGGCTATGACGGGGATGATCTTGAATTTGGCAGGCCCTCCTCGGACATGCTCCCAAAGCCACGTTAGATGAGCAAAGGGTCACTGCCAAAGCCACGAAATCCGCTTCCTTCCAAATGGTCAAGTCAATAGCAACCAAAAACTATAGAAAAACATTTTTCGAAAAGTCAACTGCTAAAGGTCAGGAATCCTTGTCCTTCCTCTATCTGAATTTGAAAGTTACTATTACTATGCTTACCTTTTTTCAAAAAATGGCAGCAGACCCTTCGTCCACGTCGACCTCTTCTTCTCCACTCACAGCACCACTGAGGAGAATCGTTGGCGTATGGAAGACTTCTCCTTGCACTCCAGTCATCTTGTCGATGAGTTGTAAGACGCCCTGGCACGGAAAAATTGTGGAATGATACTGTGGATGGTTGCAAAATCCTGCACCACAAAAAGGATGGTTGAAACCCTATAAATAATGGGATAAACCATTTATCAACGGGTGCAGGTTTTTTTCAATCCACAGTAGGGAGTGTAAAACTGCTTGCTTGCTCCCAACCAATTCATCCAAGTCATTGGCCAATTTTACGATTGAAACCCATGGCAACTTGGGGAACCCCTATTTGAGAAAACCTCCTAAATGATGGTTTTGAGTTTCAATTTGATGGATTTTCCACTAGTGTAAGGTACGCATGGGGCTGTCTTAACATTAGGAACATCGTTTCATCATGTTTCACCCCAGGTTTTCAAGCGTATTTCTTGTCCAGGCTATTCCAAAAACCTCCAAAAACCCGAGAAGTCCAATTGATCCCATGGATTTTGGTGATATCCCATGGATATCCAATGGATTTCTTGGGATCTCTCCACTTAAAATTCATTGGCGCCTTGATAGGCTTGTCGATGGGAGAGATCATTTGCCATGGCGGCCTTGGTATCGACATATACGTAAGATTTGTAGCTGGGTAAGGCTAGGTGTATGTATTTATTATCATTTTTTATCATTTATATATATATATTTCATTTATCTATTCATTCAATTATTTATTATTTCATCTATATATATATATACACCTAAGATGCCCATTCATGCCAAAGTACATGATTTTCACAATGTACGGTATACATCAGTATATAAAATGGACCTAAGATTCACAATCTATGGTATATCATCCAATGTATGGTATATCATCAGTATATAACATCTTAGATCCCCATTATATAATATTCAATGGATTGGTATTGTTGGGAAAATCTTAACCGGAAACCATAGATTTTCCCATTTTTTCTATGGGGCTTTCCTATAAATTGTCCCTTAAACCAATCCATTGAAATATGGCAGTGTGTCAAAACCTTGTACCCCTGGTGAACATCAAAATAGCTGGTAAATGGATGTTCATCCCCCTAAAAATGGTATTAATAGGTATTGATCCATACCCATATAGACCTAAGATCCACATTCACCACTTCAGCTTTCCAGGTCGCAAATGTGCGAGGTCGCGCAGCACCGGTTCCATACGCTGCAGGATCAAACTCACGGCCTCTGCGGAAAGCCAGAAACGGCACGCTATGCGACACCTCTATGGCTGTTAAGTACGAGTCATGGTATATCTACAGTATATTAATCTATATGTAATGGCGGGGGTCATAAACTAATCTAGAACTGAGGGGGCCAATACCATGCAAATGCGTTATGTGCATGTACATGTTATTAATAATTACTAATGATTATACGTTTCATGCTAGTATATTGGCAATTGGATAGTTCATTCGTATCCATGATACTGCTGCTAAAACAAGTTTTCGTATTACCTATCAAATATAACTCCATCAGTTATCGTTCTAGTTTATCAATGCTTATCATCCACTATGATCCACTATTCTGTGGTGTGATTTCATAAATTCCATTGAACATATTAAACTCTGGTAAACTAAGATAGCTATTGAATATTGCCCAGTCGAAATAGTGGATTTACCCATTAAACATGGTGGATCTTTCCATAGTTTTTTGTATGTTTACCAGAGGGTAAATCATCATTTTCTTAGTTTTTCCCATCATTTTCCCAGGTTTTCCTAGTTTTTCCCCAGCTTTTCCCATGGTTTTCCCACTTTGAATCTGCGCATCCACTGCGCATCCACTGAGCATCTGACCATCAGCGAGGTGCCGCGAAGAACCTGAATTGCATCGTTCCATAAAGCTACAAGAGATCTAGCAACTCATATGGAGATATCATGGATATAATATATATATATATGTATATATGGATATATAAATAATAATAATAGTAATAATAATAGTAATAATAATAATAGTACAGTAGTAATAATAATAATGATAATATGGATGTATCACCAGGATATATATATATATATGAAACCAGGATATATAATCAGAAGAGTAGCCATAACTCGCTAGTGTTCCTTTTTTTGGCAAGTATGGGATCAAGCCAGCTGTACGATGAAGGGATCTCCTGCATCTTGGTCAACTTCCCAAAATTCAGCAAGGACCAGCTATACGAATCAGGACAGGGATGCACCATTGAATTGTATCAATAGGGAAATGAAACCCCTCTGAAAATCGATGTCATTGAGATGGGTAGGGATGGGATCACCCTATTGACTGTTGTCTCTCAAGTCTCTTTCGCAGCTACTTTCGCGCCCGCTTTCGCGGCCTTTTTTTTTGACTTTCGCGAAAGAAGCAGAGTTAACAATTTGCATAAATCCTTTCCTGGAGGTTTTTGACTTGAAGCTGCTCATTTTGGGAACCAGCAACCAAACATAGTCATGCATGTTTCCAACCAATTCACCAGCAACTTTTAGTTCGTAGCTAATGGGGTTTTGCAACAACCTACTTACATCTTACATGTTCAAAGCATTGCCTTATACACAAACAACAGCAGAGCTTTAAAATTACTTGCGGCAATACAGTGGTTGTTTGGAACCACAAAGGGTCATACATCACGTCCATGGGAATACCTTCAAGGAATCCAGGTCTGACAGGAAAACAATCCCAGTGCCGGTGTTTTAAGAGTTCGCCACGGGAAATTACAAATTTCTAGATGATTGACCTATTATCTCCATGGCCATATTTGATCCAGTCATCCAGCATGTCATCGTCTGCATGATGTAATTGCTGCTAGAGTGGGATGTGCAATGGCAACCAACGTCATCCTGGTTGAGGCATGTCATGATCTCCAGCTTTATCCTTGAACACAACCACAATGTGACAATGTGCAGCATTGTTCATGAATTCGAGCAGCGATAAACATTGGCTAGCGGCTATTCCCCATCGCCTCTAACTGTACATCAACATAAGCAAAAACTGAATTGATCTGTAAATGATTTTTTTTTTTTTAAGATCATTCCTATAAATGTTGATATCATTAGTAGTGCTTGAGCTTCCATTTTGGCAATGACTCCAAGGCCGGTTCATATCTGGTTTGCACCAGGTGGATGAACACAACAATCATTCGTTCAACAACAATATATCTTCCCAGTCTCAAAAAGAGACGATGCCCCATGCAGCATCTATGTGTATGTATGTATGCTAAATATATATATATAGTCTTCCTTGAGTAGATAAAATACATATATATATAAAAATAAAAAACAACTCAGTAAAATGGACATATGTTAAAAACAAAAAACATGTACTATCTACTTCAGGATGGTTATATATATATATTATCAGATTTATCCCTTGAATATCCCGTTCATGTATATTATATATATATAAGTATCTCATTCCATTAAATCACCATTAAACCCCAAAACGTCATACATCCCCAACGTCAAAAGGCCTCGTCCACAAAGACATCAATGTTCTTCTTGGGTGCATCAATGGCGGTTCCCAGGAAAGCGGCCTTCGGACCTCGAAACGCACCAGGAATCTGCCTAGGGATGATTACCCTAATCATCGGTGTAAATTGATATTATTTGATGAATTTTGATGAATAGTGATTAATAATTGATTGATTAATATTGATAATTGAATATTCCTTGTAACTTTAAATTTAATATGATTGATTTTATTACTATATGTTGCGTCACGTAAGTATACATACTGAAAATGAAATGTTTGAACATACCCTTCGGTGATGTATCGAACATGGTGATGAAAAGTCCTCCAGTTCTAGATTCTCTATGTTTCCATTCAAACCTTCAGTCATAGGGGGATTTCCCATTGCCATGTTTGACTTCCGGAGGGTCGAAACTTAGGCGCCAGCCCATCATGGTCTGGCACTTGTCACTCAACTCCCCCACCACACGACTGGTGCGATCGCACAAGGCCTCCACGATGGGAGCCGATGGGCTCAGCCGATGATCCAATGAGGCTACTAGCAACTGAAGGCAAAAGCCTAACACCAAGGCATCCAAATGATGAAATATGATGAAATGGCTACTTGCTATGGCTATAGACCCATTTCAATATGTATATATATATATACGTATGATGTATTGTGATATGTTATATCTGGTAGGGGAATCATCGAAAGGGGTGCTTCCCGAACATTTGGAACTCCAAAGTCCAGGAATTCTCTATGTCTACAAGCATGGACCATTGTGCAAGAGTAGTGTAGAGATGTTTGTGGTCCCAAGTTGAAGAAGCAAAATTCAGCGAAGTTGCCATTAAACTCATTAAACATCATAAAACCAACAAATCATCAATGCGTATGGCTAGCGGCTAGACCTAGGGCGGATTTCTCGTTCTTTTCCGGTGATTCCCATCCCCCATGCATCCTCCCCATGGCGGCACCTTCAGCAGCAAGGCGCTCTCCTCAGGGGAATTCCAGCGTTTCTGCGAGCAGCTGTCGGAAAAGGTGGTCCAATCCGCCAGCAACGCTTGCAACTCATCCTCCTGAGACTTGCGATTCAGAAATGATCAAAAGCCTCCTAGTCCCCAAGGGGATTGGCAATATATGCAATATCTATTATGGGCTCTTCCTAAAGACATTCATGTGGTGCACTTACTATTACCATCTATTACCCAACTCTCATCCAACAATTGAGGTATTTCTAGGGTATTTCAGAGGTGTAAACCAAACCCTATTGAGTTTGCCAATGGTTTTGTTCTGGGTTCCGAGTGCATTCGTCACCCCTACCAGATAAAGCTAATATTGACAACCCAATATCCTACATCCTACATATTCTAGTCAAATGGCTTATAGCATTGCCAATCTTAGATACCCTGCAAAAAATTAAATTCTTTGCTGGTTTAGTAGATATTCCCATTAATACCAAAAGACTAAAGGATTAAAGTATCCATGTAAGATTGACCTAGATAGGGTCAAAATTGTTGTACCCCAAACATCCCAAAACTTGATGGTTCGAACAAAAATGATCAAGCTAACTGTGCCCCTGCATTCTTCACTGACTTGACAATCAAATATTCAAATCTTTGTGCAGTTTGACCATGTTGGTTGCGCAAATCCGCTATTTTCTTTGATGAAATCCCAGCCATTGGGGCTACCCCGTGGTGCTTTAATTGACGCCACGGAAAATGACCCAGAACACGCTGAGAAACTGGTGACTTCTCAGAGCAAACTTCACCTCTCCATGAAAATTGTGGATTCACATAGTTCATCATCCACCCATGAAGCTAAAGAGCACTAAAATGTTTCAGAACGCATTTGAGTTCAATCCTAGCTTCATTCACTATAGGGTACACTAACATAGATCTGGAAAACCTATGGAAAACCATGGAGAAAAGCATGGGAAACCCTATGGTTTCTCAAGCCCTACCAGGTCCTGTGGCAGGTGTCCCACCAATGCCGTCAACAAGGCCCGCAGCTGTCCGCAGAGCTGCGGCAAACGCGTCTCGGAGGTTAAGCCCTGGACCAAAACACTCCTCCAAGTGGTGTCAGAAGCGATGTTCAACCAGAAAATGGTGGTTTTCCCATGAAACATGTGGATTTCAATAGGAACAGTCTTTAATTTTGAGAATCAACAAATGAATTTTGGCATGGGATTTTAGTCCTTGGGTGACTTGGGCTGCTTTCAGGGTTCGGAACATCTATGGCAAATATATGGACACCTGTGATTTTCAGCAGCAACAATGGAGGTTTATCCAACAAGAATGGGCTTTGAAGCATCAAAGATGGGGTTGAGCAAGAACAACTGAATTATTGCCTTAAAGAAAAAGGAACACACCACCGCTTATGCGGATTTAAGCAACAATAATAGGGATATTTCAGGGGTTTTATCATTCCCCCTTCCATATTATGAAACTTTGCATGCTTCGACCCCTCACCACGTTTTGCCTTGGTTTAATCACTGATTTTTCAGATAAAATCAGCATGTGTGTTGCTGAAAAAATCATCTATTTGTCTCATCATCATATCTTCATGGGATGTGAACCCCAAATCTGTTGGTACCAAGCCAACCAAACGTAGGTAATACATGGTAATACAATTGTTGGTGCAGTTCCACTACGTTATACGCCCTTAGTTTTTTCAGGCGGCTCTCAGGCCACCCAAGTTGCAGGGTCCCGGCCCCATTTCGATGGCCGATCCAAGTTGCTGTTGCGTCTCCAAGGTGTAGTCGATGACAAGCAATTGTTTGATCACCGAGGGGTCCGTCCCCTCCGCTGAGTCCGCGACGAGAGGAGAGAAACACGAGGCCAACGTCCGAAGTACAATACTGTCTGGTTGGTGGTTTGAACCTCTCTGAAAAATATGAAAGTCAATGGGAAGGATGATCCCATATTTTTAATGGAAAATAAAATATGTTCCAAACCACCAACCAGATATGGATCCTATACTGTCTATACTGTGTCGGTGACTTACGTCAAGAGTCATTGGAGCTGGAAATTTCGGTGTTTTCCATCTGGGGATCACTACGTCAAGCATTGTTTCAAGATGACTAACACCTTCCCCACGGGGTGACTTTTCCCGATATCATGCCGGCCATCCCAAAGTTGGTTTGCAGCTCACGTGGCCCACCCAAAGCCAATCTATTCTACAAGCTCTGGTTCTTCAACAAAGTCGAGAAAAACATATTTGGTAAGTCGGTAACCACGTCTTCAAATTCAAACTTCATTAGTCATTTAAATCTGATTGGTGGTTTCAACCCCTCTGAAAAATATTAGTCACTTGGGATGATTCTTTCCTGTATATGGCAAAATAAAAGTCATGTTCCAAACCACCAACCAGATAGTCATTTAAATCATTTGGTGACTCAAAACCATGCTACCTAACGGAACCCAACGGTACCCATTAGGGTACCCCTCTAGAGCCTCTAGCTACCCAAAAAAAATCCCAGCTCCAGTGCCTTGTTGTTGAGGATAGCCAGCAACTCATCACGTCCCGATGAGATCTTCATGAACTTGCCATGGCCTATGACGGGCATCAAACGTAGGTCTGTCATGGAAAAAACACCAGCTTCCACACATTTGTGCTAAATTCAGCTAAAGGTGATATCTTTCAGAACATAAGATAACTTTGGAATAGCAGCCAGCATCATGAAATGATGAGTTATTCCTTAGATCATAATATAAGCATGGATTCTGGTAAAGCCACGACGTTGTGCTGAATCATGGTTAAACCACGACCAGGAAGTCCTGGGTGTATATATATATATATAAGAACATATTATTATATAATATCATAATATATTATCATCTTATATTACCTATGTCGAACATGAATTGGGGCTGAGGTATCTTTTCGCAAACAAAGAGTTTGGCAGTAGAAATTATGCAACTCCGCAAAGATCTCAGAGTTTCCACTCCAGTATTTTTAGTGAACTATCAGCCACTCAAGTGGTTTTTCGCAAATATTTTCAGCCAGGCCATCTGACACCATCTGACACCAGCCTTCATCCAGGTTGTTGAAACCAGTTCCGCCCATGTTGCAGATGTCCTGAAGTTTTCCTGGCCGAATCTGGGCTGATCTGAGATCGCCTGTTTCATGCCATGGATTCGCCATAGCATACCCCTAGGGAAACTGGAAAACGACAGCTGGAGCTGCAACAAAAACGACCTAACCAAGTCACTGAACCTTCCCAGACTCCATCCTAACCCAAACATGAGGCTACCTTTGATATTGGATATGTCCATTTTGATTCATGGAGTTGCTTTTTCTCAACCATGTTTTTGTAGTGTTTTTGTTCCCCAACATGTTCAGACAAACCCAATTGATAGGGTTCATAACGAGAAGGTGACTGTTTGAAAATAGAGTTGCATACTCAGAATGTCAGAGTATCAACATATCGACGTTCCAATAGTTTTCCCAACACCTTCATATCCACAAAATCTAGTTTCACTCTTTTGCACGGTTTCCCCCATGTATATATGTTTCTGAAATAGGGTAATTACCCCCAAATCATCCAATTTATATAGGATTCTCCATGAAATAAACATCAATAAACCATCCAGCGAGCTTGGGGTGCCAATAGTTTAGGAAAGCCTCATATGGGGGTCAAAACCCACTATCACCATATTACCATGGGAAAAATCATCCATAAACATCCATTCACCAACGCTCGGATAAACATCGACGCCTTGCACATGGCCCGGCAGGCAGCCCTTCGCATGGTCCAAGGCCAACTGCAGGTCCAAGGCGTCGTGGACGTTGCGCAGGATCGCCAAATACCTCGGTGGGATTCATCCACTTAGAACTAGGCTTATAACTAGTTGTAAGCTACTTCCTAAGTGGGATGAACCACCAAGTATGTATATATGATATATGATTGTATATGATTATGTATATATATAGTACATACATATATTCCGATTTGCAATTATGGATATATACGTGGTATAATTCTTTATCTTTACGTAATTGGTATAGATCCCACTTTGTGAATCAAAAAACAAATCAACAAAAGTACCAATCCACGGTTGACCAGTTGACTTCTTGAAGGATCTTGAAGGTGTGTGTTTTTTTTCCCCAAACAACGTGGCTTTAGGCTGGAGATCTCTTGGGTTGTACAAGTGACCCACTCACACTCTGGTGGCAAAAAATCGGTCTCTGGTAGTAGGCCAGTCAATTTGAGGTGCGGGTGAATGACCCACTGCGCCTTTAGGATAGGGTAATCCTCATATTTGGAGATGCTGAATATGGCTGTGAATCAGATTTTCCACTGAGACCTGAGATGTGAAATGTGCGTTGATCGATGGTGAAATTGGCTTGTAAACATCTTGATCCATCCATTAAACTGACAGTCAATCACAAGAATTACTGTCAAAACATCTTGCAGGACTTGCTCAGGCTGGTCTTCACCTACGACGACCCTGAGACTGGTCCTTGGGAAGCCATCGTTTGGGGGCTTGGGTTTATGCAACCGACAGAAGTCATGGCATCTGTGGGTCAAACCCGATCAACCATGTCAATCCATGCCATCTGCTGGGCACTTTTACACTGCGAATTGAAGGGCGACATTGCCCCAACTACAAACATCCAACTGCAACTGCAGAGCTATCCCCACCACAAAGTGGATCGCCCCACGTCACAACCGAACCATCCGCCAGGATCGCGGCAAATGCCCTCGAAGTTGCTTGAACCTGCTGGACACCTTTCAGCTGTTCCTGGACTTTGGAGCTGTCACCACCATGAGGTTGAAGGCCCCAAGTCACAACGGACCCATCTGCCAGGATTGCAGCAAATGCACCTGAAGTTGCTTGAACCTGTTGGACACCTTTCAGCTGATCTTGGACTTTGGAGCTGTCACCACCATGAGGTTGAAGGCCCCAAGTCACAACGGACCCATCTGCCAAGATTGCAGCAAATGCACCTGAAGTTGCATGAACCTGCTGAACACCTTTCAGCTGATCTTGGACTTTGGAGCTGTCACCACCATGAGGTTGAAGGCCCCAAGTCACAACGGACCCATCTGCCAAGATTGCAGCAAATGCACCTGAAGTTGCTTGAACCTGCTGGACACCTTTCAGCTGATCTTGGACTTTGGAGCTGTCACCGCCATGAGGTTGAAGGCCCCAAGTCACAACGGACCCATCTGCCAAGATTGCAGCAAATGCACCTGAAGTTGCTTGAACCTGCTGGACACCTTTCAGCTGATCTTGGACTTTGGAGCTGTCACCACCATGAGGTTGAAGGCCCCAAGTCACAACGGACCCATCTGCCAAGATTGCAGCAAATGCACCTGAAGTTGCTTGAACCTGCTGGACACCTTTCAGCTGATCTTGGACTTTGGAGCTGTCACCACCATGAGGTTGAAGGCCCCAAGTCACAACGGACCCATCTGCCAAGATTGCAGCAAATGCACCTGAAGTTGCTTGAACCTGTTGGACACCTTTCAGCTGTTCCTGGACTTCAGAGCTGTCACCACCGTGAGCTGGATTGCCCCAAGTCACAACGGACCCATCCGCCAGGATCGCAGCAAATGCACAGGATTTCTGGGCCAGAACCCTCAAGTCCTCTACTTTGGAGGACTGTGGAATCGAAAACTGTTCACTGCGACCGCTTGGGACAGCTACGGTGACTTGAAGCATGTGATCTTTCCAATTGACTTGAGCCAAAATGCACCAAAAAATCGTCCCCAAAGCTATCAGCAAAGCCCCATGATTTGTCCCTGTCCTCTCTTAACTGGTGGTGATCTCTTGGCTATTGCCAATTCTATGGCCAGTTTTCATTGTAAATTGTAAGATCAACCTTCAGCCCAACATTTTCTGCAGATGGATGAATCATAAAATAGACTACTTCAAAATCTCTTGGTTGGTCATTATTTTGAGCTATTTGATGGCATGGCCATAAACCAAAAAAAACAGTTCCCATCTGATCTACCAGTTACCTCTCGAAGTCGTTGATGAGGCGTCCCACATCGGTTTGAACCATGTAGGGTTCGGTGGTAATGGGTCGACTGTAGGAAGTCAGATGTTCCTGACACCAAAGCAGTGGGCACAGGGTGGTGCCGCAGTTTGTTTGCTCAGGTGGTACATAACAAAGGGAAATTAAGCAGCAAAATTCAAGATTCAACCAACAACCATTGACATCCATTGACATGTTTTCTTTTAGCTAAGTTGGCAAAACCAGTAAGTTAACTGTTGGGTGCTTCCGTCTTACCAGCGCACGATCGCCGTAATTATCAGCTGAGCATGAGCTGGACTGTCAATTGGATCATGATCCCACTCCAAATTCAGATTCTCTTTTGGCCATCAATAATCTTGATATATCTTGATATAATATATATATATATATTGATATATCTTTTGATACATATTCTGATATATACATATTCTGATATATACATATATATATATATATCTTGATATGTATCTGGATATAGATCTTGATAGTGCTTTTCTAATCCATTGGAATTGGAAGCTATTCCCATCTCTTCCCATCTAATTATTCCCATCACGATATAAGGCCGCCTTGGTGATGCCATGCTCTCCAAGCACTCTCCAGTAAGAGCCCATGTCACCACCGCCGCGCAGGTATGCAATGATGGCTCGGCAAATGCCGATGTCTGCAGGGGTGGTGTTGTTGTGTAACTTCTGATGCCACTGTTCCTTGGGACGAGCCGTGTTTCGAGCACGTGCACTGGGTCTGAACTGGACCATGGGATGGGAAGAAGCTAACTTGGGATCCCAACTCATGGGGATAAGAACTATGATTCATATTCGTTTACCCCAGTGATAATACATATAAGTATAGTTATATACATAACTAGGGTATAACTATGATAAGTATATTATAAAACACTGAGTTTGGTGGAATGCAGCCCCTATTACGGGATGATTTTTTGCGACTCACCAAGTAGATTGCAGTCCAAGGTGCATAGTAGGTCCCATGGATCTCCTGCCGAACTGAGCATCCCGCAGGGCATTTCTACAGATAACTTCTGCCAGTTTGAACAGGATGGTCAGTCAATTCATTCCTGTATACCCTCTGGTAAACTAACATAACTATGGAAAATCACAATTTTTGATGGGTACTGTAAATTATAAATTGCCATTTTCAATAGCTATGTTAGTTTACCAGAGGGTATCATGACCCCCGTCTGGTGCCAGGGGGGGGTGAGGCCCCTAAAAAAATAACATAAAATGCAGGGGCCTAAGGACAAAATGCCAATAAAATGAGAGGGCATAAGGTAAGATAGGAAAATCCAAGCAAACACAATGGACAGGTACAAGAATTAAATGACGTCAGGCACCCTCCACCTGGCAACTGTTGGACGTCAGGTCCCGGCATTTTCTTGTTTAGTCTTGTTTCTTTATTTGATTGGTTTTAACCATCTTTGAAGGAAAACCCCCCCAAAAATGGCAAGACCCAACCTCCAACATATCCCAGCATCTGCGAAGTAAATGTAATCTTTTGTCGCGTGCCAACAGATGACCATCGAATCGCTCCCTGATCTGTACAGAATAGATTGTTCCCCAACTGCCATATGCTGTTTCAGTTCATATGCTCCATAAATCTCCATAATAATTCATAATGTCCAAATGATTCCAAATCTCTGGAACATTTCACAAAATGATCAGAGCGTTCACAGCTGTGCATCTTTGCTATCATGCTATCTCTGTCAGTTAACTTGATGGGTTAGGCACCTCAAAAAATAAAATGCACCCACAAAATAAAATGCAGGGGTCTGACCCATTTATTTTATTATGTTTTATTTTAAAAGGTGCTTCTGCCCCCTCATTTTATTTAGGCACACCAATCGGAGGTTATCATGTGCAACATTTTGGGTTGGCTGTTTTACTCATAGCCAACCTTAGATACGCTGCAAACAAGTCAGATTTTAGCTCCTTGATCCATTTTCGCATCAACCCACCCTTCACATGCACTGGTGGCTTCCGTCCCCTCCTCATTGATATTTACATCATTCAAATGTCTGAGAAACCAATCATTATGTCAAATATTGAAACCCGATAACCACATATTCGTATACCATCTATGAAGGGAAAACTGTTTAAAACCATACGACGCCGTGTGTATGATATATAATCATACACAAACCTTATCTTGTATATAGCTGCTCACACATATCATGTTTTTTTGATATTTCATTTTTGCGGTTTTTCTTTCCCTGTCCTTGATGTTGTGCGCGTGCATAATCACCAGGATTTCATCGCGGATCTGCTGCCCCGCAGAGCCTCCACGTCCCATGGTGGATAAGGTCCAGCGTATCCACAAGCGACAGCTGGCCGTAGACTTCCAGAGTTCCGCCTGGGAGGAAACCACGGGATGGATGGCGGTTTCATGGGAAAATACCGAGATGGCCAGTGATTGACATGGAGACATTTGGTGGTGATTGACATTGATAAATATCATCTGGTTTAATCATATCATATATTTATCCCAGATTTCCCAGTAAATCCCAATGATATCCCATGATATCCCAATCCCAATGATATCCTCATGTTAACATCTCCAAAACACGATGTTGGTGACCTCAGCCGCCGAGCCACTAGGCGTTGCGTGATCTGGTTGGTGGTGGCCGCCAACATCCGCGGCTGCGTGCAGGTGTTGCGTTCCCAGGTCAGGAGCTGCTGGAAGGAAAAGCGCTGCCAGACGAAGATCCAACTCCAGAACTCTTCGTTGGTCCTGAGGATGGCTGGATGGCTATCGAAAAAATGTGTTGCTGGTTGATATTGCCACTACTTGATCCGATGTAAAAAGACTGGAAACATCCTGCCATCCCTGAATCCCTGTTTTTGCCACCGAAGTCCCATGGTCTATCAATATCATTTACCTATAAAAATGTTTAGGACCAGGATATCGTCTTAAGAGACAAAGCCACATCCAGCCTCTCGGACTGGTACGATCGGATCACAAAAAACCCGTGGTTTCTCCGTGGTTTCTCTATGTCTCGATGCGCCAAGTTTCTCCTCTTCATTTGACATCTCAATCAATGGCATCGAGGGCATTCGCGACCACACCGCCTCCGTTCAATGGACAAGTCAAGTCATGGCTGATGGCTGTCATTCTGATCTGTTAAATATGTTTAAGGATGTGTAAGGGATAATAACAAATTGATTTCCGGTCATCAAACGTGGCAATGGAAAATCCCTTATACATGGAGGTTTTAATGGTAAAAGCCCTCTCATCAATGGTGGATTTACCAGCAAGCCATGTTTGCAGGGGTACACCCCATGGTCTGACCACCGGTGCATCGTTACTGCGGACCTTGCTGGAGTCCACCTGCACCAAAGTGGTCCAGGACGCCAAGCGTCGCATCTGAAGCCCCTGCGAGTTCTTCTCCCATTGATCCAGGAAATCCAAGCAGTTCTCGTATCTCCTGGAACCGCTGCCGAGGGCCACCGTGGGGCTGTCGAGATTCGCCAATGGAACATGGCATCCGAGAAAACCACAGAAAAAACACAAAATATTGGAAATCAAAATGCAGATCGAACATCATCAAACATCATCAAACACCATTAAAGCATATTAAAACACCATTATACATATATAATACATATATACATATATATATAATAAGTTTAATAAGCATAGTAAGAATGACCTTGCCCAACTCACCTTTGCTTCGTCACATCAGCCTCCGGTGGCTCCTCTTCAAGGACATCTGGTTCCAGGTGGTCTCCTGTTCCACGATTTTGTCCGCCACCTCGCAGGACACGAGATGCCATGGAACCGCCCAAGCCATGGCTTAGACTCTGGTAAACATACAAAAAATTATGGAAAATCACCATTTTTCATGGGAAAATCCACTATAAATGGTCATTTTCAATAGCTATGTTAAATTACCAGAGGGTAGACTCTGATGGGATGAATATGGACGAAAATGGATGATGAAAATGGATATGAATGGGATGAGAATTGCTTTAAACTTTAAAACAAACAAGTCGAGTGTCCCAAAAAAGGTACCTCACATCTCACTGATTTTGAAGTTCACGGAATGAAGCATCTCACTGAGATGTTCATGATCAATTTCCAAATCTGACTGTGGCAGCCATGCGCCCCAAAACCATTTAGGCGTGTGGATGCTTGTTGGATCCATTTGGAATCAATTTGGATAGAAATCCCCACTGCCCTCGGGTACTTTCGTGCTATAACATTGCGTCATGGCCGATCAATTTGAATTCGCTCATCCAACATCATCCACCTAAGTGGGCCAAGGCTATGGCTTCGAGATACTTCGAGATGCTTCGAGATGCTTTGAGTTCGTAAACTGCAACTTCTATGACCGTTGAAGCTTGCATTTATAGTGGATTTTCCCATGAAAAATGGTGATTTTCCCATGAAAAATGGTGAGTTCAAGGACCATCCCGCGCAAAAACCATCCAAAAAGCGACCAACTCCGCCTGAGCCCAGGGTCCTTTCCAGCGACCTTTGCTGGAGAAGCGCACGGTAGCATCCCCTCCATCCTGGGGACGACTAAGGCGAACCTTGGAAACCTGGGGAAACCTGGGGAAACCTGGGGAAACTACAGGGAAACCTGGGGAAAAAACTAGGAAAACCTAGGGAAATGATGGGAACAAACTAACAACAGGGACATGTTTGATGATACCTAGGGAAATTGCAGGGAAAAGACATGAAAAGACCTTAGACACCTGGACATGATGGGGAAAACATCAGCGAACTATTCCGAGAGAAAGACTTTCCAGCAACTACCATCTCTAATATCGGCAGTGAATTTTTCGAGGATAGTGGAGTAAAGTCGGGGATTGAATTCGAAGTCTTCGGTGAGATCCTCAGAGAATCATAAGTCAATGAGGATATTTTGAGCATATAACCGCTCTGATGGGGATTCAGAGACTATGATTGTCAAATGGGACATCTTGAGGATAAAAACGATTTAACTAATATAATTAGTCTATAATTTGGATATCATCTCATATAATTGGGATGTCATAAATGTGATATAACTAACCATAAAACTATATATGAATATTTTAGTAAGAATGGAATTGGGATCATCATGTGGATCTGATGGGGGCATGGGGTATCAACAAATAGATTCTCTCTGGAATACTGGGTTCGGCATATGACCGCATTTCACCAAAGATAGGATCGAATGGATCAAAATGACAGTTTGATCCGTTACAAAAAGTTTTACCCCCCTACGTGCACCACTTGATGCGCTCTGTATTAACGACATCTGGAATTTCAGGCGCGCTGACAGCACCGAAACATCCGAAACCAAGAAACTGTGGGCTTGATCCACGTATCTCCGTGCATGGTCTTCAAGACGAAACCAAAACCTAGTAGTCGAATGATGTGATTCGTTGTCTCAGGGGATCGGGAAGTATCTGTCTGAAGTACAAAAAAGTACCATTTAAGTAGCATTGTCTATTTCTGTTTGACCAAAAAGGAAATTGAGGATAATTAATCGATGACACTTAAATCATAGAAGTCATAGAAGCATATAATTCAATGCCGTTCCCATCCACAAAAACAGGAAAAACATAACTGGTTGGTGGTTTCAACCCCTCCGAAAAATATGAGTTCGTCAGTTGGGATGATGACATTCCCAACTGAATGGAAACATAAAAGTCATGTTCCAAACCACCAACCAGTTTTTGTCTATCCAAGCTACCACCAATATCTGGCTCAATCAGCGTTTCAGAGTCTTCCTTCTCAGCATGTGCCGTAACGGCCAGGTCAATTCCATGGATGCCTCCCTCCATTTTCTGCAGCTTCATTCGGCAAGCCTCAGCTGGTTCCACCGATGGTATACAACCAGCTGGTACACAACAAGCCTCCGAAAAACAAATCGCGAAGTTCAGCATGTTGGATTTTTTTTGGGAGATTTGACTTTTTGATTTTGTTGGGAAGTTGCAGTGCTGTAAAGGAATTCCAAAGTAGGGACGTCAGATTTCCAGGTTTTTCATCTCTGAAATCTATTTTAGGGGAACTCTACAGGGAAAATCCACGGTGTTTTGCAACAAACGCATTTGGCATTTGTCATGGGGGTTTCTTTGACTCTTCCCATCATCCCATTTGGGGATTACAAACAATCACTTAAATAAGGAATTCATATCTTTACCCGGTACCCCATGATTTCCATAATATGTTCCAGGAACTTCCAGGTTCCCCATGTAGTTTCAGAAATGTTTCCTATCACTTCCAGCTTGCTTCCCCATGATTTCCGATGCCCATGGCACCTTCTCATCCACTTTGGTCAAATCTGCAGGCCACTGAACGCTTTTGATGTGTGTTGCCTCGATTCGAACAGCGACAACGAAAATGTGATGTAGGGATTCTTGACGAAAGGGGAGTTATCTCTGTTTTGTTTGGGGTTCTAGGTATTTATATATATAATATATATCATATTATATATAACATTATATAACGGTCCTAAAATATAGAAGATAATCGGACATCTTGGTATTTGTGGCATATATATCGCCATGAGAACTGTCCCAAACCATCCCAAAAGTTCCAAACAGTGCGTTTTTTAGGGCAACATTTACCACCAAGACTGGAGAGAATATCAGATCATTTAAACTGCAAGAACCTGTTAATCGAGAATATTTTGGGAACGGGATGGAAGAGGTTTCTTGCAATGTTGGGGGTTGCCCTCGATATTTAAGAACGTAGCTTGATTCAGCTTGACCACAAGTATTTTCTTTTTGCCGCCAGAAATGAACACCAAGCAACGTCAAACCGCAGAAAAATAAATTGTCTACCATCTGGTTATTTAATATAGCCATGGAACATCACCATTTCTAATAGGTAAACATGGTAAACCATCTCTAAATGGGCCATTTTCCATGGCTATGCAAAATAAACAGAGGGTAATTTGAAACGGCAAGCCGTGTGACTTCCATCGACTGGATTGCCAGAGGGTAAACTGACTAAAAACCCTTGCTGATCGGGTGCAATCATCGATCACCCAGAAGCATTCTGGTCGGGCTATGTACACACACCTATTTTCTAAGTCAAGTGGAAATGTTCCAACATATCAACCTCAGGTTACAACATGTTACAACCTCTTCCTGCACCCTCTGCCCACCGGCACACTTTGGCTGTTGAAACTGTTGCCACAAGATGGCTGCGAAGGCACTGAGGCACTATGTTTCGTGCTCTTGACCTGCAGCCTGTTGGATTTCCCCAGGTAACAACAGATCCATCTGCCAGAACTGCAGCAAATGCATAACTTGTTCAGTCGCCGCCATACAGTTCATGGCCCCATGCGACAACGGAGCCATCTGCGAGGATCGCAGCAAATGCCCGATCTGCAGCATGAATCTGCTCCACATGCCTCAGCTGAACTGCAGAGCTGTCACCACCAGAATTTGGTTTGCCCCAAGTAACCACTGATCTGTCTCTAAGGATGGCAGCGAAAGCACCATGTTTCGTACCCTGGATCTGTTTCACAGCTCTCAACTGGTCTTGGACTTGAGAACTGTCACCTCCATCGCGATTGCCCCAAGTCACAACTGATCCATCTGCCAGGGCAGCAAATGCACAACCTGCCTGAAGCTGCTGCACATTTCGAAGTTGCTCCTGGACTTTGGAGATGTCCCCAAAATGTGGAATGCCCCAAGCTACGACCGATCCATCCTGCAAGATAGCAGCAAACAGATCCATCAGATCCATCGGCTAAGTGAGAGCTGTCAGCTCCAACAACCCTGGGTCGCCTGTTTTGTGACGATCGACCGTCACCTCCACAGCACCAGTAAAAGCTTCCCTGGTTGGTGGTATACCTACCCCTCTGAAAAATATGAAAGTCAATGGGAAGGATGACAACCCATATATTATGGAAAATTCATAAAAAAAATTATGTTTGAAACCACCAGTTCCAGTGTTGTGGCAAGTCTTGCAGTGCAATTGTCGTGGTCTCCATCTTGAATGCCACGTCCAAAGATTCTGTATGATCAGCCAGAACCTGGCCTGAGGCAGGTACAAGTTTCAGGAAAACTTGTCCAAAGGGACTTCTGGGCAAGAATCCTCAAGTCCTGCACTTTGGAGGCCTGCAAAATCCACAAAATCTCACTCCGACCGCTTGCCAAAGTTATGCTTGAAGCATTGAAAGAAGACTGAAGCGTTTACACCCTCTATAAGCCTCTATGCCAAGGAAAAAAGGGAGACCCAAATATCTTGAGCCAAATAGTTGTAGCACCGCTTTATTGGGTATGCAACTTTCGTAGCAAGTCTGGTGTCACTGTCAGCACCAAATGCTGATGTTGTCTTAGCGCCACATCTCCCATCTTAACCCACAGAGAATAAATAAATAGTTGAAGTTTTTCTACGGTGATCCACAGAATTGCGTGTAAAGTTTCAAAGCCTTGAAAGAGAAATCGGGAGACTGCAGGTCATACTGTCCAAACTGATCAAAAGAAACCTATGTGACATTCCAGTGTCTGGATGGTACTTGTACATGCCATAATATCAAAGTCCATATCATCAGGGTGATCCTCATAGTCATAGTACTCATAGCAAAGCAACTCTCGATAGAACATATGAGTTGTAGTTTTTTCTCATGCCGCAGCAGCTATCACTTTTCATACATCAGAATACGTTCCTCATCCCTGGAAACAGCGTATTCCCAAAAAATCCCAGCGACGGAGGTCCACTGTCGACTCTGTGGCTTCTCGAAAACTCCAAAGTGCAGCAAACATTCGCCCAGACGAGGATTCAACCAGGCGCGGATCTCCACCTGCCGAGTCAGGAGATATTTGCTGAGCTTTTCTGATATGCACAGGATTACATGACTACAATCAGCATATCATTAATCAAGAGATGATCGACAATAGTAGATATACTTTATATATATATGTATATGTATATATATATATATGTATATGTATATATATATTATACACATGTCTATGATTGGAGCAAGTCGAGAATCATTTGGGAATCCTTTAACAAATTGCAATGGTGAAGAGCAGAAATGGCCAGATTCTGTGACTGGTGGCGAATTTCAATACACAAACGAGCTGTATTTTGCAACAGAAGGTGGAGCCAGGATATTTCAGGAAATCAACCGTGAGTTCACTGGTGACTTCTATGACTGTCGATTCATAGTAACCTCAGTAGCCTCCACAAGACCTAAAAAAGAAGGCATTATCACATATATATTATTTATCATATTATCACTATTTTAGTACATATTTGACATATACACAGTATTTTACAGTCAGTAGATATTCATGTGGTTTTCCTCGGTCAACAGAATTTCACCATCCCTCAATGGATTGTTTTTTTGTTCGGGAAAATCTTCACCAGAAAGCCTCGATGGTTTCCGGCGTTTTTCCCTTATACCAATCCATTGAATCCTTATAAAAATCACCATCCCTTATACCAATCCTCATATAATAGGAAAATATATATATATACCAATCCATATGAATCCTTATAAAATCCATCCCCAAATCCCCAAATCAGCTGCAGCAGCCGCCGCTGACCTTCGCCTTGTGCTCGCCTTCACTGATGCAGGCCACGTCCATGGTGCCAAAGTCGCCTCGGTTTTCGCCAAGGCCAGGGAGAATAGCAGGGTCAGGAAGTGCAATTTGTATACAAACATACAAGCATATTATTATATAATAGTGTATATATATAATATTATACATATATTATAATGTTATATGTTATACAGTTATACATGCAAATCATTTGGATGTTCATTTGGATGGTAGTCATTCAACGCCATGAACATTGGACATTTCAAAAACAGTTGGTAATTGCCAGGTTTGATGCATGCACTTGTTGTCAAGCCAGGAATCAACATGGTCAATGTGGTCAATGGTCGAGTTTGATGGGAATTTGGTCGAATGTCCGACCAACAAACGGAAATCGCACCTGACTCGAAAAGCTATGTCAAAAGTGGACCTGTCCTACACCTGGCTAGCCCACCCATCATCTAAATTCTATCATATTCTATCGTGACTTATCTTAGCAGCGAAGCTTCGCTTTCTCGCAGGGAGTGGAATCCCGGAGTCAATGAGTCAAGCATCAACTATTCGAAACCCCCAGCCGTTGAGTTGGGCAAAACTATCGCAAACCATTTCGTTTCCCACTGTTCCATACTGTTCCCACTCCAAAAATGGCCATTTCCAGTAGCCATTGATGCTGTCAGCGCACCCTGCAAGGCGAAGGAGGTAAAGGAGATATCCGCTCTCGCCTCTCGTTGCCGCCGCCCCTGCGAGAGGTGAGAGGCGTGACGGCGGGGTTGGTTTTTTTTCGTCATCTGAAAGAAATGCGGAAGGGTCAAAAGCCATGAATTTACATGTGAAATCATGTGAATTGGGGGGCTGAACCATCCATCTATAGCCTGTGATTTTGATCGATATAGCATGATAATATATTGGCAATCTGGGCTTGATAGCTCCCAAATGTAATGTGAAGTTACAATAAATAAGAGAACAGCAATTGAATTCACAATGCATCTCAACATCATCCAACAACCCAGAAAAAAACACCACAATATATGGGTTTGTCTTCAAATAGGGTATCCCCAAATCCAGTTTACTCACTATTTTCCCTATCAACATGGTCAGATAGAGACCCCATGATCAAACACACCTGTCCACAATGGCTGGTTATACCAGTTGTATACCCCCATTGATATAGACGCTGGCTGGCTGTTCCCCCCCCAAAAATGGCTTACATAGCTTGGGAATTTCGCCATGTTATGCCATGTTTGCGAACACCGGAGGGTTCAGACCCCAGGTCCTCCAGAAATTGGTTCTTCACTGCATCTGCTTGTCTTGCTTCTTCCTCACTTCGAGCTTCTGCTTCCCTTCTCGCGCGGTCCCACTCCTACGTATACGCAGGGATCTGATCAAAGTTCAGCTGTCAATTGGATATCTATACCATGGCCATGGACGATATTAGAATTTCCAGCCATAGATAAATAGAAGATATTATAAGATACTGGAGATTCTATCGAAAATCCATAAATTTCCATGATCCGTCCTCGTGTCGAGGGAGCTCAAACTCGAAATCATGGGGTCCATGTTTAATCCACCGGTTGGCAGCTCCATCGTGCAGAACCTCAGCAGAAAGATTCGGCATGACGTCCACGGATTTGGGGCGCGAAACTTTGCTATATATCCAAAAACCATACACTGTACCGGCCTTGAGATATTCTGTAACAAAAACTTCAACGGGGATCTAAGTATGTGTATATATAAATAAATATAAATAATTAAATATATAATATATATATATTATATTGTATATATATATATATACCGTATATATAAATTTGAATATATCAATCACCTATTCTGTGCGAAAAAAATGGGCGATCTTCAACAAAACTCCAAATCCTGCTCAGGTCACCCAAGTTGGGCCAAGTTCTCCGAGCGGCAAACATGATGTAGGTATCCACTTCAGCAGCTGGAATAGTAAAGGAGACCTCAACTCGTGCCTGTGTTATCTCTGAAGGTTACTTGGTTCATGATTTTTTACTTCAAATCTTGGATTTCAATCTTTAGTTCCTACTATTTCCCATATTTTTCTATAAAAAATCATACTCATTTGGAGTATGATGCAGTATGATCACCATAAGTTGCATGTCAACGCAAAAACAAGGTCACGCGCGGGTATTTAACCTGGTCTCATTTGTGTCTTCGACAGCATGTCGTCCTGTAAAATACAGGAGTTTGTGTTATTGGGGTAAATTCAGCCGTCGCGGCGCGTTTCGTTTTCACTCATTTCAATTTTCCGAGGTGAGACTTCAAGTCTGCAGTGACTGGTAAGTGGTATCGCCAAACAAAGGCATGCATATACAAAATCAATTTTTGATTCAAACCACCTTTGGACCAGTCTTTGTTGTTCAAAGAGGAAGGAATGAAACGGTCAAGCGATTGCCACCATCTGTCCACTGCTTGAGTTCCAGCAATGGTGGCTCCAGGTTTCTTCCAAGTTTTCAACTTTCGAGTGAACTGTTGTTTTCGATGCGTAACTGGAAATTTTTTGTTCGAGCTTGCACCAGACATGACGTCAACGTAACACACGCGTTATCACCCCCCCCCCACCCCACCCCACCCCACCCCACCCAAGACGTAGCATGACCTAGCCAAGTTGGTAGCACCAGGACATGACGTCAACGTAACACGACGTTATCATCCCACCCCACCCCACCCCACCCCACCCAAGACGTAGCATGACCTAGCCAAGTTGGTAGCACCAGGACATGACGTCAACGTAACACGACGTTATCATCCCACCCCCCCCCCCCCCCCCCCCCAAGACGTAGCATGACCTAGCCAGTTTGGTAGCACCAGGACATGACGTCAACGTAACACGACGTTATCATCATCCCACCCACCCCCCACCCAAGACGTAGCATGACCTAGCCAAGTTGGTAGCACCAGGACATGACGTCAACGTAACACGACGTTATCATCCCACCCCACCCCACCCCACCCCACCCAAGACGTAGCATGACCTAGCCAAGTTGGTAGCACCAGGACATGACGTCAACGTAACACGACGTTATCATCCCACCCCACCCCACCCCACCCCACCCAAGACGTAGCATGCCCTAGCCAAGTTGGTAGCACCAGGACATGACGTCAACGTAACACGACGTTATCATCACAAATCAACGCAAAAACAACAGCCATCACATGGCACCATCCACCGTGGCCTCAAACTTGTCCGTGCCAGAGCGCACCAACGGTGCTCGCTTGGAGGACTTCCAGGCCCGATCCTTGCCTGCAGGACCATACCTGGAGCGATGTTTTGATGTTTCTGGCTATTCATGTGGCTTCAGCCATAAAATTTATATCTGGTTCGTGGTATACCTAGCCCTCTGAAAAATATGAGTTCGTCAGTTGGGATCATGACATTCCCAATATATGGAAAATAAAAAATGTTCCAAACCACCAAACAGGTATTCATTTATTGGATTAGTGGAAACGAACCTTATTTGGGGTTGGCGAATTATTGCAATCTATCCAGCTGTGTCTCATGGAATGATCAGTGGTTGACCAATGAAAATGCTGGTGTAACATGATAGAACCCGTCACATATGGATATTAATGGATATTGATGAATATTCACGCACATTAATTGTAGAAAATAAGGATTTGAGCACATTATGTTTTGTTTAATTCGAATATAATTGATTAATCAACTAGTGGGGGACCAACTAACAAATGAACTAACAAATGACAATATGGAGAAAACCAACAATATATGATCAATATGGGCTATTGATGTACATTAATGGTGGTTTAATCAACCAAGCCTTCAATCTTCACCTTTGTTTAGTAAAGGAAACTTTAGGGGACCACCCTTGATGGTCTACCACCATTTTCCCTCTTAGAGTTGCTTTTTTGTTGGGGGTATACCTCATTTTTAGACACAGCCACATATCACCAGCGTTTCAGTTAAGTAAGTCTTTTTAAGGTGCTACTCTTAACCCTTCTGTACAATCTTCTATACAAGGATGTTGAATCTGTTGAAGTTAGGAGACTCAAGTCATTTGGGCACACTTGGACTTCTCAGATCAAAAACCTCATGATATGGAGGTTTCCGAATGGCTGGGGGTACCCCCAGTTCTCATCCATGAAAAAATAGGATGTTCGGATGTTCCATTATATGATTAGATGGGACCATAATGGATCATCCAGATGTTCATCAATTTTTATAATAGGATGTTTCCAGATATGATTATGGATGATTCATTTATGATATGATCATTCAATGGTTATGGAGATCATATTAGGATATAATCTATAATACCCTCTGGTAAACAAACAGTTTGCGACATTGATAGCATGGCCCAGTGGAAATAGTGGATGACTACCCATTGATAGCATGGTGGTTTTTTCCATAGTTTTTTGTATGTTTACCAGAGGGTAAATCATCAAATTTTCTTAGTTGTTCCCATCATTTTCCCATCATTTTCCTAGTTTTTCCCCAGTTTTTCCCATGGTTTTCCATAGTTATGTTAGTTTATTAGAGGGTAATGGATCATCCATTTCTGGAAAAACCTCCCCAGGGACCCCCTGGGCCAGGGCATGCCAGGGCACTGAATCACCAGTTCGGTGGAGCAGTGGACCAAGACGTGCAACTGGCACTCCTCCTCGACCTTGGAAAATCACCATGACTGGGGATGGTAGAGATAGCATCTGTAAATCAAAATTAAATGTTGATATACGTGTATATATGTATATATATATATATGTAATACAATATAATATGATTTAACATAACACAATATAATATGATCTGATATAATAAAATATGATATAAAGTCTGTCTGAAGTCCGTCTGAAGGCTGTCTGAAGTCTGTGTGAATTTAGTGATGACCTGGGGATGATTTAGGATGTGTTGGGTGCAGCACATTAGATGGTAAGCATTGGTTAACTGCTAAACAGCCTAAACAGTAGCGGAATAGATGGTGTAACTATATGCACTACTGAAACCAAATCATCTCTCTTGAGTATTTCAAGGTAAATAGAGATGGAACCGTTGTTATTTCATCAAGCAACTCAAAAGTCAAACAACACATGCTTCGCATGTCCCATGTTTTTCCAACTCACCCAGTACGCCAGTACGCTCGTGACGGTCTGGTGCAATGGCAAGTGACGGAAGTGGCCAAGAGAACCACCTCGATGTTGGTTCCAGGCACCTGCCAACTGGTGGTCTTTGCATCCGGCTCGGCTCTCCTCGATGTGAAAAGCCCAAGTTGCGGCTTTTTCTTCTGGAGAAATGGGATATGAAACCAAAGTAAACTAACCATTTCAGTGGGATATTTCATGACAGCCACACATTTAAGACATTTTGCTTCCTGTTCGTCATGGAAAAACACCCATTTTTTTTCACCCATGGCTGCTATGGGATTGTCCCAAAATGGAGAAGCCCCAAAAAAAATCCAAGGCTTCATTAACTCCATCTTTTCACCCATCGAAAAAGGAGCTTTCCACCCAAGTCGTTGGATTTTTGTTGGGTATTGAAAGCCATGATGACTTGGGGATCCCCCAGCCATTAGGAAACCTCCAATTGGCTTATCCCAATGTCTAAATTCAACAACCCCAACGCCATCTCAGTGCTGGTCGAGGTGCTGCACTTCTTCCACAAAGGTACCTGAGGTCGATGGGACTTGGGTCTCACAATCCAACAACTGGCTCTTTGATGCTCTTTGTGGCAAAGATCGTCCCCTCTGGTAATGGACCAAAGACAGGAAAACAATTACTGGTTGGTGGTTTCACCCCCTCCGAAAAATATTAGTCAGTTGGGATTATTATTCCCAATATATGGAAAAATAAAAAATGTTCCAAACCACCAACCAGATTAAATTAGAGGATGTTTATTGATGTTCCCAGATTTTCCCATATGTTCAATGGCCATGGCAAGTTCGGGGATGTCCAATTTCGCCAATTTCGATGCGGCGCAAGGGGCTGAAGAGCTTTGAAGCTCGTCGTTGCAACCGTGGCGCCGGTTCGAAGCTTTCCTTCACGGCAGTGCGGGAGCAGATTTCACTGCCGATATATCAAGCAATGAAGTCTTAATAATTTGGGTTATAGCTGTTATAACAGCCATCTACTATGGTTATATGACCACCTACTATGGTTATATAACCACCTACTATGGTTATATAACCACCATTAACATCCATTATGTAACTATATATATATATATGTATATAGTTATAAGATGTTGTTTTAAACATCATAAACATTTCGTGAAGTTACACCAACTTCAGAGGCACAAAAAGTGGCTGGTGGATCCTTTCTGACACCGCATGAGCCACTGGGCCACGTCAGGAGATCATAATTTTCCCTGACTATTTGGGTGTCTATAAGGGAAACTCCCACTAAAATGGATGAGAACTGGGGTTAGCCCTATTTTTGGAAACCCCCATTTGATGGCGTGTATAGTACGGGTCTTTGTCTGAATATTGGGAAAACCCTGAAAAGTCAATGGTTTCAGAATCTGCTCCATTATAGCACACATTTTTTTCAGACACATCCTATATCCAGAATTGTTGGTTACATCCCAAAATATCCTTTTAAAATACAATAAACCCAATGAAATCAAACTGAATCCCAGAAAATCGCATTCTATCCCTCAAAATCCAAAAAGAACCTCAACTTTATGCCATCGAGTCCGCTTAAATTCCAGCAAATACCATTACTGCTTGGTAGTTTCAACCCCTCCGAAATATGATGGACTTCGTCAGTTGGGATCATGAAATTCCCAACTGAATGGAACACAAAGGTCATGTTCCAAGCCACCAGATTAAATACCAATCCCACAAATTCTTCTTAGCATTTCTACCGTAGATCATGACTCTTAGCAATCTCCGCCGCCTTTGGAGCTTCTGGCGGTTTTGCTTTGCAGAGCTCTTCGGGGAGCTCAAAAGCAAAGTCGCGCCCAGCATCCTGCGATCGCTTGGGGATGGGGTCACCTTGGGAACGCCTCGAGATTTATTCGCTAGACTGGCTGGCAGGTTGAATAGAGTCGTCAACTTCACTGTGAATTCCAATGCGATTCGCATATGTGTCATATGTCAATGGGCATCGAAAAAATCCTGAATGCCCAGATTTTCACAGGGCTCACGAAGCAACACCTACAATCCAGCTACTGACTATCACCTACGTTCGAACTCTACCAGCAGCGCAGAACACCGAAAAAAAACAATCCCAGACTTGGAAGGGAAAAATTGATGATCAAACTCCCCAATTTTTGAATGATCCAACCATGTCAAAACATGTCGGTGTCCGGAAAATGATGTGAAATCATGTGATATCAGGATCAGACCCTGCCTTCAACCATTGATTCACTGAGGGATCGTGCAAGACAAACATCAAGTACCTCTTCCAGGTGGGGCCGCGGGAAATCGATCCTCAAGGGGACCCAGTTTCTGCCATTTCTGGCATCGATCCTGGGAGGATAAAAGTGATATAACTGATACCCGGCCTGGTAAACTAACAGTTTGCTATGGAAAATCACCATGCCACCATGCTATTAATGGGTAAATCAATTTCGACTGGGCCATGCTATCAATAGCTTTTTGTATATGTTTACCAGAGGGTAACCATCAATCATGGTCACGGTATGTCACGGTATGTCACGGTCGAATTCTCCAAACTCGATTCTGAATCGTCACAAAAGCTATAACATGAAGCCGAGCTTAAACTATGGCGTACAAGTTGCGGTTCAAGTCCTGCAAACAACAATCGTCCATCTGTGCTCCCAAGCTGATGAATCATGTTTCATCATGGTTCATCCATCTTTCCTATTACCCTGCGGTAAACATGGCTTGCTGGAAGCCATACACCGTTTTGGAAACCGTGGAATTTTTTCCCGTTGCAACCTCCGGACTGGTCCGGATTTTCCAGCGAGCCAAGGTGCTTGTTGAGGTTTTGTCCATCGATCTTGATGAGGCCCTGTCTTTGGCTTGGTTGGCTTCGCAGCTTGCTCTTGGCAATCGTGTTGTATGTTAAAAACTATGGGATATGATAGCAATAGAATGAAGATATAAAAGGAAGAAACATGTGGTTTTGCACGACCCAACCATTTTATGGGGATGTACTGAGATAAAATTGACATGTAATGTGGACAAACCAACAATTTGAACAGTTGAATAGGGGATTGTGGGAGATCATTCTTGATCAAGATCCGTCGTCCGCAAGCAGCTCACTGGTGACCTGAAAAATAGAGGTACCAATGAACCTTACTGCTAAAATTTGGGGAACATGAACCATCCATGTAGTGTGGGTTTCATACATGAAAGTACATGTTCGATTCCAGGGTATCCCCATGAAACTTACATGGTTGGATCTAACTCCAAGATGATCATTCAATATTTCAAGCTTCTGAATGATAGCTATGGCCCCTGGCTTTTCGAGGAATTTTCAGCTAGCCATGTTCTATTCTTGTTATATCATCCCCACAAATGCCTATAACATAACCATTAAATCTCCGATAAAATCCCATAACACTCCACCACTAGATCCCATCTTTAATCACAATAAAATCATGAAAAATCCCATGAACCCCACCACCATAAGATCTCATAAAATCACCATTAAACCCCATAAATTGGCAGGTTGGATCCATTCAACTCCCATTCGTCATGACTTCGGTCGCTCCTTCGACACGCCACCAGGAGCCTTTTCGAGGTTCAACCTTGCAATTCAGAATCGTTTTCGTATCACCAGATATCACCACAACAGTTGCACCTCTCAAACAACTGCGGTGACCCTGCCCACCAGTGGTGTCTCTCAAAATACTGGACTCAGTTATTCTCAGTGATATTCCCATGTTCCCAAAACAAAATATTCCCACAACATCCCACAACTATATTCCCATTGATATTCCATAGAGATACACTGGTTGGTGGTGGTATACCTACCCCTCTGAAAAATATGACTTCGTCAGTTGGGATGATGATTATTCCCAATATATGGAAACTCATAAAAGTCATGTTCCAAACCACCAACCAGATATATTGTTGGTGACATCCCTATGATATAACAATTATTATATATCACCAGTATATATTACAATTTTTCTGCTTAAATACTCCAAACCACCAACCAGTATTATCAACCAATGGTACCCCCATTTATGGAAACCTCCACAAAAAAGAACTAATGGTACTATTTTTTTCCATTACCTAATCCATTACTAAGCTCCAGATATTCCCATAGATATATGTATATAGGTAAATTATAATAATTCACTAACCTGAAATAAGTAAGGTCATTTGGGGATAGTCACCCCTACTATTCCCATAGATATTCCCAATAGATATACCATTCATCTCCAGTATCCCAATGGCCCCAATGGCCCACTGTCCTGCTGGACGATGTCCAGCGATGGTCTTTTGCCGCTGGACCATATTGAAGCACCAAATCCTAGGACTGACCGGACGACCCTGGGTCGATCTGTTGACACGTAGAAAGCTGAGGAGAACTGATTTCATATGATTTCATGCATGATTTCCTATGATTTTATATGATTTCATATGATTTTCATGCATGATTTTTTATATGATTTTATATATGATTTACATCTGACAATGTAACGTTGCTATGGAAAATCACCATGTTTCGAAGGTAAATCATTCAAATCATGAATGATCCATTGATTTTATAGGATTTTCTGTGGACATGGGATTGACGTATAGAAATGCCAAATCTTACTACAGTGGCAAGGATTCCAAGCGAGAAACGTTCGAGAATTCCTGGGGTATGGGAAGGATCCACGGTAAAAATAGAAGGTATGAGCTACAATTGACCAATTTACCATATATCATGTATCTCTCCATATATATATATATATATATACATACATGTGTATGTATATATATATATACATACATGTGTATGTATATATATACATGTATATATATATAATTAATGTATATCTCTTGGTTGTGTAAAACATGTTCCTCCTCTTTGTGAAACAACCAGTCCACGTCGGAACTTGGAATGTCCAAAACTGTATCCCTCCGGTGTCGACAAACGTTTGTGGGACATCCCACAAAATGAATGTTCATAGCTTGGAAAAATCATCTTATAGATCGGCCATGTTCCAGCAAACCACATTTCACAGAGGAAATCATCATATCGATCCCCAGTATATTTGTCCCCCATCAACCCTAAGCCAAGTTATGTTCATCAACTTGGCTATCGTTTAGGGGCCTCACCTTGCAATAGAGAGGATTTTAAGTTGACTTTCCTTCCGAAGCATCAGTTCCAACGATGAATCGTCCTGACAATCTAGATTTTTCTCAGAGATCCATGGTTATATCATATGAATTAAATCCGCATATAAATCCATTTAGACTGGTATAAAGATATTCACAATCTCGGAAAAAACACACACAGATTGTATCCTCATAAACTCACCATTTAATTCATTTGCTTGGGAACATAATCCAAACAAATTAGGTAGTATAACCCCGTATCAACAAGGATTCTTACCCGTCATTTAATTGATGTGATGATTGAAATAGCATTGGTGATAGCTTATTATTGGGATACATCTAGACGAACAATTATATGCCCTAAAATAACCTTTAGGTAAATCATTTACATAATTGGGCCATTTTCCATAGGAGTATTATCCCATCACAATCACTGGTTGGTGGTTTCAACCCCTCTGAAAAATATGAAAGTCAATTGGGGTTATTATTCACAATATATGGAAAGTCATAAAAGTCATGTTACAAACCACCAACCAGATCACTATATAAGTAAATATTAAAATTTAACCAGTATTAATGGATACTAACCACTGTATAAGCCCCAATGTCACCTTTAGAAGGTGGTGCACAATCTTCTTAGCCAAGTTGGTTTATCACTAGGTGAAACCTATGGTTTGTGGTGGAGATATCTATAGCCAATGGATGTTAATGGGCTTGAAAAAAAAATCTTACAACTGGTGAGGGCACCACCTGATAGTTTTCATACATTAATATCATATATCAATATTATTGGTATCCAACTATTATTAACTATTATTATTGGTATCCAACTATTAGTTTTCATACATTAATATCATATTAATATCATATATCCATCAATATCATATATTCATTGGTGAGTATCCAATCATAGTTGCTTAGTATTTCATAGTGCTATTCATATCTATCAGCGTGTAACATTCATCAAGCCAGGGGCCAACGGGCCAACAACCCCTGGCTCATTCGGAACCCACATCAAGTACTTGGGGATTCATCGATATTAACCACTATTCATGTATACATATATATATATATATGTATACATATATATATATATATCAACTATTAGGTTACTAATAACCACATTAACCGATCAGCTAGCTGCGCCCCAGCGTCTCGTTCTGTTCGGACAATGGCCTGGACCTCGCAGCTTCCTCCTACAGCGACAGCGACTGCTGGGTGGTAAAAACTAGAATGTAGCTGACTATAGTTGGCATATATACATATACATATATACATATATACATATATATATATATATATATATTTGTATATACTTATGATATACTATAATATAATCTAGTATAATATGAAGTAATATAATATAATATGATATAATATCATATATATTATATATTGTACATAGAGGATTGTTGATAACATACTTGAGACAGATGTCCTATTTTCCAAAGAATAGTGACTAGCTAAGTGTACAAGTCATGTTGCCCAAGTAAAGCCTCGAAGCCAAACCAGGATCCTACTGCTGGAACTCTGAAACAATGACAACTGGATGGTGTGTTGATTACACTTGTACGCATGGATCTGGGTAAACTAAAATAATTCACTAACCTGAAATAAGCCCATTTGGGGATGATTTTCCTTACTAACCATGATTCCCAGTGAGGTCGTAGTGAGGTCGTTATAATTTACCCAGATGGATGTTTCACATTCCTCCAGCTACTCACGACTGTAGCATCCTGTACTAGCTGAAAATCCTAACGCGGAAGAATCCTAACGCGGAAGCCAACAAACGAATTTCTGAACCTGGATTTCCGGCCGATAGAGAACATGGATATCCCTAGCTCCTTAGCTCCCTCCTGACCATTGGATAGTGATTTGATTTCTTTGAAGCAGAATCTTACCGTAAAGAACAAACACAGATCCCACTCCACTAGCACCACTCCCTATATCAGGATCATCACTATCCAGTGGCATCGCTAGTTGATAAGCGGGATAACTCGGAGCATCCACTTCTGGACAAACCTCCTTTCCTTGGTTTTTTAACAGAATTTACTCACAGGTTTTACCCATATTTGATGCTGATTAAACTTAAACATACTTAAACCATCAAAAAAACCATTTGCTTGCCGTGCTGTATTCATCCAGAACCACCATTTTTTTACCGTGCTGTCCATGGGTGAACTCCAGCATGTGGCTTGGTGCTGGCTGCTTATGGCTGGATTTCCCAGAACGGATTGTGAAACGTCCCATTTTCTGTTGGGTAGAAAAAAAACGAACCGAACCGATCATCAACCCTATGACTTATATCATCTTATACCTTCATATTTTGGTGCAAAGAATAAAGAAACCATGAAGATCCATTAAGATCCATTAAGTCACTATAATCATCAACCAGCAGGGTTTTGAACCATGTTTTTTATTGCTTAAGGTCGGTGCCATATCTGTCCGCCCAGTTCGCCACGTGACCCTTGGCTGCTGCAATGATCGCCACTTCCACTCCACTGGAGCTGTAGCAGGAGACCTACCGAAGCGGTGGAGGAAGCGGGTGATGATTGAAGCAACAGAGAAATCACCGCTTCCCTGGACGTTTTGGAAGGGGTTTCTATGACAAAATGTGCACAAAAAAGGGCATGTCACCTGGAAACATGTGGATAAAATCAACATGAACATGTGGAAACCTGTGGCAAATGATGAAGCATGATGAATTATCCAACAGAACAGGTAATTGCAAAATGGTGATCTTACCAATGTCATTTGACCGACAAACAATGGAGGTATAAACCTGAAACAATGTGGATACACTGAACATAAATGAGTATGCAACACAGACACAAAGGAACAAACAAGAACTTAAGATGATGTATGTCAGGCGTAGATCATTTATGTCTTAGTGTATTTGCCCAACCCAAATTGCTGGCTAGTGGATACTCAGCAAAGAAACAAAATGAAACTGTGTATTTACCATCTGGTTATTTAACATAGCCATGGAAAATCACCATTTTTAAGAACGGTAAACAATCTATAAATGGGCCATCTATACCATGGCAATGTTAAATAACCAGAGGGTATTTACTTAACCACTTTATAATCTTTATAATTTCTCAAATTGAGGATTTGCATGACCAAACATGATGTCTGTTTTCTCTGTGGGTACAAACTGAATTGTGGGAAATACATTGTCAAACTGGGGGGTGTAACCGGTGTAACCAACATTTAGCTGGGGAATCAAGGAACAAAAATTAGGCTATGACCAACAAACTTGGATATTCATCCACAATCGATTTCGCCAACATGGGGGTTGCAAAAACTTGCCATGACTCTATCAAAATGATGGTTCACATAGTCTTACTGGTGCTTAGTAGGGAATGGATAGGACTGGGGGAATGGGATGATTATTACTAGTGATTATGGATCATTCCCTCATTCCCTGCTACGCACCAGTAAGTAGTAAGCCAGCTGAATTTTGTTTCAAACGTCGTAAAATCACTGCAGTATGCACATGGTTTCCCGCTTTGCGATCTCAAGTGATCTGGCTAAAGTTCTTCCGTGTTTTCGAGGCTGGCTGCATTCTTAAAAATCATGACTTTTACAACCTTAGTTGGCTAGCTCACCTTCAAATCCTTCAATGCGAACAACATAATTACATGTGCACATTGGGATGCTGTGAATGACTAAAATATACAAAAATCCCATCGAGGTTGACAACATCGCTCTTTTTGCAGGTGTAAATCCTAGCTTCGAGTGTTTGTTTCCAACCATGTGTTGATTAAGTCCGCAGTGCTGGTTGGTCACGCTCCATGTTTGTAGTATTGTTGTACATCTGTTGCTTAATCCGTCACACCACCACCACCACTCTCTCTCTCTCTCTCGCCAAAACATGTGTTTTCCTCGAAAAAAACGACATAGAACCTGCATATTTCATGGGTCAAAACCGGTTGTTTTTCTGGAAAATCACCCGCTTTTTCTGGAAAATCTGGTGTTTCTTGGGTCCCAGTCATCCATGGACACCTTGGCTGAGGCTTCGCCCGATGCTGCCGCCACCAAGTTGCGAAAGGAGCGGCTTTCAGCCACCTGCGGGGCACTGAAACAGGGATGCGCGACGAGGAAACATGGGGAAGAAAGCAACAAACTATGGGGATTTTAATGGATTTTAATGGATTTTAATGGATTTTAATGGGATTTTAATGGACTTTAATGGTGTTGTAATGGATTTTAATGGTGTTTTAATGGATTTTACTGGATTTAATGGATTTTTGTTAATGTTGGTGTCCACCTAACTCCAATAGGTGTTGGGTTTCATGGTAGATATCTTGAACTAATTAATGAGGATAACATAAACCGATAAGCAGAACATGAGGGTCTCCATCCTATTTTGATCATACAATGGCGTATTCGTATATTCGTATATTAGTAACATGTTAAATAATAAGTTGTATATGATATGCCCAAACTCATGGAAATAGTATTATAGCCCCTGTTTCCCGGGAACATCACTATTTCTATGTTTCAGCATTCTTAATATCCAAAATATATGTGGACTATATATATATATGCATACAAATGTGTATATATATAATATACATCAGTAGATTTGGATGATAAAGTAAATAAAAACATATTCCAAGATATCATCACACACACACTACACACACATCACATATTGTAGGGTATCCGGAAATATTTTGAATATCTACCTATACAGTTTTGGTTCATGGTTGGATCGGCCCGAATCTACTGGTCAGTCCGGCTTGGGCTGTCCCGGGATGATATTATTGAAACTAGTGGGTATCTTCGGTGTATACTTGAGCCTGCACTTCGAGTTATATGTAGATACATGTAGATACATAATCATAATTATAGCAATTCTATCCCAACTTACAGGGGCTATTACTGCAATGGTTATAAGTTATATTATTGTAGACCCTCAAGTAGACAGCTCAAAACCGTGCTGGTGATGTTTTCTCTCTGTTTCAGATCACCCAATCCCATCGATTCATGTATGAAACAGAATCCACATGGTGCTTAGCCATGTGAATGACGGGAATGCTCTCCTGATGCACCTTGAGATATTAAAAACAAATGTGACTTCCATCTGCACACTTGGGTGAACTATACGGATCTGGGATGATCTGCCTTCGAGAAGTCAATGAGAAAATTCGTTGCGCCATTCTTCAGCCACCTCACGGCCGGCCCGGCCCATCCAAAGATGCCATTTTAAACCCCATTTCCATGGCAAGTTGCACGTTTTTTTGGGGGGAAATCGCAGAATGAATCATCAAGCAGTGCTCTTAACGGCTACCCAGACTGCCAGTCCGTTGGACCCAACCCCCCAAAATATCATGAAACTCTTGTCATTCGCCATGATAATAAAATAAGGTACCCTTCGCTGATCAAACATACGGAAACACAGTTTGTAGATGTTAATCCCATTAAACCTCCATTTTATAGCAGACTTCCCTTGGCACGTTTGAATACCGTTTTGGGTATCCCCATTTTGGGCCCTATACATATCCTATCGACGAAAACTGAGCACTCCACTCGTTTGGCTTCTTGTGAAGAACAAATTGGCAGCCTTTCCTGGGAGACAATTCATGGATGGATTTTCTGCATCACCGTCCCATTTTCGGCTTGGTCATTCAACACCCAAACCAAGAATCCGAAGCCTCAGCACCAATGAACGAATGGGCCAAAAACACGACTCCACCGACCACTCACCAACCAATTTGCCCAGCTTCAGATTTGCATCGGTGTTGATTTCCAAGCGAACCTTTCGCACATTCTGCCCATCAGGCGCGGGAAAAGCTGTCTGTAGCGCACCTCGACACGACGGGCCGCCCCCGGGCCCTTGGGCATGGTACCAGGACAGTTGAGTTCTGCTATGGAAACACCTCTATGAACTACTTGATGTCTCCTGATGGTCTACTTGATGTCATCTCCCAGATCGGTTTTTGGTGGTTCTTTGCTAAACTTCAAGTTTCATGCTAGGGCAAGCGTGTCATAGCAAGATCCACCAGATATTGGCCTATAGCAAGTAAAAACCCAGTTCTTTGTCCGTTTGCGCCTTGCGCCATCTGCATAGGGACATGATGGCGTCATCTTGCTTTGCCATGGTGGGACAGCTAAATTATCACCCCAAGATGGACAGGACCCAAGAAGAAACTTTTAGAAACACATCAGTGCGAAACTGGTTGGTGGTATACCTACCCCTCTGAAAAATACATATGAGTTCGTCAGTTGGGATCATGAAATTCCCAATATATGGAAAGTATTGGAAAGTCATAAAAGTATATAAAAGTCATGTTCCAAACCACCAACCAGTGACCTAAATCTGTGCCCTTCTGCTGATGAAAACTCGGCTCTAGCCGATTGCATCATGCCGGTGGTCATGGACCTCATTTCCCTGCGGTTTTCCCCGAGGTCTTGATCATCATCAATATGTCTCCAGCATTCTGAGTATCCAAAAATGGTGTTTCAAAGCTACCACCAGCAGCTTCAACCGGTCGATTTATTTCTCTCAAAATCTGGCAATCCCCAGATAAAACCCATGGTTCACTACCTCATCGCTCCGAAAACTTGCCACAAAAAGTCCTCTGGTAATTTAACACTTTGTGAACTGGAAGATGGCCATAGACATAGTTGTTATTTACCTATTCAAAATAGTTATTTTTCCCATATGTTAAAATACCAGAGGGTAGTAATAAGTATAACTGGTTGGTGGTTGGAAAATCATTTTGAAAAATATGAAGGTCAGTTGGGAAGGATTATCCCATATATTATGGACAATAAAAAATGTTCGCTGCAACCGTGACGTTACACCGGTCTGACTTCAGGTGGATGTGAAAATTTAGTTGATGTTATTACCCCAGTCAACATATTGTTCAGAAGGGTGGCAAATTTTGACTGTGATGGTGATCATGATGATCAGATCAAGATGTGATGAGGATGATGATGATGATGATGACGATCATGACGATGATCATGGTGATCATGATGATCATGATGATGATGATCATGACGATGATCATGATGACCATGATGATCATGATGATGATGATGATCATGACGATGATCATGATGATCATGATGATCATGATGATCATGATAATCATGACGATGATCATGATGATCATGATGATCATGATGATGATGACGATCATGACGATGATCATGACGATCATGATGATCATGATGATCATGATGATCATGATGATGATGACGATCATGACGATGATCATGATGATGATGATGATCATGACGATGATGACGATCATGACGATGATCATGATGATCATGATGATTATGATGATGATGATCATGACGATGATGACGATCATGACGATGATCATGATGATCATGATGATCATGATGATGATGATGATCATGACGATGATCATGATGATCATGATGATCATGATGATGATCATGACGATGATCATGATGATCATGATGATCATGATGATCATGACGATGATCATGATGATCATGATGATCATGATGATCATGATGATCATGATGATCATGATGATCATGATGATCATGATGATGATGATGATCATGACGATGATCATCATGACGATGATCATCATGATGATCATGATGATCATGATGATCATGGCGAGGACCATGATGATCATGATGATGATGATGATCATGACGATGATCATGATGATCATGATGATCATGATGATCATGATGATGATCATGATGATCATGATGATCATGATGATGATGATCATGACGATGATCATGATGATGATCATGATGATCATGATGATCATGATGATCATGATGATCATGATGAACATGATGATCATGATGATCATGACGATGATCATGATGATCATGATGATCATGATGATGATCATGATGATCATGATGATCATGATGATCATGATGATCATGATGATCATGATGATCATGATGATGATGATGATCATGACGATGATCATGATGATCATGATGATCATGATGATCATGATGATCATGATGATGATGATCATGACGATGATCATCATGACGATGATCATCATGATGATCATGATGATCATGATGATCATGGCGATGATCATGATGATCATGATGATGATGATGATCATGACGATGATCATGATGATCATGATGATCATGATGATCATGATGATGATCATGATGATCATGATGATCATGATGATGATGATCATGACGATGATCATGATGATGATCATGATGATCATGATGATCATGATGATCATGATGATCATGATGAACATGATGATCATGATGATCATGATGATCATGACGATGATCATGATGATCATGACGATGATCATGATGATCATGATGATCATGATGATCATGATGATGATGATCATGATGATCATGATGATCATGATGATGATGATGATGATGATCATGATGATCATGACGATCATGACGATTGTAAGTGTGGAGCAACGTCCGGGTTGGGGCGAACATGTTTGAAACCAACAACCAGCTCCCAGCGCCTGGGACACGAGTGGCGGCTGGCTGCGTTCGCGCTTGGATCTCCACCGGGACGATCCATTCTTCAGCGCTCCTCACGGAGATTTCTCCAGAAGATCATGGAATGATAGTGGGATATAGTTTCTATTCTAGATGGATATGAATGGATTTTAATCATATGATTCATATGATATAGATTAATAAACCTGGGATATGGATGGATATGAATGGATTTTAAATAGGTTTGATATGGTTTGATTAACATTGGTTAAGCATCTATTGGGATGTGGATGTGGATGGATAGATAACACAGGTGTGTCTGAGGTTTACCCCCCTAAATAACCTTGTCAAAGGTGACAATGATGATAAACTCATTGATTTTGGAGCTCAACCAATCATATGATGGTGATATAGTGCGATGTAAATGGATATAATGTGAAAGACTAAGAACAAATGGTGATATTTAGGCCATACACTGGGGATATAACTGGGGTGCAACCAGCACTTGGAGAAACCCTGCCGGAAGGGAGCCGATAGGTCCGATAGGTTTCTGTTGGTTGAACTTGCATTTATGGGGGGGTGTATATTTACTCACATGGCTATGAATCAATACCTACTCATACCATTTTTAGAGGGATGAACATCCATTTACCAGCTATTTTTATGTTCACCAGGGGTACAAGGTTTTGACCCACTGCCACATGGAGTTATAACACAACTTACACTTGATATTCCCTCCGATAAATTCTCACGAAAACTGAAGAAAATCGGGTTAAATGATTTTTCGAGGACCATTCAGTCGGCAATATAGAATTAAAGAACCAGCAATGTGTTTTTGTTTTTTCTGAGGAATGGGGATAAAGTAACCCCCAATGTATTGCTATATTTACTGGGAAAATGGTAGTAGTTCTTTCAAATTGGTGGTACCCTATCTTCAGATATAAGCCCAAATACCCTTGGTGGTACCGCAATACGCTTTGGTAATCTAGCCTGGCCATAGGCACTCCACCCTCTACATTCATTTACTACTGTAAACATCCATTTATGCCGGGTCTTTCGGCTAAATTTCTGATTTCCAATTCAAAGGGGTAAGGCGCAAAAAAAAACATGGTGCTCTGTTAGTCTGCATGACAGCGACGTGGAATGCCCAAAGAAAGTTCTGAGGTGGTACAAGTGGTATAGATACTCCGATCTCGCCAGAGTTCGACTTTCTGGAAGGCTTGATTGGTGAAAACTCTTAGTGAAATGACCCGCTTTGGTATAGATCTTTGCACTCACAATCACCACCATTCACCATTGGAATATTGCTGCTTTTCGACCCGTTGCTTTGCCCTTGGCAGAGATGCTCGTCAAATTTCAATAAATCTGAAAATCTGTAAATCAGATAAAGGAATTTGCATATTCAAGCATTGGCAAAGATCGTGGCCTAAAAGATAGCAACTGACTCTCGAGAAAACTACAGCTGAGGCAGGAAACTGCCAAAGACAGAGTAGTGATCCTGTCGGTTACGTACCATTTTGGATGATGATCAAAGAAACACCTTCTTTTTTTGATTGCCCACAATGGCATTTGACTCACTGGGAATCCGGACAGAACGGACCGCGGGAGCAGCACATTTCAAAACTCTCTGCTACAACTCAGCAGTAGGGTCCGTAAAGTCAATAAAGTCTTCCAACTCAAAACTGTTACCACCCTCCTCTTCATTGCCCCAGGCCACAACTGATCCATCTGCCAGGATGGCAGCAAAAACGCTATCTGACGCCACCTGCTGGACACCCCTCAGCTGATTGCGGACTCCAGTGCTGTCTCCACCAAATTCTGGATGGCCCCAGGAAACAACTGAGCCGTCTGCTCGGATGGCCACAAATGCACCGAATACCCCATCACTGTGTATGGTCTGATGTGTAGCTTGAATCTGCTTCACATCCTTAAGCTGGTCTTGGACATCAAAGCTGTCACCACCATAATCTCCATCGCCCCAGGCAACAACAGATCCATCTGCCAGGATGGCAGCAAATGCACCGTCTGTTGCCTGAATCTGCTGCACTCCCTGTAAGTCATCTTCAAAGGGCCAGCTGACACCACCATGTTGTGGATCGCCCCACGTAACGACAGATCCATCTGACAGGATCGCGGCAAATGCACAAGACGTGGCCTGAATCTGCTGGACGTTCTTAAGCTCATCTTGGACCCTAGAGCTGTCACCACCAAACAGTGGATCGCCCCATGTAACAATGGATCCATCTTCAAGAATCGCGGCAAGTGGCCTGAATCTGCTGCACATTCCTGAGCCTGAGTTGATCTCGGACTGTAGAACTGTCACCACCACGTTGTGGATCGCCCCACGATCTGTCGGACTTTCTTCAGCTGATCTTGGACTGAAAGGCTATGACCACCGAATAATTCATGGCCCCAGGTAGCAACCAAACCATCTGCCAGGATCGCAGCGAATGCACACTTGACCGCCTTGACCGCTTGGACAGTCTGAAGCAAATTACACTGCATGATATTGTTGTCACAACCATCATGTTCATGTCCCCATGTGATGATCCTTTCTCCAACAGCACCAGGGAGCAAAGAGTCTTTGCGTTGCCGCAAGTTGTGCTCGTAGACATACAACCGTTAGATGATCTCCATCCTGGAGCCCCGCAGCTTGCAGAGATTCTTCAGGATCAGGTAGTATCTTTCCACAAACTGTGACCAGACTCAAAAAGCGATGCCCAAGAGATTGCTGGGCCAGGGCCTTCAAGTCCCCAACTTTGGAGGACTCTGCGACTTCAAGATGTTTCCGCTTTCCGCTTGGGAGGGCTAGGTTGAGACGCAGCATTAGGGATGGCAGTATGGTCCAGAATATGGACAGCCAGGGTTGGCATTTTGAGCCAAGCATAGAGGCTACCAAATGAAGAGAATCGAAGCGTAGAACAGCCTGGCGAACTTCCCACGACACTGGGTGTGGTGATACCTGGTGGATGCTTCAACCCATTCCAGACAAACAGTCAAGTAAAATCAAGTACATCAGTGTGTGTACAGGCCCAACTTGCAGAAAACTTCAAGGTCATCAAAATACATATCTCTTTGGATGAAGGTCTACCCAGTCCAGATTTGGTGACGACATGTAGCTTGCGGTTTAGGGACCAACCTCATTTACCACTTGATCATTTGGGTGCTGAAAATTGGCTACAAAGAAACGGTGGTGAAATGTGGTGAATAATTACTAAAATTGCCTTCAAAAACGGCTGTCATCAATCTTCACCCGGATGGCTGCACCATCTGACCTCATCCGTCCCCATCCGTCCCCATCTGCGCCCAGGCTCTGTTTCCCAACGCCCCAGTGAAGGAACATGTCTCCGGAGCCGAAGCCCGTCGCTGTAACCTCGAAGACCATCCAACCACCTGATGGGAGCAGCAGCTGAGGGGTTGAAACATGTTGAAACTATCCACAAAAAATGAGCATTCAGACGGATTTCGATCAAGTACTATCAATAGAATGGGAGGTAACTAGGTAACCATCAACAAAAGAACAATAAATTCTATCCGCTTTCCCGCCCAAAAATCGGGATTTCATGGATAGCCGGATAGCCCTCAACCAGGATGGCTTTCCCTACCGACCCTCCACCTTCATCGTTGGGCTCTGAAACCACGTCAACGTTGATGGAACACTTGCCCAATTGGGCGGCAATCATGGCGCCGTGGTTGAAACCAACGGGGTGTGTATTTTCCGAGGGTCACTCGATCTTCACAGATGCTCGACTTGTATAATCACGTGTAGAATTATAGTGTAACTACACTTAAGTATACAGATGCAGTTGCATGCACTTGCCCGCTGGCTGATATATCTTACCTCATTTCTTCCAATCAAGCGTGCGTTCGCATCAGATTTCAACTCTGCAAAATCCAGGCGGCAATTCTGGATATATGCCAGAATTAAATGCCTGTGACGATGCTGGTTAGTGTCTGTTACTGTCTTTCGGTATCTTTAAAACATCATGTGTGACTCCAGCTCCATGTAAACCCGGGAAAGCCCCACAAAGGTACTGATGCCTAAAGCCGAAGCTGCCATAAGAGCGGCTTAGCATGGCTACACCGCTGTTGAGAAGTCACCATTTTTCTTCGGATGTTGGATCCATCCAACTTTCAAGCTTGGCCCCACGGGAGTAAGCCTAACTTGGCAAGTGCTTTTTGCATTTTTTCCTTTCAGCTGAATTCTAGATGTGATGCCGCACAAAAGGGCACAAAAGGGCACTCTTTTCCGGGCAAACTGCCACTGCAACACGATGCGTATCACGACGTCCGGGCGGTTCAAAGGCATCAAAGGCATCAAAGGCATCCGCAGACTTTCAGCACCAGCACTGCCACACCTGCCGTGGCCATGATTTTCGACAGATCCATAGCCATAGCCAAATCATGGTATTTTTTTTAATTTAATGTGGGGTGTTGCAATGCCAACCATCTTTGCCCATCTTTGCCCTCCGGCTGCCTGCATAGCACACGCAGGATAGAAGCTGATCAGTCAAATCCTGTCAGCGTGATGCACCCATGGCAATTTCACCAACCTTTTTCCCTACCTGCCAGGTGAGGGCTGTTAGATTTTATCAGAGCGCATGCCCGCCTCCTCCTCCTCATCCTCGACTAGCTGTCCTCCTCGCCCTCCTCCTCGCCTCCGCCTCTTCCACCTCCACTTCCGCCTTGCCAACCTAGCCAACTCGTCGCCAAGCTCTTCGCCAACTTCCCAGCTCAGTGCGCACTGCTGGACGTCAACCTGCGAGCTGCTCAGCTCAGTGTGCACCGCTGGACCTCAACCTGCGAGCTGCCCAGCTCAGTGTGCACCGCTGGACCTCAACCGGGGACATGCCCAGCTCAGTGTGCACCGCTGGACCTCAACCTGCGAGCTGCCCAGCTCAGTGTGCACCGCTGGACCTCAACCGGGACATGCCCAGCTCAGTGTGCACCGCTGGACCTCAACCGCGAGCTCCCACTCAGTGTGCACCGCTGACCTCAACCGGGACTTGCCCAGCTCAGTGTGCACCGCTGGACCTCAACGCCCAGATAGAAATGCAATAGAATGTCAATGAATGCAGAATAGAATGCCAGATAGAATCCCAGAAGATTTGGCCAGATAATATGCCAGATAGAATGCCAGAAGTAATGCCAGATAGAATGCCATAGATGTCAGATAGAATCCAGATAGAATGCCAGATAGAATCCCCCAGAAATTGCCAGATAATATGCCAGATAGAATGCCAGAAGGTATGCCAGAAGGTATGCCAATGAATGCCAGATAGAATGCCAGAAGATTGCCAGATAGAATGCCAGAAGATATGCCAGAAGATTTGCCCAGATAGAAGCCAGATAGAGCCAAAGGTATGCCAGATAGAATGCAGATAGAATGCCAGATAGAATCCCAATGAAGATTTGCCAGATAATATGCCAGATAGAATGCCAGATAGAATGCCAGAAGGTATGCCAGATAGAATGCCAGATAGAATGTCAGATAGAATGCCACAACATATGCCAGATAGAATCCCAGAAGATTTAACAGATAATATGCCAGAAGATATACCAGATAGAATGCCAGATAGAATGCCAGAAGATATGCCAGAAGATATGACAGAAGATATGCCAGATAGAATGCCAGATAGAATGCCAGAAGATATGTCAGAACATATGCCAGAAGATATGCCAGGTAGAATGCCAGAAGATATGCCAGATAGAATGCCAGAAGATATGGCAGATAGAATGCCAGAAGATTTGCCAGTAAGAAAATGTATAAATGTCATGGTGGGGATCACACGAAGTAAAGTAATTTGGGGCATTTGGAACACCCATTGAAGGGAACACATGTAGTGATATAATGTGTATAAAACAATAATAAACCACCCATTTGGGAATGGTTTATACCAAAAAACATTGTGATTTGGGGATGGTTTATGGCATCGTTCTACCCAGATTTTAATATTTACCATATCTGAAACCGACCAACCTGCCGGGGCTTGTCCTTTGGCGCTTGCTTCTCGTTGATTGCGAGCAGTTCCACCTACGGCCACGTAGGGGTGTGGGCTCAGGACGAGGTCTTAGAGGGACCAAGTTCGTGCTTTCTTGTAGAAAGTAGAAACATATGGAGGGAAAAACATTGCGTATACTGGGTGTCTGCAATTTTCAATAAACAAACAATATACCCAACCTTCACTTTGCCTTCAATTCCCCCGAAGCTGAGTGATTTGACCAAGGAAACGTGAAGATCGAATTGTTTGGTGGGCCAAAAGTATGGCACCTTGGTACATGTCCCACACAATATGGTTGTGTGCCAAAATAGGCCAGATTAGAGCAATGTTTGGTATTTTTGCAAACAGTGGATTTGGGGGGTAACACCATTCTTGCGAAATCCATGTTCATGTTCATCTACCTTCGCCTATATCTGCTCATTGGGCTTTACAAATTGGGTTCGTGCCAATTTCAATTCACCCCCTGCAGGTGAGGAGAGAGACTGCATCTCGGAGAGCAGAAAGACCTATATATAAAATAATATATGTATTATATACAATTAATGATTATATGTAGCTTAGATTGGCAAGAATTGACTCCCCTGCTCGATTTAGCACAGGCACGTAGCATGTTGGGTCCCATCTTCCCAAAGTGAAGCGATGTGGGGTTTGTCTCACGGGGAATGCCCATGGATGCCCATGGGTGCCCCATTCTATGGCCATTCGAATTGATATCTTATGGGAAAAATCAGGACAGTCTGGGGCCTGGGGCTAAGTTTGTTTGAGACATACGTGACATACTTACCTATTTTTGGTGTACTAATGATATTTCACACCTCAGGTCAGCTCGTAGAAAGTCTCAACTGTGGCATACTGGATCTGGATCCAAAAGCTGAAGGCCATCAAGGCCAGCTGGTTTCTCACTGGTAGCTATACATGGCCCAGAACCAGCAACGAACTATAGTTATAGCACGCAATAATAGTACTCGTTTAAAACCAGATGTTCTTATAAAGCGCTTGCGCACCTCGTACAACCCCAATCAGTAATTCCCTGCCGCACCCATCATGTACCTGAATCCCAAATGAGGAATTTTTGGAATAGCTTCCCCTGCAGTTCATGAGTTAATCAATCTATTTTAATCTCTGGGGTTCACCGTATACCATCTCCCCCAATGCCTCAAAAACAAGGTCGGCATATGGAGGGATGACTCCAGGAGCGCCCTGTCTGCCGTACCTCGCACTACTTGGGGGTCTTTGTGCCTGTTCTACTGCGTGCTCTGGACTGCTCTGGCACCCATTGTGCGAGGTTTTTCATAACAATGCCAAATTTCATCAAATTTCCATGTCTGAATTTGTATGAATTTGTGGAAAACAACCAATCTTTCAAATTGAAGTGGAAGTCGATGCAGGGCCAAAACAAGTTGTGACTGGGCAAAACTAACGTTTATTTATTTAAATTTGCTTGTCCAGGATAAGATTCAACCCTTTGTATTTGACTAAAGCAACGAAATAACCAATCAAAATGAATATGAATCTATTAAATAAGTGTAAGTGCCAGAATTGTTGAGGAAAAATGTCTGACAAAGGTTTGTTCTGGATTTCAAATCCGACGTGACGTGTCGTCTTTCAGCCAGTTCAGAACTCAACTTGACATGGCGTTGAATGTGGTTTTGTCTGCAAAGTCTTAACCCAAAATCCTTTGGTTAACCATCATGTTTCGGTGAAAAATCCTACATTTTCAGACACAAAAGTCTCTCTGAACCTCTTTTTTGGTGATTTCATTATTTTTTGAATATTTTGAATTTTTTGAATTTCAAAATATTCAAAATATTCAAAAAATTTAGCCAATACAAACATATTTTGAATATTTTGATTTTTTTGAATTTCAAAAATTTCAAAATAATCAAAAAATTAGCCAATACAAAAATATTTTGATTTTTTTGAATTTCAATATATTCAAAATATTCAAAAAAAATTAGCCAATACAAAAATATTTTGATTTTTTTGAATTTCAAAAAAATCAAAATATTCAAAAAGTAATGAAACTCCAAAGAATAGTCTAAAACAGTCGTCTGGGAGATTGCTTTCAATTTGAAATGGAATCAAATAGTCAACGGTCAAATAGTACATGAAGGTCCATCGTACATATATATATATACGAATATCAAACATATTCAAAAATAGTTTGCTAGTTATATCCCATTCTATAAATTCTTTATCCCATTCGGTATTCCATGACATGTCTCCCTCAATAGCTTGTTTTCTTGGATTTATTCCACATATGACGTATATATCATATTATAAATTCATATAATTATATATATATACGCATATAATATATATATATATGTAGTATATATATATATATAATTTAAACTATATCCGTATATCCCGTTGGAATGAATCGTTGGTTCCCGGAAAAAGCAACGGGCGAATCCGCTCCCGCCGGTCGTCACGCAAAGTCCGACGTGATCTCCAGCTTTGCTTTCTCGCCCAAGGACATCCTGATCACCTGAGCTGTGGATAAACCATGATAAACCATCGTTGAACGTTGACCGATTCCCGGGAAGGGGATATCATGGCTGTGACTCAACATAAAAACATACTGTGGATATGTGCAGAAAAATAAACACATGATTTAGGGTCATCAAGTAATGTTTCGGAAAAGAAAACAAAGGATGACACATTTTTCATACATGGGCCATTTCCGCTAAAATTCATGGCTAATGGGCTCTATTGCTTTCGGCGGAGCCTTCATCGCCGAGCTGCTCCTTCATCCCAGCCGCGAATCACTTGACCTCTGCCCACTGGAAATCGGATGGGCTGTCCAGCACGTTCTGAAGAATCGAAGACTTGACCATTGTCTTTGAAGGTGCCGACGTAGTGCATCCTTAGTGCCACACCGGGTGTTACATGGTGTTGCGGTTTGGCTGGAAAATAAGGCACCCCTCACCCTTTGAAAGACATGTTCCCTTATCAGTAATAATTTTTGGGCCATCCCCAATTTTTGGACAGGTATATATAATATATATAATATAATATATATATATATAATAATATATATATATAATATTATATATATAATTATAATATTATATATAATATTCTATATATAATATTAAAAATATAATTATATATATATATGTCATATTCTATCACATGGACATATTATGTCCTGAATCCCAATCATATCCCCACAAGGTGGTCTCTTGACCCCAACTTTCGGAACCAGTCCAGGGCGGATCATAGCCGAGACCCAACTGAGTTGGTCATGGTTTCAGGGAACGCTGGAACTGGAACCCCCTATCTTTGATGGTAAAAACCATGTAAAAACCATGGTGTTTCCTGCTCAATTTCAAGGCTCAGCAAACTATCTCCTGGTTTGGGATATGTCTGCTTGTCTCCTTCCTGCCAGCATGGAAGTGCCGTTGGGTACGGGCTTAAATTCTCAAAGCCGAAAAGGGATGGTTGAAGAGGTTGAAGACTCAAAGCGAGAAAACTTATAGACCATATATAGACCATATCAAATATACGATAACTAAATACCATATTGAGTCACAGTATTTTCTTCAATTCTTTCCTGGATAAATCCTAATGCATCCTCATTATATACCCTCTGGTTATTTAACATAGCCATGGAAAATCCCTTATAAATGGAGGTTTTAATGGGAAAACCATCTACAAATGGGCCATTTTCCATGGCTATGTTAAATAACCAGATGGTAAATACCAAATATTGAGATCTTTGTCAGCCTGCATCCTAATGCACGGAGATGCATCAGAAACACTTCCTCCATTGCATCAGGATCCTCTTACAAGCTCAGAGCGGAGAAGAAAGCACCAACCAATAGTCTCTTCGGCATAAAAGAAACAGCTAAGAAGAACACCACCAATCGTGGTAATAATAGAAATACGTAATCAGTAATCACTATTTTTAAACAAAATGGTCATAATAAGCAATGATGATAATGACAGTCATAATGATAATATCTGATAATCATACAGAACGGGACTTATATCCCTTATATCTATTATATAGTATTCATGAAATCATTAAAAAAGCGCACTCTGACAGCTTGAGGCTCTGTAATTGTAATATTGACAATCCTGGTGATAATTCATAATGATTCTACTACTGCTACTACTAATAGTAATAATAAACAATAATAATAATCATCATCACCCTTCTCATACACAATTCCTTCTACTTGGTCTTCGAACTACAAGGGATCGCAGTCTTTTTGGACGGCTGCCCCCTGGTGCAAATGGTTGATAGTTGAGTTACACCCAGTGTTTACTGGAAATACATAGATAATCAAAGATCATCAGATCCATTCAGCTTCATGGGATATCATGGGATATCCCAGCAATCATCTGTGTAAATCAACATGTTCCCAAAATCATTCACCAACCTCAAACGCTCGGTCATTTGGGGATAGTTCCCATTGCTATAGCTGTGAGGTCCCAGCCGCCCAGCCTTGATGATCGTCTTTGTCACACCCATCGTGAATCTCTCAGAATGGCGTGGCAGCGACGATTTTTACGACGCCGAGCACCAAGTTCAAATGGACAAAGCTCGCTGAAAGTCAATGGACATGCCATTTGGAGGATTGGGCAATATACATTTTGAAGTGTTTCCATGTGTTTCCTCACTTCAAAAGATTTTTGGAAGATCCAATATTCATGAACAAATGACCCATTCCTGGTTCTGTGATGCTTTTTTCATTGATCTGTGTTCACCCTGCCCTGCCCTGCTTCTTCGCCCGAAACACATCGACGGCAACACGACTGTCACGAAATCTTTAAATCTTTGGTCAGTTCGCAGGACGTGAGTTTCAGAACGGCAGAACTATGGGATGAGATACCCTTCATAAGTTGGGACATGGGGCCCCGAAACAACGATGGTTATTTTTGGATATATTTTGGGATATAATCTGTTATATCTAGTTGTACTATATCTGGTAAATTTCTAGTATAACTATTTCCCAACTGATATGATCTGTTATAAGCCACTTGTTACTGGAACAGATCATTCGTATTGAACTAGAAATAAATTCTGACCCAAAAACAAGAAAACTGCCGGCCTTTTTTTTCCGGTGCACGACTCCCAAAGTAACAACTGCTGTTTCTCAGAGCCGTTCAGGTCAAGTGGAATTCGGAGGAATAGAAGAGCAATTCGAAAAAGTGATTTTGGGGCTGCTTCTTCCGAATATTGCATGTATGATGATTCAGCTCACCAGATCCATGCAATATGGTCCTGTATGGTCTTGTCTATGGAAGTGAGCTTGTCTCTTAAAGTCATTCCAATCATCAACGTTGGTATGAAACCTCACCCACCATGAGCAAAAATGAGGTGTTGTATCTTGATCAAGACACAACAAAACGCCAAAAAATGTGCGTGTTTGCAAAATCCTTTCTTGGTCACTGGTCATTATATATACCATCCCACTTTTGCCAAATTATGCCAAATGATTGTTTGGTTGTCAATGGTTATTGCCATTTCCCGGATATTCCATCCCTATTTGGTGTAAAAACACCTGAAATTCCTCCAGATACCACGCTCAACTGTCCATGATCTGCTTTAGAGAAAGCACCTGCACAAGCTTCAGCGGGGGTGGCAGTCTTAGATGGCCAATCATATAACACATTGGGATGTAAGTAACAAACATGGGCTTGTCACCAACAGTTTTATGGGTGATGGAACAAAACCAACAATATGATATGGAATATATTCCCATTATATTCACATTGCATTCCCATAAATGGTTGCCAACAAAACATCATGATTTACTGTATCCCGTAAAATTGCATCATACCCCAATGGATCCATATGTTCATTGCCAAGCTCCAACCACCAATACCAATACCAACCAATACCAATACCAATACGAAACAATTACTCAACTCCCCGTTCTTATTGAATCACCATTACATCCCCAAAAGTGTCCCCACATGACTTCATCCCCTATTACCCTCCAGTAAATCAACATAGACCCTGGCCGATAGGGGTTGGAAGACTAGTTGTCATTAAAAAATGGTGATTTTCAGGGCAGGGTCTATGTTAATTTGCCAGGGGGTAAACCATGGTCTCAACGTTTCTGACTGGTCTTTAGGTTCAACAAAGGGGATCTTCACAAAAAAAACAAACCGCACCTGAGCCTGGACGAGGTGCACTTGCAGCCGACCTTCGGCCAGCTTTTCCTGCTCCTCCTTGCAACGCTCCTGCGCACTTCGCATGGCCTGGCCATGGGGCCATGGCGGATGGGAACTGATTGACCCAAAAAGTAGGGATTTTTCGAGACTGGACCTAACCATCGACAACAAAGGAGCGGCAATTTCACCCACTAAAAACAGCATGAAAAGGTAAGCATATCCACCCAAGAAAAATTATTTAGGCAACAAAAATCAGGATTTCTCAGGAGTAATCTGATGATCTGATGTGATGGAAACTTAACGTTGATAATCGAACCACAAATATCAAACAATAACATACAATAACCATCATCATTTAGGGATGAACGAATGAACAACCCGTTCTTTTTGTTGTTATAAACTGCGTGGCAATCATTTCAGGCTTCTAAATCATAGGAGATACCCTGAAAGAATTTAAGATCGACATGGAAAATCCACCATGAATGTGGATCCTTCCATTCTAGGGAGTCCATAGGTCTTCGGCAAAAAATGGTTCAATTTTTACAACATGTTTCGGCTCTTGCTTCGGGTCAAACACAATTTTATCATGTCGTTGAAAAATCCGCAATGGTTTCACCATCATCGGCCATGAAACCGCCATCCGCACCGTGAAAGCACCTCTAGTTTTGTCACCATGAATTGAACGATTGAATCTGGTTGGTGGTTGAGCCCTACCCCTCTGAAAAATGTTATATAGTCAGTTGGGGTTACGACATTCCCAATATATGGAAATAAAAGTCATGTTCCAAACCACCAACCAGACATATTGTTGGTGACATCCTTATGATGTAGCAATTATTATATATCACTAGTATATATTACCATGTTTCTGCTTAAATACTCCAGACCACCAACCAGGAATGATCATTGGTTGGCACCATGTCTTTTTTCGGCTTTCCACCATGATTCCCATTCAACATCAGCCGCATCAGCCCAGCCTCGATGGCTTTGTTGGCGGCTTCCCTGGCCTTGGCCCTCTGCTGCATATGGATGCTGCCCTGTCGGATGAACTCCTTAGCAGTGCCACGGCGGTTTCGGTTTCTAGCTTGGAAAATAACCTACAAATCGGGGATTGTGCAAGCCATGTTTGAGTACCAGAAGGTAAAACATTGGGATGTTCCTAAGAACAAATAGGGAGATGTCCGGGATGTTACCAACGTATCAAGGGTTTTGTGGGTGGAAAATCACCAAAACAATCATATGATGCAGCCATGTCACTATTCACATCTCATAGAAATTGGATGGGCTCCCTAAGAAAAGGTACCCTCCCCTATTGTTGGGCCCTTGTGACAAGTGAATAACCCCTGAATCATAAAGCCTTGGTGAATTGCTTCGACGGGTGGATCCATAGAGTTGTGGATGAACACCCAAAGCTATTGCTATTGGGAGAATGCTACCCATGAAATCACGGATGTTGGGGACATTTTCAGATGACCCCATGTTGGTGTTTGGTATTTCGTAGTCCCTAGTGAGAATTATCATATTAACAAATATATATATATATATTAGTAATCTTATAAGTTGTATATGATGAGCATCAGCTCAAAAAAACAAATTCATTATCCCATATTTGGTCATCCGTGGTGATGAGTAATCCAACATCCCTCGTATCAACATCCCCCCATTAAGGGGCCCCAGAATGAATACATCCAATCAGAACCAGGGTCTTGTTTGTTGTAGCTATAAAATATACAAAGAAGGGATTACAAGGTCATTCTTAACCTTATTTAGGACAAAATCATCTAACTATATGGTAATAATATATATATATATGGTAATATCCCATCATCTAAGGTACAGTATATACACCATCATCTACCTTTTTGACGATTCCAAGTCACAAGTTCTCAAAAAACAAGGCGCAGCCATCAAACACCAGTGTAGTTTACCCAAGTTTCCACCATCGATGTTGCATTTTTTTCGTGATTGAACATGATTCAAGCAGCATTGTTCCTTGCAGAACCCCCCATTTTCGATCGGTTTCGGTTACCCTGGGTAAACTATGGTGAAAACTAGTACCCATAGGATCCATGGTGCTGGTATATATGCTAACATTTGGGGTATTGTATATTGATGGGATCCATGTTACCATATATAGCAGCACCATGGATCCTATGGGGTATAGATGTGATAAAATCCATGGGGTTTATTCCAAGCTGATCATGTTGCTCCACATCCTTTCCACATCGCCGCAATGCCAAGGCACGGCATGCTGATCTTCATGTGGCTCTCGGGCCGTATCATCAGCCTTGGGGCATCAGCAACGTCAATCAAGTTATGATATCAATGGATTATCAATGGATTATTAATACTATATTGCCATAATCAAAAATTGGATATTATTAGTTTATTAATTAATGGATTATGAATGGATTTATCATATTATATTGGATACATCTAAGCAAACCACTCTTATGGTCATATGAGTGGAGAATAGTGGAAAAATGGATATTCATGTTTTTTGATTTGCAATCAACTTGTTTGATATATGAATATTTAAGCAACTCTAGACTCTAGTGTGATATGTTGATAAATATTGATATTAGGGGGATGGGGTATAAAACACTCCTTTTGTTATAGACAAACCGTACATGAATGGCACGAAACAAACAACATGATTTGCACACATAATCCACATGTATCATAGAATCTGTGGCATAATTCCGTATAGTTACGTATGATGTTTGGGAGACATCACAAGGTCATGATGTTGGTGTCATAGAAGCCCTCCAGTTCAACAACCCAGGGGCGTTTGAGGTCGTAGCATTTCCGCAAGAGTTATGAGATGGGGAATGCTAAAATATCCTTACATCTGGCGCCTTACAAATCCGGCCTGTGCCCAGATACAGCCTACCAAACAAAGGAGAGACAAGCAAAAAACATGAGAATCGATAGTTGCAACACCAAAAATCTCAAGGCCAGGTGAAGAATTATCAACTGAACTATTAATATTGGTGGGAGGCCCCATCATCTCATGTTCATTTTGCACTCTTCGTCAGGCAAAAATAATAGCAGAAGAGTTGTCTGCAAAGCTGCAGAAGACAACCAAGAATCACCGTAGAGCACCCATTACCGCAGTTCCAATTTGTAAATAAGAAACCAGTTGATCCATTTGCCGATGCTATTTGAAGAGTGGGTTTCCGCCCATGGTTCTGATATCCCAAGTGCTTTAACAAATATCCAATGTGTGTCCCATGATCAAACCATATCTGAGGCCAGTGCATCCGCTTCTTTCTCCAGCTCCTATCACAGCAAGCACGTTTTTGAAACTGAGAGCGTGGTGGCTCCAGCCATTGAGCGTCTCTGCATAAAGCGGGTTCTCTCTCTTACTATACATATACATATATATATATATATATGTATAGCTTATAATATATATATATATATACACATACATTATGTGCATATAATATATGCGTATGTGTATAGTATATATACATACGTATGTAAGTATATATAATATATGCAGGGAGAGAGAGAGAGAGAGAAAACAGCCATTACGGTAATCAGTCTGGCTGGAATATCCACCAGTTCGATGAGATTTCCCAGCGACAGAAACCTCCATGGGGAGTTCCCAGCCATGTTTCATGGGACCCCCATGGGAACAGATCTGGTACTGAACCAAGCTTTCTAAGGCTTACTGTATTCAAAGGTGTTCACAGGTGAAAAGATTGCAGTATCTGATACAGCAACGTGTTGCTTCAAAATGCTGTAGCCTTCCAACAAGAAATCCAGCTAGTGTTTCCACAATTTTCCTTGCATCACTTTGGTAAAAGAAAGAAACCATGCATGTGTCAACATATTCCCAAGCCAACTATATTGGACTATATTGGATTGGATATTCAAGTATCCACCGTCCACCTATATATATTGGATAAAAATGGATATATCATTGGATATTCCATGGTTGGTAAGCCGGTAAGCCAAACCTTATCAACTATATCCATCCCCGACTTCCAATGGTACCATCCCTGAGGAATCTTCCAGCAGAAACGGCGCACCCGCATGAGGCTTTCGAGGTGAGCTATCCTCCGACAGCGGGCTGGGGAACCCCAGAAACTTGGTTAGCATATATAAATGAATATATTATGGAAACCATTGGTTATTGTAAATGATATATTAGTATATGGCATACCAAATAGGTTCACCCATGTTATGAATGGGCATAGTATAATTTGTAAATGAATATGGGTTATGCCCATTGGTTATAGAAATTATGCCGAATATATCAATCTCATTTAATCTCTACATCCCAGCTTTGCCTTCGATCATCCCATGATATATTCCCCATGACCCATCCCAGGCCAGTTGTCCTTGTTTTGGCCGCACTCGCCAAGCGTGGGAGCATCCAGGAGTCCTTCGGCAAACCCGGCCTCAGTGGAGCCCCGGAATGGTGACTTCCTACCGATCACCGAAGGTATGGCGCAGCTGAGAGCAGGACAGCTTCCCAAAGACCTGTTTTTTGTGGATGCCAGGTGCCAAAAGATCTTTGGCTGCAAAGCAAAACATCCAAAAACATCCAAAATCATCCAAAACTCCGTCATCTTAGGTGCGGCTCGCCGATCTTCAGACAGGAACTACATGGAATCATCGGTGCGGCATCATCTTTTCGAGTCATCGAGCCATGTCATCTCCAATGGTCGATGCCTCGTCCTTTCCATCTGAAAGCTTCGCCTGCTCTTCCTCCAACTTGCCATACATCTCCTAGCAGCTCCACAGCGAAAACAACGCTGATCAAGGACATGCGAAAATCAATGTCTTTCAAGACAATTCAAGGACATATTCATAAATCTTCATGTTGAAAAAAATTATAGATATGTTATGATATGATAGATTTACATATTGTTTCCTACCTTTCAATATCAATAAAGATGAGTTTTTTTGAGTGGATAAACCACTGTTCGACTCCTGGAGCACCTCCGTCTTGATGTGGGACGCTGTCAGCAGGTACTCACATTTCGAGGTCTCAATCCTTGACGCGGCGACGTGGCGAACTAGCCACGAATCACAAGTAGGATCCGGGTTTTGTTACTGGGATAAGTAAGGCTTCATCCACTTATACCCACTGGTAAACTAACATACCTATTGAAAATGGCCATTTATAGTGGATTTTCCCATAAAAAATGTGATTTTCCATAGTTATGTTAGTTTACCAGAGGGTCACTAGGATTATCACCTCCTCAGAAAGTGGGATGAGCCACCAACGACAGCTCAAAAGTTCAGCCACATAAATAAACACCAACAGATTCCCAGAGTAAAGGTATGGGGTTATCTTGTATGGTATGGTGGTATGGATCATCTGAAAAAAACGTATCAGTTGATTGGAGTTGTTATCCGAGGAAATATGTATATACATGTGTATATATATATATAGAGAGAGAGAGAGAGCATGGGGTATAGATATGTGTATTTTAAATGGTATATCACAGGAGATATATCAATGGTTGTTTGTTTTTTGTGGGCCTTGCAGCCCAGCTCCTTTTTTGTGGGGAACATCGACGGGATTCCGGGAGGAAAAGATACGTTTTGGTCAGGGTAACATTCAAGTTTTAAACTTCTTATCCATCACCAGTTGGTTTACAATATCCCTATTTTCGATGGACACATCACCATGTTTTGCTGGCTAAACCCTACCCATCCAGGAATTGTTTCCGCAGTGAATCAGCTGATCCGCAGTGGCAGAAACACAGAACTCTGATTTTTTTGAGACCAAACTATAATTATAATATATATATATTATATTATATATATATTATATTATATATATATATTATATTATATTATATTATATTTTATTTTATTTTATTATATTATATTATATTCGATTCTATTCTATTATATTATATTATATTATATTCGATTCTATTATATTATATTATATTATATTATATATTATTATATTATATTATATATGTTATATAATAAATTATATACATATATAATAAATATATATACCTACTTCAACTAAAACCTACAAAAAAGCAGGTTGCAGTCCAATAACCTGGTTCTGGAAGCACTTCCCACAAAATTGCGGGTTTTGATATCGAAAACCTGGTTTTGATACAAAACCTTCTTTTATCTCTGCTTATAGGGTGTAATATGATCCAAATCATTTTCCCTTTGATTCACAACCATCCACCAGCCTGGCCGCCCAATCCCAAAGCCACTTTGGCTTTCATTTTCTCAATGCCATGGCAACCTCACAGATCCAGTCGCCCGGATTCTCAGAAAAGCTCCTGCCAGAGGCACAAATGGCAGGGTGGGAAGAATTGGGAAGAGATGTGTTGGAGAACCTTTTGTTGCCAAAGCCTCTTTTGGCTCGAGGTGTCTTAAAAAGGGAAACAAGTATCAAATATGATGCAGTTTGATTGCGAACACCTGGCATCAGAGTGGGATTCCAATGAAGATGTCAGGGCTAGGCTACGGGATGGCCTGACCTTGGTGATGAGCAAGGACAGAGCCAAGGACTCCAGCATTCAGCAGTGCACTTCCAACATGGACATCCTCCCACCGATGTTACATAGGCTGTATGCCTGCGGGCTCAAGATGCCGGAGATCAACAAAGTCAAGGAGCAGTGCGAGAACACCTACGCCCGGTCTTCCAAAGCTGCTGATGACAGCTGCGTTGAAGACGACGCATGGGAGTTGAGGAAAATGCTGAGGTTTATAAAGCGAAAGGCGAATCGCCAGGAAGTAAGTTTGGAACTTCGGCTGTAGCTTAGTTCAGGGTTTACTATTTTTTGGGGGTACAGATTGGATTGCAAACATATCAACATAATAAAGTGACATATTTTATTGGGGTTAACCAACAGCCCAAAGGACACAGACTTTCACGAACTGCTCCTGATTATCGCCCCGCATCTGGAGGCCGGGGTCGGGTGTATTTATAGGGACAAGACATACAGTATCATAACATATAACCTTGACACCAAGACACCTCCAAAAAATCACTATTCAAAACGGAATCAACACTTTTGGCAGGAGAGAATCAAGGAGGTGATGGCAAAGGCCAAGAGCCAGAACATCTCGGATGAGGACAGGTGTCAAATCATATGGAATCTTCGTGGGACCCTTGAAAATATACTATATTGTATACTATTGTATGATTCAACAACAACAACACCAATGAACTTTGGTCTTGGGTATCTATTTCCTTGTGCTATATTGTTTATACATACGTTTTATCAACAGACCAGGAGTCTCTTCCAGAGACCAAAGCTGATGGGGAATCTCCGTCTCAGTCTTCTACAGAATCAGAAGCTGAACAAGCCGGTGAACCATCCCTGGAGCCAATTGCTCCACCTTCGACTGTGGAGCCAGTTGCCCCACCAGTCGTCACGCCTGTGACCCCAGGCCCTGCAGCCCCGTCTCCTGCAACATCAGCAGCTTCGCTTGTGACTCCACCTGCAAAGCGCATGGGGCCGGCTTCACGGACACCAACTCCAGTTGGCAAACCCACAGGCTCATGAAATGGGAGTTGAATGTGTTTCACAAGTGGCCCATGCATATATCACCAGACAAATTGTATATCTGCAATATCATAAGTCATCCATGTCCTACAGCAACCCATGACAACCAAATGATAGTGGGGTAGCACCTGCATCCCTGAGGTGAGGAAGTGAAGTCCCAAATGCTTTACCGGCGTGTCAAGATCTTGGAGGAACTCTTGCAAAAGAAGAATGCGTTGTTGTTGACCCTTGCCCACACAGAACACATGTACTTTGGATTTACCTTTTCATATTGGGAAGGGGTGACCCTAACCAAATATAGAAATTAACCACCAATCCATGGCCAAGAGATAGTTTCCAAGTCTTTCCAGTTCTCATACCCAAGGATTCAGAGCAAACAGTCGGTCAAGCCCGGAACCCCTCCCAGTGTCGCCGATGGTCCGAAGCTGAACCCTTCAGGACACGGGTGACCCATTTGATTGTTGATTTTTTGGTGTTAATTGTTACAAAATATTTTGCAAACTTAATCCCATAGTTGGTATTGCAACCCTCTAGGAGCCCCTGGTCCTATCAGTCCAGATGATGTGGACACTCAGCCCATGTTGGAGACTCCAGTGGTCCCCCCAGAACCTTCACCACCAAAGGCTCCCAGCTTTGAAGAGCCCAGTGTGAAAAGGCAAAAGTATCAGCGAGGGAGGGGAAAGTCTCCCACGATTGAACTTCATCCGGAGGTGGCATCCGGGGGATCTACACCTGTGCCCCCTCAACCCATCGAGCCTGAAGTTGAAATCGAGAAGCCAAAGACTGAGGTCCTGCGATTCAAAAAAAAAATCATCACGGAGAAACCTGAGATGATAGGTTCTGACAGTATTGTGACAATAATATTCACTGATAAAAACACGTCTACAAGATATTCTTTAAAGAATGTTTCCTTACATACGTTATATACATGTGCCCAGCCGCTTTTCAGCTTATTCAAACTTTTAGCTCCCCCTGCAGGAAGTGGTGACTCGTCGGGATCAGCTAGCTTCTAAGGCAAAGAAGAAGGAGGATGAACCCAGAGGTGGCCGCGGCCGTGGGCGGGGCAAATCAAGAGGTCGTGGTAAAGGTCCAGGACGTGGTCGGGGTCGTGGGAACCGTGCAGAACCAGCCACACCAGAAGATGAATGTGATGATGATGAAGAGATGGAAGGTGAGGATGGTGAGGGGTGTGAAAATGGAGAGAAGGGTGAAGTGGATCCTGTTGAGTTGGGAAAGGTACACAAGAAACTTCGGCCGTTTGTTGCCCCGAAGCCCGAGACTTCCCGTGCTGCATCGTCTTCCAAGCCACGCGCTTCCCGTGCATCCTCTTCCAGGCCAAAGCCTTCTGCGAAGGCCAAGGCTTCCAGTGAGCCCAAGACTTCCCGTGCATCTTCTCCCAAGGACAAGAAGGAGCCCAAGACTTCCCGTGCATCTTCTTCCAAAGCCAAGAAGGAGCCCAAGGCTGTTTCTTCTTCAAAAGCCAAGAAGGAGCCCAAGACTTCCCGTGTTTCAGAGGACAAGGGGACTGTGAAGGCTTGCTCCGAAGGTGATGGGGGAGAGCCCATGGAATCTAACAAGAGCAAGCCGAAGATGAAAGCGAACAAGAAGAGAACTATTTCTGAGAATGGTTCCAGCAGACCTGCGTCCAGGCCACGCAGGAGCCGATCCGTGCCGTCCAGGGACGGGAATTTGCAGAAGGAGATCAAAGAAATCCAGTCTTTTACGGAGGCCTTGGATTACCACAACCTGGAGTTCGATGATTTGAAGTTCTACATCAAGGAAGCTGTGACCCAACAGTTTGAATTCAAGATCACGCAGCTCAACATCTACTGGAAGACTGCTCGCTGTGGAATCAGGATGTATCGAGCCGATGGAAAGTCCACTGATCCCTTCTCTTTCACATTCCCATCAGATTCAGGAGGGCATCTCTTGAGGATGGTTGTTTCTGTTGCCACAGCTGCGCACATGGTGACTAGTTTGTATTTGCATATCGAAAACATGTTTTACGTTTTTGTAGGTTGAAAGGTTTCTGTACACCCTACAGATTCTTGTGGCCCTTTATGCTTCAAGCTTGTTCGCTCCCATCACTGCTTGGACTTGAGGCCAAGTGCATCGAGGATGCTGGGTACATGGTGGAATCTTATGATGACCTGGACAACATGAACCGACTGGCCATCGACTACTGGAGTGCTGAAGCTGAAGTGCTTCGCCGTCTGAGTTCTGCTGATGTTGACTAAATTTCAACTGCTGACATATTGTCTTTGGGGGGTTTCCCTTTGCTGCCATGCAAGGCATGGTGCTTCCTTAGGGTCTGCACAGTGTCATCACGACTGTGCCATGTTCGTAACTACTTGGTTAACGACCATTTCGCGGCCGTGGTAAAATGCTCATGATGTGAATAGAAAATAAGCACGCCGCTATAGCGAAACAATGATTTTGCACATCCGGCATGTGAAAATGCATCATCGTCGTTTCAGAAAACTACTTGTTTTTTCATCATGAAAATGAAAATGAAAATGCATCATCAGGAAAAAAAAAAAAAAAAAAACCTCCAACCCCCAAAAACAAAGAAGCTGCATACTAACAAGGAGCATGGTACCGGGGACTCAGGAGGGAAGGGTGGGCTTTTGGGCGTGGGATAGGGGCGATAAGAGAAGAAAAGAGGAAAGGATGAGGGCGAAAGAGGAGGCAGGAATATGGGCAGAAAACGCAGAAAATGGAACCCCAAACCACCACCAAACCATAAAACCCACAAAAAAAAAAAAAACATCATCTTCATCATCATCATCATCATCATCATCATCATCATCGTCATCATCTTCTTCATCTCTCATCATCACCAACATGTGTGCAACGTACAAGGAACGTTAACATGCCCCACCCCACCCCAACCCTTCAGTAACGTAGCATCCAACATGCGTGCCACTTACAAGGAACGTTAACATGCCCCACCCCACCACAACCCTTCAGTAACGTAGCATCCAACATGTGTGCCACTTACAAGGAACGTTAACATGCCCCACCCCACCCCAACCCTTCAAAAACGTTCAAAACGCAAAAAAAAGCCACTTCGTGCCACGGCCGTGCAGTGGTCGGTGTCCAACTACTTGAGCTTATATACCGAACTTCTTAGGAGCAATGAAGTTCGACGTCCGTTCACGGGTCCATTTGCTGATAGGGTCGCTTGGGACTGTCCCCATGACTTTTGCCATTGAATTTAATTTCAGCTATGCCTTCAAAATGATTTCATTGAGCAATATTAACCATGTTTTCTCGGAGCCTTGGTTGTCACAAGCAACGCAGTTTTTGAGACCATGCCACCACCCTTCTGTCCTGGGTGCTGCGGGATAGATCACACGATCGAAAGAACCTGCCGCGAGCCAGCGAAAAGTCAGTACCAGTCAGCCTAGTCTTTTGTTGTTCCCCAATACTGGACCTCGATGAATTATGTCGTGAAAATTGGTTCGGCATTTCAGGACAAGAACATTCATGAGAAACACATTCTATCTAGGGGCTTGCCAGAATCTTCCAAAACATCATAAACCCCAAAGGTTTCAAGATCCATTATGTTTCCCTACCCCTTCTTAGGAATTAACACCATGTCACAATCATAATGCCGGATCCGAAATCTGAGGCCAATGTGCGGCTTCTTCCAAGACCAGGCGTGTCCGGAAAACCCGGAGAACCATTTCAAAGTGGCGCCGTGCACCCGGCCAGATTATTTTTGGGGTTATAACTGATCAATGAATATCTATCCAATGACTTCCCATTTCGTAGAATCTCATGGGCTCAAGGCGGCCAGCCTTGGAAGGAACTTTGGTAAGGTCGACGTAGTGCAGCCTCATGGAAAACCGGATCCACCACGAACAAGACTTGATTGGTCTTTTGTGGATTTTGTCCAAATTGGGCGCTCCACGGGTATCTTTGCTAAATTTGGTTATGCTATTGAACTCTTTCCCAAGCCAAAAAAACAATCATTGTAATTGAGCACATTTTTTGTTGGTCTAATGCCGGGCCCAGGTATTCCTCCAAATCGTGATCCTCGTGTGGTACACCGATGGGCTTTTTGACCTTGGGGAGGCGTGGGCAATCTTGTAAATATTTTGAAGATGCCTGAAATAGTTTGAAACTTTCTTTTTCGGTGATGATATAAAATTAAACACAAAATAAGTTCAATTTGGCCGTTGCCTTTTGGAACCACTCAGGTCTCGTTTTCCTGCATAGCCCCAAAATGCCTCAAAATCTATGTCCTGACATGACATGTTCCCACATTCAGCCCCCGGGCCAGGAGTTCCAATGGCTGGAATTTTTTGCAGGGGTCGCAAATTGCACCCTGTACATGCGCCGTGCTGGGTATGTTTCCGGCAAATTTGATATATTATACTGTGACAAGACGAAGCAGGGCCAGAGAAAATCTAACTGGCATGATCTACTCTCACCTTCGGGATTTGCGTTACTTCGCTGTTGGTGGGTGGGCTTGTAAACCCTTAGTTTGATGCCCCCATAAAAATATATAATTAACCGGATACCCCCACGAAATTGGATATCCCATCTCCAAGAAGAATTTTCCCACATGCTTTTAAGATTATCCAACTTGGGCTCCTATCCCCTTCCTTTACTGCCGCCTGCCGTGCTCAGGTTGGCACTCGTCTTCATTCTGAAGCAGAAGACATCGGATTGCATCTCCTGGTTTGCAATCAAGTGCTCATCGTTTACAGGTGTCAACCGGGGAACCAGTAAGAGAAGCGCATGCAACAGCATTGGTGACCCCAGTGTCTACTCCGTTGGCATGTCCAATGCCCTGTTGGAAAGGACACCCATGGGTATGACCCCCAAAAATTTGAACGGGTAAAAGGTAAAACATATAGAATTTCCAATTCAAGAATGTTCCCCATTTAGATAACCATGAGATGTTTTATATCGATTCTGTTTGATTCCGTATTCCCAGGACAATCCTCCTTTTGATGGCCGTTGCTTGCAAATGTGGAGTTTGGGTACTAGAACAACCAGGCTCTTCGGTTTTGGAGTTTTACCCGGCATGGCTTCACATGATGGAATACCACTACAAGCTGTTCGGAAACCATGGAGCCCAACCCCCAGTTCCAAATATATCATTTCCACATATGTCCAAGCAAGACTTGTCAGATGTTGTTTCGATCTTGAACAGTTGAAACTGTTGTAGAGGTCTGATTGCCATACTATTTCAAATAAAATTAACGTATACATGTCCATTGTAACCCCAAAAAGTGTTACTTCCATCCAAATGCCCAGGTCAGCCGCATCGGCTGGTGGATGTCAATGTACGGGAGCCCAACTCCCAAGCGGCAGTACGCTTGGTCCAACAGCACAGCCATTCGCCGTTTGGATGTGGGGTGGCGTGCCATGAGGGCCCAAGTCCAAACAGTAAGACATTACATCAACAAGGAAGGCAAGCGATTCTGGCATGGTACAAAACATTTACGAAACACACAGACCTTCGATTCAATTCAGGTACTGTTTTGATTTCCTTACATCATATCAGATGGCCATGGGCCATGGTTGTAGATGCTATTGCTCGCTTTGATCCTTTCAAACCTAATCCCATCCATCAAATATTGACATCCCCATATGGAAGCCCAGAATACGTATGAAATAAAATCAGATTTGGTATTGCTGATAATTTCCCTTTTGTTTTTCTTGGTATCCCAGGACTTATCCAGTTCCCTTCGCCCAGCGCATCGTGAACATCCGTGGTGACTTGATCCAGGGGAGACCAATGGAACCTCTTATTCCATCACCATGCCCCCTTGGCCCACAAATCCTGTCCTCCACTCCAGAGGATGTGGAAGGCTTGTTTGCCACAGCTGACCTTGGCTCAGTTTACAGGTATCTCCGGGGCGGGAAAGGCTTGCAGCTACCGCCCCACTGGCGTCCCTACATGCCATGTGAGGTGCCCTAGGTGCCCAAATATCTACTCAAATCCCACAGGGGGCTGAAGCTGGCATAAACACATTTTTTCTATTAGGATAACCTTTATTGGACGAATTGTCCTCGAAATATAGCATTCCTGTTATCCCAAGTTCGCAATGGATATGGATTTTCTGTCGGAAATGTGATTTTTGTCGGATCGGAATCAAAAAAAAGTGGGTTTTGGTGCCCAAACCCATAATCTTCCCATAAAAACCCATAATCATCCCATAAAAACCCATAAATTGGGATTACCTGGTTTTGGGGCAACCCGTAAACAACCCATAAAAAACCCATAAAAACCCATCGGAAACCCATAAAAACCCATCGTGCAAAAGTGGGTTTTCCATGTGGTTCCCAAGCTGCTCCCTGTGGCGACTTTTGCGGAAAAAATCCGCAAAAATTAGACAATTAGTGTGGTGTAAAATTTCACGTGGCCTGATCCTGCGTGAAAAGAAAGTGTCGAATGCTTAAGCAAAGAATGATTTTGACATTTTTTCAGGTGTATCGGATTTGCAGTAGCAACAAGAGCTTGAAAGCCACTTGCCTCACCGCAGGATTGATTTTGGGGTTCGATTTCATTGGCCTTGCAGGCCTATCTTTGATCTAGCAATGTCAAAGCAATGGTCTTGCGAAACTCTAAGGGTAGGCTATGAGGATGTGATGGCTGAAGCTCTGGAAGGGGACGAAAAAGTCCTTATTACGGAGATTCAGGACCGTGAAACTGAAAACAATTCTCCTTATGATCTTGTGGATATACCCAATTTGGACCATCAACATTTATAGATCCAATATTCAACTAGTGTTGATATACTGTGGTGAGTAATTTAAAGGGGCACGTGCTACCACATTTCCTTTTACCATGAAATGATAACAACGACGTAATTGGTGGGAATGTACGACCGTGCACATAATTTTATATTACATCACAGATAATTGGGAGCATATATTTATTACCACACACTTCTAGTTCACTTAGATTCCCAAATTATCCCCAAGTAGGTTGACGGCCCGGCCCACAGGACCTTGAAAAGGAACTCGCGGAGATTGAGGCCATGACTGAGGGAAAGGCTGCCGGGGGCCCCATTTTTTGGCCCTGGCACAGCGCTGTCAGAAAATTTTATTGACCTCATCAACATCAACCATATGAAAAACAACATGGGGAAAAGTGGATCAAATTTCAAAAGTGGAAAACTGGCATTGCCTGAAATGAACAAACTGCAAATTTGAAATCTTGAAGTTGTTTTTTTGGGGCTTAGGTTGCAAAGACTATGACCCTCCAGTCTCCTACAGTGTCTCCTCTTTCTACCATGGCTTCTCCCACGGGTACTGCTGGTGATGGTTCCACTGCCCCTACAGAAGACAAGAAGGACTATAGTTGATATTATAGTTGTATGATGTTGACTTTCAGCCCCATGAGAACGTGTGTTGGAAAAAATAGTTGTTTGTGTATGATTTGGTCATGTTTTGATTGTTATCGACCGTATTCCCGGGCAGCTTCGCAGGACCCTGGTGCCTCCATCCCTGCAGTTCCACACCAAGAGGTTCAACCTTCAGCGGCCGACAGCACTGCCGATGAAGGTTCCAGTCCAAAGGTTGATGAGGCTTCGTTGACCACTGACGGGTTAGATGAAGACGACAAAGTAGATCATGATCCATATTCTACTGATGTTTCTAGCCTGCACCAAGTAAATCAAATATTGCAGAGCAACTCTTTGGATGTTTCTACTGGAGTCCATATCAATACTGTCTAGATAATATGATGATACATGCCTCACAATGTATACTAAGGAAGTTGCCGTTGTGGATGACCTGGCAGTTTCACTTGCACTTGCATTTGCGGGTGATGTTCCCGTAAAAGAAGAACCGGTAGATACGGAGCACAAGGGCGATGACCTTTCCCCACCTGTTGCTACTGATGGTCATGATGGGACCCCAAAGACCGGCAAGCGTGTTCTCACTCGCCGGGATACTGTGCTGAACTCATGGGTGACTTCCACCAAAAATTAAATATCCCACGAGAAGGATTTCCAACCTGGTACTTCGAGGGACTCTACTAAATTAATAAGGGGTGAGAGCTATGTTTGATTCCTACTAGTTTCGATCTATGGCATCCATGGTACAGTAAGCAATATGCAATCTTGGCCATTTTTTTTATCACTGCTGGATTTTTCCCTCAGTAGCAACAGTCTTGTGTAAGGAGCTGCTTCGCAATGCGGCGAAGGCTCGTATTGCGAGAATGGTGGCCAGCAAAAAAAAACGTACAGATCTAGAGGTCCCGTCTTGGATCAAAGAGCAGTGGGCAAAGGGCACCCAGGCTAAGGAGGAAATGGCAGCGGCCCTACAGGAGGTCAACTGGAGCAAGGCCAGGTTCCAAATGTTTGTGTACTTAATTACTTCTTGTTTTTCCTTCTTCTTTCTCCTCCTTCTTCTTCTTAACTGTTTTGTGTTATTGTTCTGTTCTCTCTTTCTTCTTGTTTTTTTTCTTTTCTATTTTTTCTGTGTCTTCTTCTTCTTCATCTCCTTCTTACTTTTCTTCTTATGTTTTGTTTCTGTCATGTGCTGGGGTTTGGATGCTGGTTGTTGTTGCTGTTGCTTTGTGCGCTTCTTGGGGGTGTTGTTTTTTGGCCAGTTTTTGGCCAGTCTTCGGTGTTCTGCTTCTGCTTCTGTTGCAATGGTGATGCTGTTCCGGGGTCGCTGATGCTGTCTTTTTTATGCCTTTGCTGGGTATTATTCTTAATGATGGTGACATATGGTGACCCTACCAGCTGTTATCCCTTTTGCCTGGGACAGGAGAAGTTTATCGACATGATGGAGAATATCATCACCAACAAGAACAGTGTCCGCTTGACAAAGGACGAAGGCTGGTATTCGGAGGGCGAGATGAAGTCAGAGTTGGGCTGGTCTTCGTACATCTCTTAGAACACAACAAGTCCAATCAACCAACATCCTCCTTGAACCGATTTAGGGACTTGAGTTCCAAGGCAAAGAATTGCTGGGGCAAAGGCGGTTTGCCAGGGCATGGATGGCTACACAAAGCTGGGGCACCAGACCATGCCATACGTCCTCCTCTGTCTTCTCTGCCTGGAGAAGTGCTTGTATAAAAGTGAAACCAAACGCCAGGCTGAATCTGTACGACAAAGTTACCGAGTATTGGGTGACTGTGCGAGAGAGAGGAAGCAGGGAGCAGCTCCATGAAACTGAACAGCGAACCACTTCAAAGTCCAAGGCTCTAGCCAGAATGATGTTTCAAAAATTGTTACTAACATGATTGCTTCTCATCAACCCTTTGCGCACCTTGGAACACGTCCATCCCAATATTTACCTGACTTGAAGGCTGATGCACCTGTGGAGATTGACGGCAAAGCTTTTGACGACGTTAGTGCCTACAAAGCTCGTGCGGGTGTTATCCCCGCTGATAAGGATGACAACAAAACCAAAGATGATGCAGCCAAGGCCAGTTGTCATGGCTTCCAGTTTTAAATGTAGAAGTGCAGTATGGTAGCCTGATAAGATAATTTTGAAATATTTTGAATTTCAACAACATTTTCCATATGACACCAGGCGCAAAACAAAGACCACCTCCGAAAGTTTATGGAGTCTGTCCTCAAGACCGTCACGAAACTGAAGCAGCTGAAGCGGGACATCTCCACCAACTATACTGAAGCCTCTGGTGAAAAGCCACGGTCTTATGATTAACCAACTCTAAGATTCTAAACAAATAGTTTCTGAAACATCCTGAAACGGTTGCCTCCTATCATCATGTCTCTCTCCCAGGTCTGTGAAGTTGCTGGCCGAACACATCGGCAAATTGGAGAAGGAGTATGATACTTTGCAGGAAGAGGTTGCCAGTGGTGAAAATTCCGGCTTCGATGGGGCGTCTGTAGCTTACCCATTGCATGGATTATTCAAAAAGCAAACCGCACATGAGTAGGTACAGTTTGAATACATATTCTTTCTATTTAGGTGGTGGTCTGGGGCTAGCGCCAAGATGAAGATTAGCACCTTTGTGCCAGAGCCCCAAATGGAAGTGGACGTGTCCCAAATACAGAATTCAACATGGCTATTGGGCCCGTGCCACTTCAGGTGCAGCCGTGCCTCCGCCACTGAAGTCAAAGTCCGGTTTCAACCTCAGCATATGGCAGGTCCAGCTGCTTGAGATTTTGTTTGGTCAATCACCCCAAGGAAGGACAAACCTTTCTTGGAGAAGTTGGCGGATGATGATGATGGTGAGAAGCCTCGCAAACGACCCCGCACTGATGGTAGTTCTAAGAATAATCATGGTAAGGGTGATGCCAATGGAGGATCGGATGGAACCAAATCTGACCGCCGGCCTAAGAAGAGCAAGAAGGAGAAGAAAGACGTGGCAAAGCCCAAGCGTAAGTAGTTTCACTGTGGTGCCATCTAGAATCTAGATGCAACTCGTCTCAGTGTTTGCCGTGTTGTTTTATAAACTCTTTCTGGATTGATGTTGATATGTCATATGGTTTTTGGTTTACAACAATCTTTACAATACAAGTTTGTTTTCAATCGGTTGGCAATGTGCTGGGACCACGGCTCAGTCGACTCGTCTTGCCATGGAGTCTCCCAAAGTCGAAAACCTGGATGAAGTTTCCACATCACCCAAGTCATTTGGTACCGTCACCCGAGGAGCTTCCAATACACTCCGTGTGGCTTTAGCTTTTGCCACACTTGTGTTGAAATAATCTGTGTGGCTGCAACGGTATTTTTGCCACACAGGTTTCTTTCAAATTTGATTCGATGAACTTAGAGGGTTCACATGGACTAGAACCTTTGAGGCAGATGGGGCTGCCTTAAGGGACCTATACTTCATCCCGGAGTTGAAGCAACAGAAAAAAAAAGCAATCAGCTGAAGACGGTTTTTTTGATGGAAAAAATGCCCAGTGTCCCCAGTGCTTGTTCTATGCCCAGTGTCCCCCAATGCTTTCTGCCAGGTGCAGGGCCTGGCCTGAGACGCTTTGTAGAGGAAATCGGTGATGGCGTTCCAGCCTGAGACGTGACATTGTAACATCTGTGCTCCAATTCCATGACAATTGTTTTAAACCTGATAGAACATGATGGCAAAGAACATCAAAGAACCAGAGCATTCGACCAAAATTTATCTTTCTTACCTAAACTTCAACGCTTTCTTCTTTGAACCTAAGGTGCCATGCTCTGTGGCGATTAGAAGTGCGCAAGCTGTGTTAGAGGAGGTGCCAGAGGCTAGTTCCTCCAGCATTGCGGCGCTGGGGCGTTGTGATCGAAGAAACCCTGAACGCGCTGTCCATAGAGTTGCTGATAGGTACAAGCTGTCTCTTCCCATACCTATGACACATGTTGATGTTGGGGAGCACAGGATCCCAGTCTTGATGATGAGTGATTGGGCTCGCTGGATCCTACGTATGAATTTGTGGTATCGCTTGTGTGGCCTGAGCGCCCCTGATCCCCAAAGATCCAGCGCGATTTGGACCACCTTCTGGGAAAGGTTTCGGAAGATTCAACCCAACCATCCAGTATTCAGCCGGGACATCCCTTTGGGGAATATTTGTGGTTTGCTGTTACATGGTGACGAGGGGCGATCGCAGAAAAAAAACGCAATTTTGTGTGTAGCAGCACACAGTGCGTTAGGATTTGGTCTCAGCACATCAAAAGCCGACAAGAAAGCATATCTGGCAATGAAATTGAATTATGAACAACCGACTTGGACTACCAGATTCTTGTTGAGTGTAGCCCCAAAGTTCCTCTATTCTGATGACGATGATGATGAGGAAAATACCGCTGCTTTTCAAGATCTTCTGAGGCATCTCTCGAAGGATTTGAGGATGTTGTGGGAGGATGGGCTTGTGGGTGCCGACAATGAGCGTTACTATTTCATTGTCATTTACGTGATGGGCGATTGGCCCTGGCATCTGAAGGCTGCATGTTTGGGCAGGTCTTTTCACAACGCAGCCAAAAGGGCATCAACCACAAGCATTCCAAAAGGAATTTGTCATTTTTGTCTTGCCGATCTCCCTGGGCATCCCTGGGAAGATTGGCAAAATGAGAACCCCAAATGGATGGAAACCATCAACACTACATCTCCTTTCCTCCGGGTACCAGCTGTTCTTGAAGAACTTCCCCATGATGTTTCCGATCAGCCAGGGTTCTTCCCGTTCGATTTATTTCATGGTTGGCATATTGGAGCTGGCAAATCATTCCTTTCGTCGGCTATTGTGGCTTTGGCTTCCTCACATTTGTACGATGGGTCAAAAGAAGGTCGCCTAGAAGCTGTTTCAAAAGATTTTCAAGACTGGTGCCGGGCGAACCGTCACAACCCTACACTCAAAAGATTTACTTTGCAAAACGTGGGATGGGTTGGAAATTCTTATCCTTCGGGATCCTGGTCTAAAGGGGCCACAACAACGAGTATCATGAAGTTTTTTGTCTCGAAGTGTGAAACTCACAGCAATGAGTTGTCAGAGGATGCTATCCTCCCTGTTGTGTACAAAGCTGCCAGTAGCATCAACCGGTTTTTGAGTGGGTTGTACAACTTTGAAGTTTGGATACCGGCTGCTGATGCGTCGGCTTTGGCTGACGAGGGTTTCTCCTTTCTGAAACAATTTGGACGGGTTGTGAAAATTTCCATGGACCTTTCCCGTCTTTTGTTTATTCAGATGCCAAATTACCATCGACTACACCACATCTTTCACCAAATGCGTGAACAGGCGCGGGTAAATGATTATGTTTTGAGTCCGTTGCTGGTGGCAACACAGTCCGACGAGGACTTCATAGGGAGACCTTCTAGAATTTCTAGAAGAGTCAGTGCGAGGACAATTGTGCAGCGCACGCTCCAGCGCTCGCTTTTAGCGGCCTACGCAAGGTATGTAGAAGCTGGGGTGATTGTCCCATGACCAAGGCATGAAAGGATATGTTGAAATACTATCAAGTATATAACTTAACGTAATAAACTGATAAAATCCACAAAATTATCTGGCAGTTAGCTATGATATAAAGAAAAAAAATACTTTTCAGTCAAATGGCACTTGGACTGGGACTCCCGGCAGCATAGGGATCAAGATGTGTTCGAGGTGGTTGAACAAAATGGCCGAGGTGAAGTCAACATGCAATGGCAGCTGGCATAACCGGGTTTTGGGATCGAAAACCTGGTTTTAAATCAGATCCCACAAATTTGAGGGATTAGGTTGATCTAGGTATATATAAATATATACACGATTGTATCATGCTGTAAGCTTAATCAGATCTAGTTTGATAATAAGTGGGATAGTTCAGCCATTATATGACGAGAATGGGATCATCCTCCGTATACCCGGAAAGTCAGTGACTCAACTGGAACACGGGTGATTCCGATGACTTCGTTCTGCCACGTGGATTTCACAGTGAACACAGTGAAATGCGGACGGACAGCCTGGCTGGCCTGGCTCAATTCCGAAACTTTCAGAAAACTCTTTCCACATCTGATCGTCTTGCAGTTGGGCCAGACCTGTGCAAACTTATACATGATCAATGATCAGAAACAGAGCAAAGCACGAAAGAAAACCACGAAAAATGGGAACAACTCACTACATCTGAGGTGCTCCTTGGTAAAGTGCCTTTCAAGTTTGGATGTCGAAAGGATGTGCCTCTCTGGCTGTCAATGTCACTAGGATCATCAGCAGACAGCATTGGGCATTGGTTAATCTTCAGCCACGAGACTTTCCCATCGTTCGAGCACTGCGCTGGCGGCTGGGAAACTTTGCAAACTTCTCACGGGAACACCTTTCCTTTCATAGACGCCTCATAGATCAGAGCTGCATCAAGCTGGAGATGGTGATACGGAAGCTACTGCATGATGTTACCAGATGCTAAAAGATGCTACACACTGTGTCATGTTGAAAACAAATCTCACGTCTTTGCCAAAGTCCAGATCCTATGAATTTTCGCACTCCGCTCAAGCGATCGATGAAACCGTGTCCTGCGAACAGGTCGATCATGAGCTCGTTCAGCAACATGCTTTGTTCCTCCTCGCCGAACCAAGCGTTTATGACACAAAATGATCACAATGACATCACAATACGATGAGGTTTCAATGGGTTTCATCAAAATGGCCTCATCTTCCTCCACCTTCAACTTGATGAAATCCTTTTGATAGACCCATTGAGATGCAAATGTTCCAGCGCTGGTGTTTTGCTCTCTGAAATCGATCTTGGCATCCATCTTGTCGATCATCGTAACCTTCCCAACGAGTCCTCCACGGGGGCATGTGGCAAAGTTGGCAAAGTTGGCGTCAACAAATGGAGATAGTTTTCAACATGAAACACTCCAAGATTGGAATCCGAGCCAAATCTTTGGATTAAATTCTTGCGAAATCCAAAGATTGATACAGCTTCAATCCCAAAATCTCTGGGTCATCCTGATGTGAAAATTGCGAAACAACCCCGGAACCTCGGGGGCATCCAGGAGGGTATCCAAGCAACATTAAGATATACAGTATACACTAAGTCACTAAGATACACTGAGTAACATCCGAAGTAACATCCGAAGCAACATCCGAGGTATGCGAGGTCCTCGCTTCAGCTTCACGTTGCCCACGCTGAAGAAGTCTTCCACCACCAGCACCGACGCCCCGACTTTCAAGGCAGTGGCAGCCGAGCTGCTTGCGGCGCTGTCCACTTTGGCCGCGGAGCGGAGTTCCTGAAGCGGCAGCTCCTGACAGAATCCGGCGAATTGGGGTAGTGCTATATGATAGGCATTGATAGGCTATGTTAGTGTAAATGGATGTAAATGGATGTAAATGGTAATAAAACATGACATCAACAGCATTGTCGGCATATGTGCGCATATCTCGGCAGTGTGCTATTTTAGGAAACACCTATGTTCTGACTATGTGTATTATTTGTATTTTAATTATGTGTATATTTTGAGAGTAATCACATGGAGTGCTTTTTCCATCTCAGATCACTTTTCAAAACAAGGCGAGAAACACGCTTCAGTGTTTGTGATCTTTGTGCGTTCCTTGCATGAAACATGGATGGATTCTGCATCATTCTGCACTTTTGACATCAGCCCTTTTGGGTCCTGCAAAAGCACAAGCCTCTTCAAACGCAGGATCAGGAAATCGACGCCGTACCACTCCAAGCACTCCTTTCCGTACAAACCACGCATGGAGCATTCCTCCTGAAGAGCTTTGACGGAAAGTCGTTCCAAACGTTCCCAGTCAGAAAGGATTCGATTCCCGGCAGCTACGGCATGAACAGATCCGGATCGACCGAGTCGCTCAAGTGGCACCCCATGCTGCTGAAGCGTCTGTGCATCACGACACAATGAGGATGGATAGGCCAAGCCACTGCCACTACTGCCACCACTGCCAGTGCTCAATCGGATCAGGGCAGGATCTGACTGAAGATGTCGGGGTGCAAAGTACAAGGCTTGGCTGTTGGCTCTCACCGCAGCCTCCACAGGAGCAAAGTGTCACTATCACATCATGTGTTTTCCCATGTTTTTGTCCCATTAATCTATGATACCCATACGAATTGTTCTACAGTCGATGCTGCTCGAATGCCACTTTTGGATATTTAGTTTGTTCGGTTCCACGTTTCCTTCGAAGAGTTTTTGGGCCCTAACTGCTGCCGCAGGTAAAATTAACTTTCCACTTTCATGCAGCTTGCGTCTGGATGAGTCTAGCAAAGCACAACAGATTCCAAAACACCACTTTCATTCTAATCCAACATTTTTGGCAAGGTCAGGAATCGCTTGGGATCGTTCACAATTTATGTCTGGAGTCTTTGCTTGTGTCTGCGTCACTGCTCAAGACTCAAGCATTTTCATACATTTTCATACATTTTCAATGTCCATACACTCCATACGGTCCATACGTATGAAATCAGCGTAACATGCTTGTTGCATCTTGTTGCATCCCAGGGTTTCATCATGAATTCATTGTTTCATCATAACTTGATGTTTCTCATCATGTTTCAACTGTGCCTCCACGAAGGACGCCGAGGCCCGCAGTTCGTTGGGCAAAAAGCTGAGCACCGCGGCGTTCTGCGCCACGCAGGACAAGCAGAAGCCCAAATTCATCAGCAGCACCTGATTTCTTCGCGCTGCCAGGTGCAGAAATTCTGCAGAAACAGGAAAAAATAAAAAAATAAAAAAACACCTTGGCAAAGTTCTTAAAGATGAACAAGACAAGTAATTACAATAAGTACAAGACAAGTTTTTTAGACAAGTACAAGACGTGTCATGTTCTTATACCACACTGAAACCTGGAAAAGAGATAAGAGTAGTTCAGAATACTTCGCACCTCTTCGGCATATTGAACTGCAGCTTCAAAATGGATAGAGGCACTCAAAACGAAGTTGCCATCAGCCGCCAGCAGAGAAAAAGCGAGAACTTGGGGCGAGAGCTTCAGAGCCTGCCACACCACGTCCTGATCTTTTCGAATCCGTTCAGATGCAAACTGGAACGAAGACGGAACAGACTTCGTGGCTTCCAACACCATGGCCACGTTGTCTTTGATGCTGGGCCCAGCATCATGCAGAACCGAGCCGTCCTTCCGCAACGCAGAAAGCACCAACCGGTGATCCTCCCGCAAGGCCGGCGAGGCCCAAGCTAGCGCCTTGGGGTCGTCTTCCAGCGCTGCGGAGACCAAGTTCTTATCTCCAGAAAATTCACCCAGAAATGCCAGAGACGATCCTCGCATCTCAACAACTTGGAAGGCAAAGTCGTAATCTGCCAGGAGCTCTGGGTGCTCTGCGGCCACCTTCTCAAGAGCAGTGTTGGTTGAAATCTCTGAACATCCCAACACTTTCAATACAAAGGACCTGTCCTTCCATAGCATGGAGTCCACATGATCTCGAGCCCCACTGTTCACTTGGAGTGCTTTCAGATTGAAGTCTGTGGACAGAACTAGGTCCTGAGAACAGAATTTCAAACATGCAGCGTTGAGTTCGATCAGAGATAGCAGGAACTTCTGGTTACTTCGCAGCTCTGCATCTGCATATTGCAAGCTCGAAGCTCTTCTGCATGACAAAGCTTTCACCAGTTCGGCATCTCTCCTGAAGTCCGAGTCTGCATACAAAAATGCTTCAGGAATCACTTCCACAGCTGAGCGCACAAAGTCTTTGTCCAAAAGCTCTGGAGCATTGCTGTGCAATTCGTTCAGCAGCTCAAGACTTAGGGCCCGGATGAGAATGTCCCGAGTGAAGGGCGCAGGCGGTGCAGGCGTTGCCGGCGTTGCCTGCGTCTGACGATGCACGGTGTGTGTGGCGCGAAGGCACGCCGTGAAGCACCGGGCGTTGCGCCGCAGGGCCCGCACCAGGAACTCCGAGGTCAACGACACTGTCGCAGTGCCATCGAGTCGGGGCAGCAGATTGGGATTTCGCCCCACGGCCTCCAACAGGAAGTTCTCATCACAGAGCGTTTCGGCAGAGTTCTGCAGCAGGAACTCCACGGCGGCGGCGTTTTTGCTGAGCACCGCAGCGGCGAAGCTTCGGTCCTTCCACAGATGGAGCGCCACGTGCTCCAAGGCCGAATCCGACGCGGCCGCCAGCAGCGCCACGTCCTTGTTGCCGCGTAACTCATCAGAGGCATATTCCAAAGCACTGCCGTCTTCACGCACCGCCGTTTCAACGATCTGTCGATCTCCTTGGAACTTCGGTGCACACGCCAAGGCATAGCCATTTGTTGAAACAGCTGCCAGGATGAATGAACGATCTCTCTTCAAGCTGTTGGCAGCAAATTCCAATGCAAACGCTCCCTTTTGAACAGCTGCCAGCACCACTTCACGATCAGCTCTCAGACCGTCAGCAGCCCATTCCAGTGCCAACCCATCCTTCTTTACCAACACCAGCACCACCTCGCGCCGTGGTGATCTCTCTGCAGGTGACCCGATCCCGTGGTAGCTTTTCAACAAACCACGATATCCACGATACATGAGAACTGCAAGAGTTTGAACTGAGATCGTTCCAATATGTTCAATCCTTTTTTCTGATATTTATTTCCCATCAGAAATAGCAAAAGTATCCATCCTTCTCCTCGTGTTTCCTCATATTTGCATATATTTGCCCCTTTCTCACTTTTGGCCAAAGGAAAGATCCACAAAAAGACCCATCACACCATATCACCATCCATCCACCATCCCACCATCATCCTATCCCCATCCTTTCCACCAACCATGACCTCGCGCTGGCCGCGCACCGCGGTTGGCGCGCAGCGCAGGAAGTCCCGCGCCGAGCCGCGAAGCTGCGAGGCGCGCTGGAGCCAGTCCTCCACGTCGATGTCGCCGTGGCCCATGACATGAGACACGTCTGAAATGGGTGAAATATGGTGAAATATGGATGAAATGGAGGCCCAAAATGACTGAAAAATCACCTGAAATCAAGATGTGATTCATAAAATTCATATGATGTGCTACTTGAGATGTGATATTCTGTGATATATGATGTCCGTATCTGTCCGTCAATTCCTTTATGATCTAAATAGATAGAGAAGTTGCACAACTGGAATTACGCACAAGATTGATGTGGTTTTCTCACAGGTTTTGGTTTGGGGGGTTCAGAAATGCCGTCACGTCGCCCGTGCTTTCATGAGCTTTGCTCTGGACTTTGCACCAAACCCTCCGGCAAAGTGCAAGAACGACCGAAACACAAGAGAAATAGGGTTCTGCTTGCGCACTGACAATGGCTTCAGCATTTCACATCACCGTCTGCAGCTTGAGGCAACATTACAAGACTCCGCAGGACGGCAAGACAAAGTGTGAAGAAACCGCTCCAAAACTGAACAGTGTTTGCGCATGTAATATAAATATGTAGTAAAAACACATACAATCACAACATGTAAAAGCACGCATTCAGGCAAAACAGATCAAAATAGGGCATAGCAAAAAGCAACCCAGCTGGCGACTTTTCAGCGTGAGCCCACGAGGCGGTTTAGATGTACATTCTGAGGCCGTGGAGACAGCCGTGAAACAATGAGAAATCTGAGAAAAGAGTGAGACTGGAATGACTCGAAGCGCTCCGTCACCGTATTGCTTGCAGAGTCGCCGACTCGCCCGGTCTGGGAAAGGAAACGCATGGAACACATATTCTCCGCAAGGCATGTCTCAAATGCGCTCCTGAACTCAATTCCCAAAGTCTTGTTACAGTCTTGTTGTGTGATGACTGTGATGTGGATTTATGTCGAAAATCATTTCACCATATTTCACAGGCGCTGTTCATGGCCAGACACGTGGCGCTTGCAAGCTCCGGAAAGCCGCTGAGCCGCTGAACCCCTCAGTTCCTTTGGTTCCTTTGGACCGCAGCACTGCAGCTTCCAGCATCCAGCTATTTCCATGTGCTGATCGTGCTGACAGCTGAATTAGCTTCACCGAGCCAACCACATTTCAATATGTTCAATTTGGATTTCACCATGTTTCAATCTGTTTCAACCAAAACCTCATGGAATTTGGATTAACTTGGCCATTGTATGCCATTGTGATGACCAGTGATGACAAGTGTAAGCAGCCTGACGGTTGATGATTCTGTGAGGTCGTGCTGTTCGCTCTGGTGAGCCTGCTATGCTGAGACTGTTTCTTCACCAAAGCTCAGTGTCGCTGCACCTGTGATAGTGAGCGCCACGCAATGCCATGCAATTCTGTGTGTCAACTCACACTCATAGACACTACATAGACACTACATAGACACTCTCTCACACTCAGCAGTTGACACGACACAATTGATACAGGTGCAAGTGACTCAGTGGCACGTTGTGTGGCACGTTTTGGTAAAATCTCGAGTCGGTCTCCTGCCTTCTGTCGAATGCCTGTTGAGTCTGTCTACTTCGACACGTCCACGCCCTTCTCCATCATTTTCACCTCAGCTGCACTCTGACCATCATGAACCATCCTGTGAAAGTCAGCAAGTCACCTCGCATAGTCGAATCGTGTCGAATCATGTCGAATCAAATCCGGTAATCTACCACAGGGGCATCTCCACCAAGAATGTTCTTGCTTTCATCCCATCAAGTCTGGAAATCCGTGACAACTATGATAACGATGAAATACTATGGGCATCTATGGAATATTACAAGTTTTCATCATCTTTTATCATCTTTCATCATCTCTCGGTTCCACCTTTGGAAATCTCCAAAAACGACCAAGTGAACGCAGTGAACGCAGCCGTCCAAGAGGCGAATTCGTCGAAGGAGATCTCGCCATCGCCATCCAGGTCCACTTCCGACACCATTGCCTTGATCGCCTGCAGAAACCGTGAGACAAATTCAATGTAAAAACACGTGCTGTTTAGCGGTTTTCAACAATCTTCAACCATCTTCAAATGTTTCATTCAATCTTCAACCCCCCAAAAAAAAACATGTTCGTCGCCTCGCCATCGGCTTGCTCCTTCAAAATGGCGGCCAGCTCCTGCTTGGTGATCCGTCCATCGCCGTCCTTGTCGAAGACCCTGAAAGCCGACCACAGCACTTCCTTCTTCAGGTACTGCTTCTGGCCTCCGGGGATACCACGGGGAGATCTCCATGAACAAAAATACACAATTAATTATACTAAATATATACACATAGAATATCATAGAATGATACCAGTATTATACATGGATGCATCCAAAATTGAAGTCTAACCAAATTATCGCATTTTTATGCGAATGAACCCTGGGATTCTCGGGGGCTCCACTTTCAATCACTACGGCACTACGGTGCCTACTGAACCCTCTGCCAAGACACTCAGAGTTGCGGCGATGAATTCCGTGTAGTCGATGTTTCCTGATCCATCGGTGTCCAAGTTCTTCCTCAGCGCCGCACAGCATCAACATGCATCAACTATGGCTGTGCGCCCTGCAGGGCTGTCGGAATCAGCAAAATGACATCCCTCATCCCTCTTTGCTGCTCAACTGCGGTCCGTGAGGTGCCCAAACAACTCATAGCATGTTGGCACATGGCTACACGACATAACTTGACACACCAGTACCAGCCCCATGTATGAGTTGCTCAAATCGATTCCCTGACAGAAACCTTCACGATCCTTCACGTGTTCAACCCACTCAAATATGTATGTATAATGTATATATCATTATCTATATATATATATATGCGTGTTTATATATACACTATCTCCCCGGCAAAGCCATCCATCAAGGCCCTCCGTGACATCATCGGCTCAGTGGCATGATTTCAATGAGATCCCCGGGAATCTCCACGGCGCTCTCTGCGATGCCCTTCTGGATCTCCTCGATGCTTAGGGTGCCGTCCTGCCAGGCCATTGGGCCATTGGGCCATTGGGCCATTGGACAGGGGAGCCACCCTGGCTCCATGGGGGGAAATGGTGAAATGTGCGGATGATTTCTTGTTTGATCTTGTTTCTGTTCGATTTCAATGTTGGAAAAAATGATGATCTGGGGGTACATTGGGATATATTGGGAGATATTGGGATGCCGGATCGGGATACCTGGGTATTGGGTGCGAAACTGGCATATCTCTGGATAAATGATCCTTAAGGCTATGTTGGGGCATCATCCAACAGATCCGTCCAACAGATCCGTTCAACAGATCCGTCCCAGATTTGTCGGCGGTGCGCCTTGTTCTTGTCGAGGACCAGAAAGGTGTTGCGCAGCTGCTCCAAATCTTCGTCCTTCAGCTGCTGGGCGATCAAGGTCAGGGCCACCTGACGACAACGCAGACTGCCCGGTGGCTTCCAGGATTAAAAAGTTTTGAAAAGGAACAATAAAACTGTTGAAATAAAAAAGAAAATACACTGACACAATCTGACATATCGGCATACATTTATCATTCAATACAGTAGGTGTTTTGCTACTCTTGAGCTTGAGTTCAAAATTTCAAAGGGCTAAGGTTTTCTGGTGACTGTCCAAGCTAGCGGTCAGTGACGGTCAGTGTCTTCGGTTGAAGAGTGTTAAAGAATTTCACTGTCTTTGTTCAGTGGTTTTGGTGTCAATAGGGCTCTCGTTGGCCTTGTGCCTTTACATTTCCTCATGCACTGGTTGAAACGGAGTGCAGCATGCAGCATGCTGCATACACACTGTGAACCACCCTACGGCTACAAGATCTGCCACTCTTTCATACTCTTTCCATCTCTTTCCGGGACGAACTTGACTATCATGCCTTCTTCATGCGGGATCCCTCATTGAACTTCTTGAGGTTCTTGCACCTGAGTATTCGTGTATCTGTTGATCAACTCAGATAGAGCAGCAAAACCAGATGCGAAAAAAGATGCCAAAAAGATCACTTTTGAAGATTCTGCTCTTTGCTTCAGGTTTCTCAGCCAAGTTGCAGGTCTTTTGGAGGTTTGCCCTTGGGAGCCTGTTCACGTGTGATCGACACAACGCGACACAGCAGTCTCTTCAGTCTTGATTTCTGCAGCTTCTTCTGCAGCTCAATGCTTTCTGACTTCCATCTTTTCCATGACATGTCACGTTTTGTGTTGCATCATTTCTGAATCGATTGAATCTATTTGCAATTTGAAATCCCCTAGTGCATCGCTTCCCGCCTCTGCGTTCTTGTCGAGCCACCGGTGCTCCAGCATCTGTGCTGCAGTTGGCCCTTAGCCAGGAACAGATGGACCACTAGTACAACTAGTACCATATGTACCATGTGAAGAAAGATTCGAAAGTTACCAGCAAGTAGCAAGTTAGCAAGTTAAGTTATGATACATGATGAGTTGGGATGAGTTGAGGTAACAGTTAGCTGAGTTAGCTTTCAGTTTGCTTTCCAGATCTTTCCAGATCTTTCCAGATTTTTCCAGATGTTGCCCGGTTCCGTTTCGTTGACTGATCGATGAGCGGCGCTTGGAGGCGTTGAAGGTGAGCATCAGCGAGATGCACTCCTTGGCGTCCGCCGTGATGTCCTCCCAGTCCTGCGCCGAGACGGCAGATGAGATCCTCACAGATTTCACAGATCTCAGAGATGCTGTGAATTTATCACAGATGAGATGTTTCTGGATGCTTCCATCTTCCGGCCTCGGCGGGGAAGGTGAAGACGCCTTTCTTCACCTCAACTTGATCACATTGATGGTCTCACACGTCAGGTGAGTCAGGTGAAGGTCAGACAAAATCGGAAGGATTCCCGGCGAATTCCCGGCATTTCGTTGCAAAGTACTGAGAAAAATCATCTGATCGACGATGATCACAGCAGCTATACCTGATGTTCACCTGATGTTCTTTCTCTGCAGCAAAGGGGCCATTCGCAAGATGTCGGAATCACTGTCCTGGCCAACAGCACAAGTTGTATTCAGCATTTTCCAGAAGAAATTCCATAGTCACAGTCATGTCACAGTCTCATTCCCTGCTCACAGTTCCTGTCTGTTCCCGTCTCCCAGTTCCCGGTCCCCATAGAACGGAGGATAGCCGCAGAGCAGAATGTAGCAAATCACCCCACAGCTCCAAACATCACACTTCTCATCCTGCAGAAGACTCAGAAGACAAGTCCATACAAGTCCTAAATTAAAATGTCGACTTAATCGCATCCCACAACTGAGCTCTCTTACGGGGACACTTTTCCCACGATGTCCAAGCTGAGTTGAGCACGTAACAACCCTCCAGCACTTGCGGTGCGACGTAGTACGGGGTGCCGGCCTACCAAGGGCAGTAGCAATAGAGTTCAGGCAGAAAAAGCGCAGAATCAGAGGGCCCAGTAAAGCATTCATTTCGAAGCTGCAAACTGCCATGTAAAGGCAAGGTCGGGTTGCTTGGCTTTTCATCAGACCAAGCAAGTCGAGAAAACATATCATGAATCATGAATCATCATGAATCATCATGAACACGTAGCACCACAAAGCAAAACACGTAGCAACGAGGCAACGAGCGGTGTATTGCACAGCTGCCAGGACATGGTGGGACCTTGGTCTTCATCTTCTCTCCGGACGCCACCTTGTGATTCTTGGCCTTGGCTATAGCTGCATGTTGGCTGCATGTTGGCTCATGCCGTGCCACCGTGCCACCGTGCCACCGTGCCACCGTGCCACCGTGCCACCGTGCCACCGTGCCACCGTGCCACGGCGTCACGGCTCCGGCGTTCGACTGAGGACGCTGCCAGGCCAAAGTCGATCACTTTGATGGGCGCCTGCACACATCACACATCACACATCACACACTTTGTTTATCTTTGTTTCACTCGGAAAGCATTCGCACTTTACATCACCTTTACATCACTTTACATCACTTTACAGGTGTCCCAATCGTTTTGGATCTGGATCTGTGTCCTTCTTCTACCTGTTTCTTTCCAAGCGGTCCAAGCGTTTCTTTCTGAAAATTTCTCTGGCAGTTCGGCTGTGCAATCGCATCCAAGGTACATCTGGATCCCTGTTTTGGAGCAAGAAATTCTCTGGTTTGATGTCACGATGAACGAAGTCGTTGTTGTGCAAATAGCCTGGGGAATGGCATGAAACGACTCAAGCCTAGCACCTAGCCAAAGTGGCCCAACATTGGCCAACCTCTGCACGCTTGGAAGGATATCGGATATAGTTATGGGGATGCCTGTAGCTATGGAGATACCGTACTTGGGCAATGTTAAGGGTGAATGCATGATGAAACAGGATCAAACCGTGGACCTACTTTCAGACAAACCATACACCATCTTCAGCTTCAAGTGCCACGAATTTCATCCGACCATGGGACATATTGAAGGCTGATCTGTTCAAAAGAAAAGGCTGGATTGGAGGAACCAAAATGGAAAGCCACCGGCTCACCAGCCAAAAACCAAAACCTGGTCCAACAGTCAAGATCTGATACGATGTTAGACATTGTTCATGATAGTGTCAATATTGAAGGCGTCACATAGTCCGCAAGAATCTTCCCTTCCAAATCTTCCGATGTCTATATTGAGGCGTCTTCATGATTAGTCAGATTATTCATTATTCTGCAAGAATCCTCCATCCATTTCCGGAATTTCCCATCCATTTCCATTCCGTCATTCCCTGCCATGTTTGCACCCTATGCCCTGCCATGGTCGATGCCCTCATGGCCCTTATGGCTATGCCTTATGCTCCAAGGCGCTCATTGCTCCCAGGATCTGCTGCATGTAAGTGGCCTCAGGAAACGGTCATGCCATTTGGACAATTTTGGACATTTGGACAGGGAAAAAAATGGGAAAAAATTGGAAACATGGTGAAAAATGGTGAAAAATAGGGGAAAATTGGGAAAAATGGGAAAAATCCCACATTTGGCGGCCAAGATGCGGCACCGCGCTCATCGAACGCTCTGGCGGCATCGCTTCCTGCAAGAAAGAACATGTTGTCCTTCAACATCCGTCTACAGCCAATCTACAGCCAACAAAGAAACAGTCAGAAAGCTAGACTGGATACATCAAGATTTTTCAAAATGATATCAGTTCTATCATGTTATTCTTTTGACCTTCTCTACAGAGTTGTTCTTTTCTCACGGTTTGCATCGCACAGGCCGCACTGCACTGGCCTTCGTGCTTCTCAGCCTCTTCCAAGATGCGGTCGAAGAGCTCACCACCGGTGCAGAGTTCCATGACCAAGTAGACCTCTAATACGATGCTATTCTGCTACGAAGCTGTGGATGATGCCAAGGATGCCATAACCATGTTTACCATATCTTACCATGCCCCAGGGGGATCTCATGGTTTGTGTCGGCCTTCTTGGCATCGACGAAGACCTGGCATCAGGGAGTGCACGTGGCGTCCACAAGGAACAAATCATTAACATTTAATATTTCATTGAAGATTTCATTAACATTTAATATTAATCATTAACATATTAATTAACATATTGTAATGTGGATGTCTCATGGATTATCATGGGCATATTTACCCATCAATCCCATTATGGGATCATTCACCCACCATTAACCCACCATACCACGGGTGCTGTCCCGACTCGGCCGAGAGTTCTCGGCCGAGGACTCGGCCGGACGGTGCTGTGAGCCTCGTAGAGCTTGACGATGTTCGGGTGGTCCAAGGCCGACCTCGCATCGGAACTCTAAAGAAATTGAGATTTTATATATTATATACTGTAAATATAATGTATATACTGTATATATAATTATATATATATATATTCATATATCTGTGTGTGTAATATATATATATATGTGTGTGTGTGTGTAATATTGTGTAATATGTAAAATATTGATATGTTTTTAACCGAGAGAAAAGGCTGAGGTAATAGAAAGAATGTCAAAGGTGGTCAGTAGGTTCCACGGTGTCAAAAAACAGCACTGATTCTGTTTCATACCTTGCATAGATTGCATAGCCATTCTGATTCGTTTGATGTTTCAACTGCAACAGACAAACAATGTCATCTTCATTCATCTTCCAGACCGTTTGAGGAAGCAGCTGAATGTCAACTTCGGTCTGGAAGCGTTCTCCATCTGCAATCTTGGTGCGGTCAATGGCCTCGGGATGCTGCCACAGCTGTGGGTATTGTTGTTGGATTTTGTATGATACTGTTGTTGGATGTGGGTATTGGATTGTTGTTGATTGATTGTTGTGATTTTGTATGGCATTGTTGGATTGAGCATCACTTTCTACGTGTTGGATTGAGTTGGATTGAGATGGATTGAGATGGATTGAGCCTCACTTTCTACGTGTCCTACGTCTCTGCCTTTGAAAGTTGCATCGACGTCATGCGACAGAGTGAATCCAGTGCCCAGCCGGGCCTTGATAGCACGAACCGCGTTAGTGGACTTGTGCACACCCTTCGAGACAGAGCCTCAGAGTCTCAGGCAAACAGATTCATAGCAGATTCACAGCAGATTCATAGCAAATCATGAATGTCAGAGCAAATCAATTCAAACTGTTCAGCAACTGTTCAGCAGCTGTTCAGCAGCGCTTCGCTCAAACTTGGCACCCTTGAGAACTTGTTTTGGGACCCAATTAATTGAAGTGATTGGTTACTTGGTTGATTAGTGTTGATTATGTCTTAATTATGCGTGCTGAGGGCCTGGCCATATGATCCTTCACCAAGTTTCTTCTTGGTTTCGACCTTGTAGAAGTCGTCCAGCTTGCCGTTGTTCAACGAGCAAAATGCATGCTTGAAATGTACACCTTAGCGTGGCAGTTTAAAGGTCCAAGACAGGAAGATCTTTGTTCGACATGTGAAATCATCTGATTTTTTGACGCTCGCACTGTCTCTCTCCAAGTGGCCATCACTCACAAATTTCGGAGGCATCTTGTCGGCCTGCAAAAGGAATGGGAAAGGAACAGGCCGAAGAAAATGCACAATTTCTCTCGTTCTGCATGGAGTGTCCCCCTTAAAGTGCCCCCATGCCCCACGTTGCCTCTTCAGTTGTCTGTTTCTGTTGATTGAACGGTCTGTTTTGGGCCAAAACGATTGCAGAGAACGAATTGTCAAAAACAAATTGATTGGTACACATCGTACACCCGAAGCAAATGGAATCAAACAGCATCTCAGTTTCTCACCATCTCCCTTTGCACTTGGCTGCGTTCCACATCGATCATGTCGTGCGATCATAGTGACACTTCAGATTCAAAATCTTAAAGAAGAATCAAAATCTTAAAAGCCTCAGATCGGTGCAGTTGATTCATCAAATAAGGCTGGAAATCATTTACTGTGCTTTACAGCGCGGCTCGTACCAAAGTGGCTTTATAAGCATGAACTTCAGCCATACATGTCTGAAATCTGCTGACAAACTGATATCTGAAAAGTCATTAGAACATTGGTTAAGTCTTTGGCATTTCAGGATAATGTGAGACGCTCCATTGTCACTCCATACAGATACAGTCAGTCCGACATGATTTCCCCCGACTCTTCACTGCATTCTTCGGACGGAGTGATCACTGGCACAATAAAGACAGGGAAATCCATGGCGGATGCGGCAGCGTACGGTAGGATGCAGATTTCATGCAAACACAACTCTCTTACCCGTCGCTTCCAAGCTCTAGCTGCATGCGTGGAAATGCGCTGCAGCAGCAGCAGTAGCAGCAGCGACCACCACCGCCGCCGCCACCAGCAACAACAGCAAGAATGGCAAGAACAGAAACAATTGTAACTGCAACAATTGCAGCCAAACCACCACCAACACGTTTGGCTGTGCAGTATGCAAGCACGCGTTACGGTCATGCCTGTTCGAAAGAGCTGAACATGTCAATATAGAATCAAAAGCTGAAGTGCTGACACATTAAACCAGCCTCTTTCCCCAAAGCAGTGTACGATAGCGCATCCTCTTTGGGATTAAGACACTCTCTGCTTGCAGGAGGTGTGTGAAATTAAGAGAAGACATCAAAACGCTGGACTTTCAATACATTGAGCTGGGAGGGAGCCTTTGCATGTCATTGCAGTGCGCAGCACTCGTTCTGCTGCCCAGATTGCTGCTCCCAAACCTGCTCTCTTATGGTGAAACCGGGAGAGACTCCTTCGCTCTCCAAGACTTCTTGCACATTTTGGACGTGCTGCACGTGCTGCTGAGCGTACTGTACATGTTGCACGTGCGTCACCTGACATCTGGGCTGTGCTCGTGCCCCAGGCACTGCAGGCACTGCAGGCACCGCAGGCACCGCAGGCACCGCAGGCTCGGGGGGCTGTGGAGCTGTCGGCTTCGATTTCGACGCGGACACCTCCGAAGTACATCGGTCTGAACGATCATGGGAGGCTTTTGCAGACCTCAAACCCAACAAAGCATGGGAAGTATGGGAAAGTGGTTGGAAAATGTTTGATCCAAACAAGTTTATTTCAATTTTGCTCAATGTCTTGCACAGCAACTCTGAATATCTCTCAGCCTGGTCCAATAAGCAACTTGTGCAACTTGGTACAACCCGATGCCCTGACTCTGGCCAATGGCCAGTCTGAGGTTGTCACTGGGTCGACTCTAACAGAGTCCTTGGTGGGAATCAACGTCAACTCAGAATCAACGTCACAAATCCGCGCCCGAACAAACCCGTTGCCTGCTGCAAGAGTGAATCAAATCCGTGGATGGTCTGTGTGTTTTTCTGGGCTGCAGCAGCTGCAGAGATCGAAAGAAAAGTGCCCTCCCCCACTTGCACACGGGAAATCTGTTGGTTGTTAATCAATCGCCACGTGGTAACTGTTGGACGATAAAAACTTCAAGAAGGATATAGAAACACTAGGTGTGCAGCACCAACGGGCAAGACACTTTGGCAACCTCGGATCTTCCCTGATTTTCCTATTATATACACGTTTGAAGTTCAATTGCTGAGTCTTGGAGTCTTGGACCCAAATTATCCCAAATCTCAGCGACATGGCCAGTTGCCAAGCATCGGCCTTGTTGGAACTGAGAGCTGCGAAGGCTGCAGCTGACCAGTTTCCAGTGGATCAAGTGGCGACAGTGCCGCGTCTCCGTTGGCCGGTGATCCCTCTCCCGCTTTGGAATCCTGCCACATGGGCACAGCCGAGGATGGCCGGAAATCTCTTCATTGTTCAGCTCTGTTCAGTGTATCGCTTGTAAAATTGAGGATGGACAAGTAACAAATTATAATGCATATATGTTAAATAAAAATGATGTCAAATAAAATGACAACAACTGTAATGAAATGGGAAACTTGTTAGGGATTGTTGGAGGACATGGTTTGCATTCCCTGTTCCAAAGATTTCATCATTGTTTTTCAAGCTCCATTCTCTCCATCTTCTATCTCCAGTATTGTTTTGATAAAATTGGCGGATCACGACTTCTCCTCAGCTGCCTCCATTGCTGCTCTTCGCCGCGCCAACTTCCTGGCAGAGACACGGAAAGTTGGAGGAAGTTCTTGATAAACATCCGCCTGTCCCATCTGCCCGGTTAACAAAGGCGCACCCCCTCCAAACATGATATAGACATATGAAATATATTAAGACATATATGATCATATATGTATCTAATATGTATATCTAATATGTATCTGTTATGTGATCAAATGTGATGTGCAGATTCAAGAATACGGGGGAATCATGGGGAATCACTGCGACCTTTGCCAGCTTTGAAGCTATCCATGGTATCCATTCTGTGTTGGCAAACTTGTGCATATGTGTGCATACATTGAACATCCGAATGAAGAAACGATGTCGCTTCCAAGCGGCTTTTGCAGCTCTTCCTGCAGCTGGTTGGGTTTGCCATCCATCTGTTTCTTCCTTTCTGCCGCAGCAGCACGGCGAGCTTGCATTTCTGCTTGCTCTTGGAGAGATAGGACCTCAAGCCCCCAAACAGCAGCCCTAAACGGTTCGAATTGCCTCGAATTGGGACCTGAATTTTCATCACCTCTGTAGTACGATGTTGCGTGATATAACTTGATGTAACAAATGCAGTGAATCTGGATGAATCTGGTGTTGTTTTCAAAGCCTTCGTTTGAAGCGCAGCTTGTCGCTGTAGTTCTTCGAGCTGCTGCCGTCCACCCACCATTCCTTGGAAGTCCAAAAGGGAACTGGGGAACTTCCAACATCTTCCAACTATGTCAGCAGATTACATTTGTCATAACATGTCACAACATGTCACAACATGTCACAACTATGTGTTTGAAATTGGCCCAAACTCTGCCGAAAACTCATTGCCTTGCTTTACTCAACTCTGAGAATCTTGCGAAGCTCTTCTTATTCAGTGACTTATGGTATGAAAATTGCACTGACATCGGAAACCCTACCCTTGCCCAATTCAAGCAATAATTAGCCACCAATCCCCCTGTCTTCCGAAGACTTCCCTGCCGGGTGTCCCATAGGAAGCACCTCACCATCATATGCACACCCTGCCGTGTTAATCATCTTGTGTAGGGCAAACGTTGTGCAACTCATGCTAAGAGAATGGTACGCCCACAAGAGGGTGAATGAAGATGAATAAACGGGATGAAATGTTTGACCAAACTAGTCTGGGGAGAGTGGACATTGGCTTATTGCGTCGGAATCTGTGTGGCCGCTGGTGAAAATCTCCTCCAAACACAAGCTGGCAGTTTGATGAGAAATGGCCGCATGTGAAGAAATGTAGGAGTCGAGACCCCAAAATGCAGCTTTGCAACAAGTATTGCATCATTACATGTCTACTATGTCTACCATGATCTATCATCTATTGTCTCATATTGTCTCAGTTCTCTTGGATGTTTCGCTGCAGGCTGTCAATCTGTGCACCGAAGTATCCGAAGTCCACCAGAAGCCCAGATCTTCCCAGATCTTCCCAGATTTTCTGCAGCTTTCACCCGCTCCGCAGCTTGGCGCACTGTTTTCGCGGCTCGCCTGCGCTCGCCTGGGGGTGCCTGCGCTCCCTGCGCCTACGCAGGGGATCAGACGTCCCTCCTCACGTGTCTGACGCAGTCTGGGTGACGTTCATTCACCAAGATAACCATAAGCAATCAATGATGTGAGGTGATGTGACTAATGACATGTTCCGGTTTTTGGTAGCAAGTTGCTTGGATGTGTTTGGCATTTTCGTGTGCCAGTGGCTTCCCGCCAGTCCTTACGCCTGCTTTGCAGCTGGAGGGTACTTTGCATGCAGATAGATGCTCACCTTGGAAAGGATGAACATGGATGAACAAAGCTCATCCAAAGCTCATCCCAAACGGCCAAGTCGTCATGACATGGAATTGAGCCATTCTCGGGTAGCAAGTGTTTGCAACATGTCAAACATCAACAAACACTATCTCCATCTATATCCACTATTGAACAATCAGGTACTAAGTATTGCAAAGTTGCATCTCAGATCTGTCAAAGGCTTTTGCGAAACAAACATCAAGTTCATCAAGCTGTTTATGGAACTGGGGCTGCTGGCGGCGACGAGTGGCACAGCCACAAATGTGGACCAACGCAGCGACTCGCCCTCGACCAACCACTTCAAGACCTGGACGTCAAGACGATGAAAGACGATGAAAGACGAAAGATGTGGGAGGTGGATGGAAGAACCGGATGGAAACGACATGGATCGGAATGACATGAAATGACAACATGGACGAAATGGCGAAATTATCCACACAGGGAAGGATCCTGCAATCCGAATCCGCCTCTGGACCACTTCATCTCACAGTTTCTCTCTGCTTGCGTTTGGTGTTGACTTGGCCCTTCACACAGGACAGAATCAGACCCACCATGATGGCAAAGCCTGACACAAAAGCATTCAGCAAAGCCCATGCCATTCAAAAAGCCATGCAAAGCAGCAGAGGTCTCAACAGTTCTAGACCTTTTAGCAAAAGTCTGAGAGTGGCCTTTTCGCACACTGCCAGCGGTCTTGGAGATCAGACCCACGACAATGCCACCCCAGCCCTGGGTAATCACAGGGATCAACCTCGATTCGACAACGGCAACGATCACATCATCACATCATCGGCGTAACGTTCGGGCGACAGACTGAGACCGTGGCGTGTAACGCGTCCAGTTCTGAAACAGGCCGTCACCTTGGCGGCACCAGCGGCACCAGCTTAGGAAGACAGCAGGAGACTTCCAATTTTCAAATTTTCATAATATGTTCATAAATTAATAAATGTTAATTAGGTTTAACATGGTTTAAAGATGTTTAAAGCCTTAACGTTGAAAATTGCAAGTCTTATTGGCAAAGGAGAAGCATGGGCTGAATTTCAAGCGGCAAAGAGTAACCTGAGTAACCATGCTGGTATCCCACGATATCCCATGATATCCCACGGGTCTCACAGAGGACCCTTCGAAACTGTTTGAGGTGTCACATCTTTCCACCTCCATGCCACCCTCCAGCATTTCCATCCCGTCTCGAAAATCCCTTGCCAAGTGGCTTGAAGATGAATTCGTCCAATGATCTGGGACGGCATGATCAAAACTCATGAAAAATATGAAGAAAAACATTCAGGAAGGCTACTTCTAGTTGCTGATGCTGTAGCCCTGTTTTCAGAGACTTGAGAGCCATACTTATTAAGATCACAGCCTTAGCAGTGACGACACACACTTCGAAGAAGCAACAGGTGATGCAAATCACGGGCTCTCTACTCAAGAAACAATTTACATGGCATTGCATGTATGCGAACAAATACCCTGTTGCTGGAAGTGTTCAACAAGAGCCTTGCAATGCCTTGCCGTGGTAAGCCAATTTGAGGTCTCCACCCTTCTCAAGAATCATCAAGAATCTAAGCTCCATACGCTGCCGAGCACTGCCATCTCCGAACTAAAGAGGTAACTGTCCCGTCGTTTCCTGAGGGCTACATGGCACATCAATATCATCAATCGAATCACTGGCGCAGTGGGCATCACCTGACAACCTGGAAGTCGACCAGTCCCATTTCTTGCCCATTTCTTTCGAGATTGGGCAGCGTCCTCTGCAGAACCCACTCAGCAATGGCACCACCTAAACCGGACCTGGGCACCAAAACACCAAAAAGGCGCAGGCGGCGCAGCACGTCCCACACTGGTCGCAGCACGTCACAGTGGTCACAGGGGCTGTTCCAGGGGCCCATCTGAGCTCCGTGCAGAGCAGACCCCAGCAGAATGCAGCAAGAACCTCGGCCGTAACATCCGAGTAACATGGGCAACACGAGCAACTCCGAGCAACATGTGCAACTGCAAGCCTTGAAGATCCTAGAAGTTCCAAACCTGTCGTTCATCTATGTTTTTCAATGATCATCTTGTCAAGAAATCTTCAACCCACAATCCCAAGCCTAGCATGTTATGTTAAGCAAACACACCGGTGATATGACCTGTCAAGCCTCAAGCTTTAAGCTCTCGGCCCAAAGCAAAACTCTCGAAGCTTCTTGACCTTGCCATTGACCCTCTTGCATGGCAGACCCAAGATCTTGATCACACATATACGAAATATTCGATATCTCCGGCATATCCCACAATCTATCACAATCTCACACGATATAATCGTGTAATCTGATGTAGTATGATGTAGTCTGAATACAGATTCCGTATTTTCGATATTTTCGGGCACCTTCTCGCTCGACTTCGATCTTCTGAGTTTTCCCGCTTGGCGGTCCGGTCCGGCACTTCCGAGTAGCTGACCTTGGGCGCAGCCAGAAGGCTACACTCGGCACCTTTTTTTCACGGATCTACACCGATCTACACGGCGTAAGTTCGAACATGTTTGAACCTTCAACCTGCATCAACCTGCATCAACCGGCTGTATGAGAGTCTATTGATAGTCTATAGATGTCTATATATACTATGCTCTCCAAAAAGCTCCATGGTGGAAGGTCCAACCATCCCGAGGACTCAATTGTGTCAAGTTCGATTCTGCAGCTTAGCAGGATGTGACTGAGAGCCTATCTTTTCATATCTTCTCAGTTCGCTTGTGATGCGGTTACCTTTTGATTCTGACAGACTGCTTTTCTACCCGCTCTGATTTCTTGACACCTGAAAACGTGAAAAGGTGATCTTGAGTTGATGCTTTGTGTTCTGCAAAGAAAAATGAAGATAAAGGCGATAAAGGGAATGCATGATCCCACTGATCCTACTGATCCCTTCATCTCTTATTAATTCTTATTATCTCTTCCTTTCTCTCAAAATTTTCCTTGAAATCTTCGTCACTTAGCCTGGGCCTGGGCTACCTGGCCAACATTCCAGCCTGAGTCGAGTCGCGGCTCCAGAGCGAGGAACAGCGAGGAAAACAAAACGAAACAAAAAAGATCGAACAGACATAGATGGACATAGATAAAGTAGAAAATGTAGATAAATGTGGATAAATGTAGACAACATCGAGAAAAACGTCGAAAAGTCGAAACGCTGACGAAACGACAAGGAACAGATCCACGAGTCGATCGAGTCGATCGAGTCGATCGAGTCGATCGAGTCGATCGAGTCGATCGAGTCGATCGAGTCCACACTGAGTGTCCTCAGAGTGTCGTCTGGGTTCACCGACCGCTGTGAGGATCACCAGTGCCAAACATTGGACTCTGGACTGCCGTCCTCGGTCCGAGCTCAACTCTGCGTTCAACGACTTCAACAAGTTCAACGTGTTCAACTCGTTCTTTCATGGATTCATTATGATTCATTCTATTCATGCGCAATACCAAACGCCTCTGAGGGCCAGACTTCCAACAATCAGAAAGACAAACAAAGCAGTGAAGAGCATCTTCGTCTGATTCAGGATGTTGAATACGATGCCATCCAGCTTTTGGTATGCCACCTGGCTGTCACACAGCCTGATGTGGCCAGCTGTCCTGCACTGGCCCTGGCCTGGAGGCATACGTTCTGGACTAAATAAGTAATCGACGGGACTCCTAAGCGGCACGAGCAATCGAGCAATCCAAGACTCAGCAGTTGGCCATCCACCGTTATATTGTATATCCGTGTGAATGCCCATGTGTGTATGTAAATATGTGTATATATGCATGCAGGTATACACATTTATTGATTAATGTATTTATATGTGCAAAAGGGTTCATGTGCATGCATGTACAACTGGACAGATGTAGTATCAGTTCTTATCACTGCTGGACAGGTGAAGTATCTGTTCTTATCAGTGCAACAACTGCCTGTGATTGCGCAGGCTCTTTATGGATCAAAAGTCGCGCTGCTCTGCCTAACACAGGTTATGAGCCCAACGCTCAGCTGAGGGGCGCTTGCTGCCATGTCGTGGACTAGATCGAGGTCGGTGCCACTTAATGAACCTCATGCTCTACGGCTGGATCAAGAAGGCCATGAAGGACATGGAGGTAAAGGAGTGGGACATGACGGCAGAGGCCTTTGGCATGGAGATCAAAGAGCTCGACCGAATGGACGAGATGAAGGAGAAGCTCTACTACGAGGCGAACATGGAGGGGCTCTACGGCAAGAACTGGATGTGAGCACTGACCTGTTGGACTTAGGCACCGAGCCGAATCCGTGGTGGTCAGCAGGGGTTCAGCAAGAACACCTACGAGAAGCACGTCAGTTGGCCATGGAGCAGCCGATGTGGACGCCAAGGGAAGAGGTCTCAGTCAAGGAGGACCTTCCAGAGATAGAAGATGCAGACGCGTCGCGAGAGTTGGAGCCGCTAGCAATGGGACGAATGAGTGCTCCGTCAAGTTGGAGTACAAGACGAGGTGTGGCCTTGCAGACTCAAGGGGCTATGCCATCAAATGATGATGAAGACCTTCGGCATCCTCAAGATGTTGGACAAGGTCAACATGCTGTACAGATTCAAGGTGTAGACCTTCGACATCCTCAAGATGTTGGACAAGGTCGACATGCAGTACACCCTCAAGGTGTGGACCGACAGTATCCTCAAGATGCTGGACAAGGTCAAGGCCTTCGGTATCCTCAAGATGCTGGACAAGGTCGCCGTGAAGTACACCCTCAAGGTGTGGACCTTCGACATCCTCAAGATGTTGGACAAGGTCAACATGCAGGACACCCTCAAGGTGTCGATCAATTTGCACACTCTCAAGGTGTGGACCTTCGGTATCCTCAAGATGCTGGACAAGGTCAACGTGCTGGACACCCTCAAGGTGTCGAACAATGTGGACACCCTCAAGGTGTTAGACGTGATGGGCACCCTCAAGGTGTCGAGCAAGTTAGGCACCCTCAAGGTGTCGATCAAGATGAACACCCTCAAGGTGTTGAACAAGTTGGGCACCATCGAGGTGTCGCAGCAGGGCTACTTGCTGGAGAAGTGCAACGTTCTGGCAAGGGGCATGGTCAAGGAAGAGTTGTGCGGCCCAATGGGATGGGAGGTGAGATACCATCTCATGGGGTTGCAAGACAAGGTGGGAAGACTGGAGGACTGGGAGGTGAGATACCAGTTCAAAGGTCTGACATCATGCAAGAGGCTGGACACCATCGAGGAGTCAGCCGTGGACCCTCAAGGTCTGAAGTTAATGTGCAAGAGGCTGGACACCATCGAGGAGTCAGCCGTCATGGACCCTCAAGGTCTGAAGGAAATGTGCAAGAGACTGGACGCCACCGAGGAGTCAGTCATGGTTATGGACCTGAACGACGTCAAGTTCAAGGTCATCGAACAGTACCAAGTGGTCTGCGAGATCAATCTCAAAGACGAGGTCATCGGCAAGATGATGGATCACCCTTGGAAAGAGTTCCAATGGGAGTGCAACAGTATGAGATGAGACGACAGATGCCACGTGAGGCAAGTCGGCAACCACAAGGTGGAGTACAAGGTTGTAGCACAAGAACCTTTGTGGACGATGTCAATCAACAAGGAAGAGATGAGCGTGATGAGCTCAAGCGGGCTTTGGAGCAATCAATGGTTGAAGAGCTTCACAGACAGAAGCTTGAGATGGAGAAACAAAAGGAAGAGATGAAGAAGTATGCTGAGGACTTGCAACGCCAGCGTGATGAGTTTGAAAAGAAGAATGAGGAGTTGCAGAAGGAGCTCAAGAAGAAGAGTTCAAGCGTGGAACCACCAAGGACACCACCGCGCCGACCTCAGTACTACTCGCTGTCACCAAGAACAACACCTGGAGGAACTCAAGTTCCGCCGGGACAACCACCAATGGAGGTAGCAGATCTTCCAGAACTTCCACCATGGCAGTTTGACCCATTTGCAGTTGATGAGCATGTGGGTGGTGGAACAGGCTTTGATGGTTTGGAGGATTTTTGGACTCCAGTGGATCAACAACCACAACAGCAGCATCATCTTCAACCTGGAGCAGATCGCTTTGCATGGTTGGACAGAGAGGTCAGGATGATGCATGGCGAAAGACCAAGGTTGACAGGTGAGTACTGGGAGCAACCGGTGCACAGGCATGGTGGTCCACCAGCGGATTTTGGTTATGTTCCGCAACCACCACCACAATCGCCTCAAGGACATGGAGTTGGACCTCATGGTGTACCAATGTTTGCAGCACCAATGCAATATGGTTCAGTGCCACTGCAATGGCAACAACCTCAACCACAAGCAAAAGGTCCTGATGGCGAAGCTTCTGAGGTGCTGAGAAATGTGCCGATTACACTGCCAATTTTGAAGGATGTGTCAGAGCCTCAAGCTGCTCTTCGTGCAGGAGATTGGTTAAGTGAGTTGATGCCGCTGATCTCAGATGTCTCAGAAGGCGCAAGAGTGTGGTGGACCGGACTAGTACAACGAGCTCAAGATGCCCATGCTACATGGCTGACAGCGGGTCCAATGGATCGCATGGCTGTGCAACCTGACCTTCAAGTGGAGAACAAGTATGTCAGGTTGGAGTCTCGCGTGCTGTCAATGTTGTTAGCTGCAGTGCCACAGACGGTCAAACAAGAAGCAATCTCTTTGCGAGAGATGACATGTGTGCAGTTGGTGTTTCGCATCTTGAAGCTGTACCAACCTGGTGGTCTCAACGAGAAAAGCACCATCCTCAACAACTTGACTCAAACAACAGCAGCCAAATCTGCAGCTGAAGCTGGTGAGATGCTACGCCAATGGCGACGTCAACTCCTGCGAGCTCGTGAACTTGGACTACAGGTTCCAGATCCCTTGCTGCAGGTGAGCGCACTTTCTGAAGTGATGCGGACAGTGATTGCGAAGGAGCATCAAGCGAGCTTTCGCATCAGCAACTTCCGCATGACCCATATGGTGGATGTGGCGCCTACACAGCTCACAGCGGAGAACTATCTGCAAATGTTGATCGCTGAAGCGGATCACTTGCATCATGGAACAATGACGAAGGCAAGTCCGACTTCTGGCAACCCCAAGATCAATGTGGTCAATGCTGCTGGGGACAAGGGTGGTGGCAAGAAGGGATCTCCTGGTAAGAAAGGCTACGGCAACAATGCAGAAGGCAATGGTTATGGTGCAGGAGCTGGAGCATGCAAGCATTGGGGTAAACCTTATGGATGCCTCAAGGGTGACAAATGCACCTATGCCCATGAGTGGAACAATCTCAACGACAAGGAGAAGAGATGTTGGAAGTGTTCCAGTTTGGAACACATTGCCAAAGACTGCACCGCTGGTGACAAGGTTATGACAAGTCCTGGTGATAGAAGCTCCAAAGGAAGCCCCAAAGGCAAGGGAAAGACAAAGGATGGCAAGAACGACAAGGGCAAAGGCAAGGACCGGGACAAGCCGGTCGGGGGAGTGGATCAGTCTTCAAAGGATTCACAGCCTCAAGTTGCCCAGATACAACAGCAACCTCAAGTTGCTCCGACACAACAGCAACCTCAAGTTGCTCAGGTACAACAGCAGCCTCAAGTTGCTCAAGTACAACAACAAGTTCAGCCCTCAGTCATGGGTGAAGTTGCCAGTCTTTTGAAGACAATGCGAACAACGTCAACAACTCCAAGGGTGTTGGCGGTGGTGACTGACAGCAATCAGGGTGTGCTACTGGACTCAGGGGCCACGCATATCCTTAGAGGACCCTATGATGAGACTGAGTGGATGCAGGCGATCCCAACAGAGGTACAAACAGCGACTGGAAAAACACAGCTGAGGATGTCAAAGATGAGCAGATCGTTGTTGACAAAGGATGATCTGCAGCCAATTGTGCCTTTGGGAATGTTGACTCAGCATGGATGCAAGATGAGGTGGCATCGCGATGGGTGCGCTCTCACACATGGCAAGCTGGGTGAAGTGAAAGTCACAGTTCGTGACAATTGTCCCTACGTGACCAATGATGTGGGGATGAAGCTCATTCGAGAGCTGGAAACTGCTGAGAAGAACAAGCAGTTGATGTTGCGAAGTTTGGAAGTCACAGGTTGGAAACAGGAAGACAAGGACATGGCCGACAAGCTCAAGAAGTTGTTTCCTGAAACACCTGTGGAGTTGTTGCAACCTATGGTGAGCAAAGCTGGTGATGAGGCTCGATTGCCATGGAATCGCCATCAACGGCGACGCTTCAAGAAGGCCAAGGGCATTGTGCTGAATTTGTTTTCAGGTCCAGATCAAGCGTGGTGGTCAAAAAGAATGCCACACGACATCGAAGTGGTGAATGTGGATCTACTTCGAGGACAAGATCTTTTGGACTCAGCAGTTTGGCACTTTTTACTACAGTTTGTGAGGTCGGGTCGAGTGGTTGCAGTACTTGCTGGCCCACCGTGCAGAACAGTATCAGCTGCACGTTACCGGTCTGATGGAGGACCGCGGCCTGTGAGGTCGAGACATGGTTTACAGAGGTTTGGCCTGGACACCAACACGATGATGGAGCAACAGTTGGCAGACACTGACAGCCAGCTCTGGCTGAGAACACTGCTCTTGATGTATGAGGCCAAGCTCTACAACCCTGACGTCAAGGCCGTAGTGGAGACTCCAGAGGATCCAATGACGTACAGACAAGACGAAGTTGAATATGCTTCTTTCACTGTGTGGCCCGAG